AGCTTGCCTGCGCCTTTTTTTTTTTTTTTTTTTTTTTTTTTTTTAACCCTGTTTAAACCTTGGCGGTCCGCACTATCTCACGGCCTCTGTGCGAAAATACGTGCATAGGCTGTCTTTCCCGCATCACACACCGTTACTGCAGCGCAGCCCTTCCCTCAGGCTAGCGTGTTTTGAAAAGAAAAAAAGGTTTCTAGCCGTGTTTGTTTACGGCCCATCTCGTACACTGTGCCAGTGAGAACGGCACGCGCTCGCTGCCTTCCGCCCCGCTTTGGCTGCGCACGCGCGCTCGAGGTGCACGAGATGCCAAAGCGTTGTCGAAGACAGGAAGCTCGTGCTGGAGGCGGAACTAAACCATACGCATAGTTTCCATAGTCTACTCTAATCGAAAAAAAAAAAAAAAAAAAAAAAAAAAAAAGTGTACTATTACCTGAACTGCGAGCATTGTGAAATAAAAACGTAGTGTTCGATCTTTACTTACTAAACCCTGAGATGGGGAAAAAATGGTGTTAAAATCTTGAGACTGAGAAGGAATCTTGAAAGAAAAAGCATAAGACACAGAAATAAAGGGGCAGACTAACAGGGCCGGCCCTAGGGGTGGGCGACCGGGGCGGTGGCCCAGGACGTCATCAAAAGGGGGGTGCCGCCGCGCCTCCCTTTTGAACTTTTTTTTTTTCTGATTTATTTGAACATGGCGCTTGACAGGACGCTATATGCTCGATCGCCGTTCGTTTTTCGAATGCGGTTCTCGTCTGAGAAAATGCTCGTGTTGGGCTATACCACCGTGGGCCATGACACGCTTACCAACGTTACTAGAACCACTCAGTTGGAAAACTGCCATAGAGCCTGCTTTAAAAAAGCGGCTCCGATCCATACTCAAGAACCGAGCTAATGGCGATTGCAACGCCGCCTTTTCTCCCGCAGCGTCCACTCTGGGAACTGCACAGCTGCACGTCGAGTCGGGCAAGGGCCGGTGGCGCCATCTCGCAGGGCCAATTCGCAGTAGCTATGTAAAGCAACTTTCACGTTTCAACTCGTCGCTAAAGGGTTGCGCTGTTATCGTACTTTGGCTCGGTCTCGGTGGACGCCAGCGGCCCAGATTTCAAGGGCGAGTTTCCCAACTGAGAGTTTTAGTAACTTTGATGTTTACTAACAGCGCTTGATGCCGATAGCTAGAGGCGTATAAAGGGGGAAAGGGGGAAGGGCGCCACAGTCGGAGTGTTTGCCCAGGGCGCTTGATGGTGTAGGGCCGGCACTCCAGACAAATGTTTGAGACGTTTGTCTGTCCCCTTATTTCTGTTTCTTCTTACACTTTTTCTTTCAAGTGTCCTTCCCAGTCTCAGGATTTTAACATCATGAAGACAAGATATTTTTTTACTTGTTTGTTTGTCATAGTTAGGTTAGGGCAGAGGCGTCAGTCAGCGGCACCCTCGGCGGTATGCCACCGCGACATCCCTCCTTCCCCCTTTCACTGCCCAGCTGCACCTCCCTAAACGCTGCCCTCCCCCCCCCCCCCCCCCCCCCTTTTTGTGATGCCGATGTAGGGCAGTCGTTGAGGGGAGTATACTTGCAGTATCTCTATTGAGATACCACCAGAAGTGCACTGCCCTTCACTTTTCTGCACCGGTGCAGGAAAGTCACAAGGCTCAATCTAAAATTGACCATACAAAATCGACTCCTGCAGGAAGCAATCTAAACTTTTCGTCAAAGGTGCATGTCACAGGTCCGTTGTTCTTGTAAAATCACAAAGCGTAGCTCCCTTTCTGAGAAAAATAGAGACGTCACTGCAAATCGCACATAGTGCGATTTTGCAGTGACTCTGCCATACGAGAACAGCGTCGCAGCTGCAAAATTGCAAGCAAGTTTGCACCATATGAATCAGGTATAAGCATTTGCAGCAGTGGCATCACTAGGGTCAGCTGCACCTGTGGTGACACGCCTCAAACCCCCACCCCCCCCCCCCCCCCCCCGCTCCACCCCCCACCCTCTCGTGGCCCGCCGTAAAACGTGCAAGACAGTCAGCCCCTGAGAGCTTACGCCAAGACAACTGAGAATAAAGCGTCACAAGAGAACCACACAACGAAAATATTCCCTGGAGAGGGGGAACAAGAGGGACGAAGGACAAACACACGACAATGGTCTCTATAAGAGGAACTCTTTCGCAAGGTGCGTTGTTGCACAGCACACCGCAGCCTTGAATTGGCTTGGATGGCTCACAGTAATCGTTGCAGTCCACTTCAAGACAAGATGCGAGTACCGAAAAATACCGCGGAAGCACTTATTTCATTTAAGCACCGACTATTAACATTTTCAAAACTTGGGAATTCTGCAAATTATATGTCAAGCACCCGATTTGACTGGACAAGCACCATGTCTAGATTAACCCAGTTTTCATTGGAAGTGGGGTGGGTGCTTCCCCAATATTTTATGGTGAATCACCACGATTACCATAAATTCTGTTAGGTCTTGGCTGTGACCTTATGTATAACAGGATTACATAACTATTATATAAACAGAAAGAGGTACGGTTACAGAATAACGATGTATGGCTTGACTGTGCAACGTCTATAAACGTGAGCGCGCCCAAACATAACTCGCCCCGGCTCCGTAGGGTGGCACGGTGTTTATGGTCTGCCATCTATTTGCTAGATGGTGACACCGTACAACTCAATACATAACAAATTCATTACGATATGCAAACATAAGCTTGAAATTAAGAGTTGCGTCCCTCTAGATCTAAATGTTCCACGTTGGACGCATGTACAAAAGAGTGAGAAAGAGAATGATGGATTTTGAGGCAGTGAAGCAGTTTCATTGCGGGGCACTTCCCCAGCTTTATTGTCGCAGTCTGAGCGGCTCCTGCTGTTCCTTGGCAGGCTGTCCCAGCGCGTCAAGCCCCCGGCGTGCCAGAGTGCGCAGCACGGCCAGGGCCGCCTCGTCGTGGGATGCTTCGAGGGAGGACCCTGCTCCGTGGCTCACTTGGGGCGGGCACGTCGTCAGTGTCACCAGCGACAGGAAGTCCCGCTTGTTACCCTTGGGGAAGTCCGTGAAGTGCACCTGCATACGTTATCTCAGTGTAAGAGCGTGTTCATTCGTCAAATTCAGATATAACCTTCCGTTTGCCCCACATTCCTGAGGAGGTGGCACCGAGAACTACCCTATTTACACGATTGTAAGTGGACCACTCCACACTGCACATCAGCAGAATAAAGAAAAAATGAATCTTTAGAGGCACACTTTACGGCGAATATGTGAGAACGGCAAAGTTTCTTTTTCGAAAGCCCAGCCTCCAGCAAGCATCAACGCCCTCTGGCGTGCTTTAGCGGCGCAGGCACGCGCAATGGCGCAGGCACGCGCGATGTGCATGAGAGGCCAAGGCATTATCGAAACTAAGAAGCTCACGCTGAGGGCAGGACAGCTGAAGCTGCTCCCTGTCCTTCTCACTCTGTCTGTGACTAGAGGCTATGACTCGTCCGCACTGGTGATGTCAGTCCCATCGTCATCACTGCTACGTTCTCAAAGCAAGTCGTCAGTGTCGTCCAACGAAATCTCGCACTTCGCAATGATACCGTATCAACCACATCTTCTGCGCTTGCTCGGTGATCGCGTTGCACGTCACGATTAGGGACCGATTGTGCACTTTAGTGGCGTACGTTGCAAGCCTGACCTCAAACTCCGAAAGGCATCCCCACCTATCCAGACTTTGGCCCGCGGAAGCCTCTTCGTTTGCCGTCACAGTTAAGATCTCGCACCATTGCTGACTCTATTGGAGCACCACCCGCTCTGATGGGTCGAAACTGCATCCAGCAGCTTAGTAGTTGGTCGCATCTGGGTGAAGAATGGCCATATACAAGCACCAAAAACCTAAGCTGCCCGGATCACGCGTGTCAATACAAAAAAACATAGCTGACGCTCCAGCATGACCTCGACACTCGATCAAACAACGTGCGACTCTGAATCGTGTGAAAAACTGCGAAAAGAAGCCGCGGAAAGTGAGGTGTGAGGCTGTTCCAGCGGCCTCCGGAGTGGCTCTTGCAAGAAGTGCCGCCACCCCCCGAAAGTTGGGCACGTTGGGCACTGTTCACCACTGTAGATTTGGGCTAATTTGCAAATCGCTATCAATAATTCTCGTTTGCAAATAAAAAAATTAATAAAAAGCTTGTAAAATGAGAACACGAAATAGCACAATGCTATAGGTACAGCCGGCTGAATTTTAACAAGCCAAGGTGTTCTTGATATCGCGATTGTTTCGTTTTTGTCGGCGGTGGAATGCTTTGGTTCGATCATAAGTCGGCCCCAAAGTTCAGATTTTCAAAAATTTAAAAATGGGTCGACCTACATCCGTGTGAATACGGTACGTAGTGTACCTTTCCAGCATATTAGGAGTCAAACCAAAAGTATGGGGCAGGGCATCCTGAAGTGCACCTGCACATTAACAAATCCAAATGACAAGACAACATATTACAATCGACAAGCAAGATAAAAAAAATGGGGAGCTCGCAGCTGTTCGAAAATGCGGCAAACGCTGGCATGGCCCCAAGTCAAATTTGAAAGATGTATGTGCCAAAGCAACGAAGGGCATCGGGCAGGTCATAGGGGAGGACTGAAGATTAATTTATATCACCTAGGGACCTTTTGACATGCAACCAAAATCCCGCCTTCTCTGCAATAAGCCTCTGCCAGATAGCCGGCACCTCGGCTGGGATTCAAACTCACCATGTGGGAATCTGCAGGCCCACGTGCATAACTCGACGGCTAAAGCGGGAAACGTGAGGTGTACCATTGCAAACAATACGAGTGTGAATGGCCTGTCACACTTATCTGGTGCACTGCCCAATCCTTAGAGATGCTCTGGTTTAAACTGGGACTAAAACTCCAAGTTTTGGTTCCAGTCTCTCAACCATATGACAAATCGAGAAGTAATGGGATTCTGGGAACTGCAGTCGTGGCAGAAGGCCAGATCGAGTGGTATCGTTCATACTGTTTGTTTGAGGTGCAAATGAACATTCATCTGTTGGCGAAAAGGAGGGGGAGGGGTCACCTGGAAGCCCAAAACCTCGGCCAGGTAGAGCAGCTGCTGCTTCGGACGCACGGGGGCCACAGTCAAGGGCGCCGCCTGGCGCAGGGCCTCGGCCGTGGGGGACACCCCTGGGTGGCCAAAACGACAATGGTGAGAGTCCGTTTGCTCTACCGACACAACTTTTTCACAAAAAGTAGGTAAGCCAGACAGCCTGATATCAGCCTGGGGATATGGCATGAACAAGTAAACTATAGTTGCTAAAGAAGCTCATTACGATTGGCTGAACTAGATTGGTGCATCTGATCCACATTCAATGTGATCTTACACTGTCGTCCCATATATACCCACATTTTCTGGAACAAGGAAGCAATATGCCGTCGTTTCATTTGCCGACAGCATCCAACAGCAGATACATTGTGTCTGCCTAACTGCTGCTTGCCACAGCAATTTCTTGCAGCAGTCTTTCTTTACAAATTGCAAGCACCAATCTAGTTTACATTCAGCACAGTTTTTCTTAATTTCACCGACCAAACCTTTATGCCTTTAGGACTTTGTTACTGTCTTACAATTTTTGTTTTGTGAGCGTTTTCACCAGTCGTCTTTATTAAGTAATGCATTTAGCTAAGCGACGTCACTCAGAAAGAATGAGATGCAAAACCGCATCACTGGAAGACTGGTTTCACGGAAGGCTAGTTTCATGCAAGCCTGATTTCATGCCAGCCTGATTTCATGGAGGCTGGTTTCACTTACCGTAATATCCCGAGTCATCGCCCACCCCCCTACCACCTGAAATTCGTTAAAAAAGTGGGGTGGGCCATGTCTCGGTGGGTGAGCACAAACACTTGAAAAAAAAAAAGCGGAAAAAACCACCTATTTTTCTTTGCGTATCTAGCGCTGATGCACAAGAGATACATCAAACTCAAAACTCGATTTAGTTTCATTGTTTTATAGAAGAAATGCTCACGAAAGAATATTTTACAATAGCGAAGTCCGTTGCTTGCATACGCGCTAGAAACACCGCCGATCTGCATATAGCGGGAACGTTTGTTCCGTGAAAGAATGTCACCATTATGTTCTCCTAGTTAGTAAAAAGAAAGAAAGAAAAGTCTACAAGAAAATAGAAAACCCGACCAGGCGCAACGAGCGAGCGAGCGGACCAAAGAAGCGACCAAGAGCAATGCTGGGAAAGCGGGAAAGCCGGCGGTCGCGTTGGCAAATACTTTGGCGTCGGGCCAAGTCGGGCGCCTTGTCAATTGCAAGCTCTTGCGCAACTTGTTTGGTGCGTACATACGTGCGTCCGTCCACGGCGGGCTATCAATGCACGGTTGGGACGCTCTGCAAACGTCTCTGTAGGACGTTCCAGCAAAGCTTTATTTACGCTTTGGCTTTGCCTAAAATATTGCACAACCGCGGTCGCGACGGGCGGGAAGAAGGAGCGGGTTCGCGGTGACCTTACTTCGGCGGAGACAGGCTTTGACCTAACACTCCGCGGTTACGTTAACAAACTCTTATTTTGTTATCTCCATCGTTTTCGCACGGATACACGACCACTTTGGGGTCGCTCAGGGAGGAAATGCGTAAACAAAAAGAAGTGTCTTTCCCTCCTTCGTTTTACTTTGTCACAGACGTCCTCCAACTGTAAGGTCCGCGACCGCGTCATTCGGGTAGGATGAGTGTTCGCGGATCGCAGAGTCCGCGCTGGGATATTTGAAGGGGTGGGCGATGACTCGGTGTTTTTTCGGAAATCGATATTTGCCCCAAAAAATGGGGTGGGCGATGGCTCGGGGATGGGCGATGACTCGGGATATTACGGTAAGCCTGGTTTCACACAGGATGGTTTTATGAGAACCTGGTTTCAAGCATGCTGGTTTCGTGCAACCCTGGTTGAACGAAAGCCTGAATCATGCAGGTTGGTTATATGAAAGCCCGGTTGTAAGCATGCTGGCTTCATGCAACCTTGGTTTCATGCAAGCCTGGTTTCATGCAGGCTGGTTTTATGTAAGCTTCGTTTCAAGCATGCTGGTTTTGTGCAAGCCCAGTTTAACAAAGGCAGTTACTATTTTGATGTCCACTGTAAAAATATTTCACAAATTCTTTCAACGTCTCGTCACTTCCCTAAGACATCATATATTATTATTTTGACGTCCCCTTCAATGCAGCCGTGGTAGAGTAGTAGCTGTTTCATGGTATTGTTCTGTTTAGCTTCTGATGGTGTTGTTGGTGTTGTCGGTGTTGTGTTGACGTTTTGACGGATTCATGTGTTGCATGCCTAAGAAGTTTCAGTCCTAGTTGGCAGTGGAAATGTCTTATTCAGAGTGTGTGTGGGACTGGCTCAACAGTTGATCCTTTCGGACGAGAACAATTAAAACGGTTAAAAACAGGGCTCCCGCCCCGTTATTATCCGTTTTCCGTGAGTTTGTTGTTTAGTTGAGATTTTCTGTTTGGTTTCTGTATAATGAGCGGGTTAACTACGAAACAAATGAGATGTAGATAAAAGAGTGTAAATGCAAACATTGTCTCCTTGATGTTTCTTGACCGGTGCGAACAAACAAAGGTTCTGGCACGGTTGTACGAGACACAAGCATTTTCCAATCAACCGCAAATGTTATGACACGACATTCAGTGCCTTTATCTATATAAAACACATGAAATAAATTATAAAGAGCAGCGGTGCCACATTCTGCAATGTTGGGCACAACCAAGCAAACATTATGTGCGGTCTGATAGCTGATGTACTTTGAGAATTTTTTTCGCATTCCACATCATTTAGAAGTAGGGCTGGGCAATTAAATGCTTTTAATTGCCAAAAATTAAATGCTTTTATCACGCAGACCTGGAAGAGTACACCTGGATGAAGGGCAACATTTAGGTCAAACTTTAGGATAAAGTAAACTGTAGGGGTGAGATTTGTAATTGCAGACAAGTGCAAAAGGCTACACGTGTCCCGGCTACTTCGATGCCGTTTGAGTGTCCGTTTAGCACAGCAGGGGCTATTGTAAGCAATCAAAGGAGGTCCCTCTTGCCGGAGAATAGCTACGAACCCCTTTGTCTCATGCAGCTGAGGTAAGAATCTGTGAGAGTATCTTTAAACTATTCTTAACTGCACATAGAGATTGATTCATAATCCAAGTTCTATATTGTGCCGTTTGCACATACTCAGCAAAAGCAAAACAAATAATATTAATTTATAGGGAAGCTACGGAGCTTCTTGGAAAAAATGAGTTAGAAGTGAATTCTAGTGTATTTTTACCCCGTGAACCCGAATATCCAAACCATTTGCTGCGTAAGTATTGTTAAACGCGAGAAAAACGCGAAAGACAGTCGCTGTCCATGACGTCATCGACGGCTCTTTTGGCTGCCCAAGGCTAGGGGGGCGGGGCTTCAGCCCCGCCCCCCTAGCCTTGGGGTATTTTTACCCTGTGAACCCGAATATCCAAACCATTTGCTGCGTAAGTATTGTTAAACGCGAGAAAAACGCGAAAGACAGTCGCTGTCCATGACGTCATCGACGGCTCTTTTGGCTGCCCAAGGCTAGGGGGGCTTCAGCCCTATTTTGAAATTGCTCTTGTGGCTCTCCGGCGCGTCGCATTGAAATATAATTTTGATATCTGTTATTCTAAAGGCCAAATGAACGCAATTCAAGCGTTTTTTCTCGAATGTAGAAGTGCCCCATCTTCCCTTTATACTTTTTTTAAATTATGCATAGGAATAAAAGAGACCAATTAATTTATCAATTAAAGCGTGGAGATTTATCAGGCTAAAACTTTTATGACGCCCAGCCTTACTTAAAAGGTGATAAAAACAGCCGTCGACTGCATGACATTTGCTTTAGGAAAATATGCGTCGAACTGTAACGCTGCCTGAAGCAACATATTTTCTTTACCGCCACCATTAGGGTGACCACCCGTCCCGCGACTCGCGGGACTGTCCCACATTGAGGGCTCGTCTCCTGCGTCGCACGAGAAATTCCCAAATCTTCAAAATGTCCCGCATTTCACACTGCCGTAAAATTCACAATGGAGCACGAGGAAGCGCGGATGTCGCAGTTAATCGTGTGAATTGCAATAGTACGTCATTTTCTATCCAAGCATTGCAGGAAGCGACCATCGTTCTCGCAGCAGAACCGACGGGCATGTGCCGTTGTGATCCTACCCTTGGTGGCAAAATATTGTAAGAGAAAATTACTCGCCCAAAAATTAAATATAAATTATTGTAATTATTTCTAAATCGCTGAATCAACGTGAAAGGGTTGCTGTGGAAATTTTTTTTAGTGAAGACAGCCACACAAGGTGAAATGCCTGCAACTCACAACGGTCGAAAAATAACATATTAAAAATTTATGTAGGACCATATTGATAAAAGTAAGCAAATAATCCGAAAAAGATTTACTGTTTCCTATTTCCACTTGATGCATTGAGTTCTGCTGCAGTCGATTTTTATGTTTTCAACTTCGACACATTTAATAACATTAAAAAAATACAGTCGAATCTCGTTAACTAAAACTCGAGGGGGACCGAAAATTTGTGTGAATAAAGCAAAGTTTGAATTACCGGGAAGTTTTTTTTCCCACAGAGACGCATAGAATGGGACCTGCAGGTTAGCTTGAATTATCCACAAGTCTGAATTAAGAGAGTTTGAATTAACGAGATTCGATTGTATATCACTGAGTGTGAACATTCTTTGAGCTTAATTGCTGCAATGCAATTTGCAGGTGTATAAACAGCACAGGATATTAAATGTGTTAAGTCTGTTCGTGATGAGCCGGCACGGAGGGGCGGCACTTTTGTTCCTTAACAGAGCCTCGGTTCGTGGTGCGCGTGTTAATAAATTTCCTCTTCCCCCCCCCCCCACCCTGCCCTGCGTGTCTCGCATTACGCTTGCAGGAAGGTGGTCACCCTAGCCCCTATCGATCGCTCACCAGTCCAGACTCGGAAGCTCCAGAGTAGCAAGTTTGAGACGCCAAAATAATTACAAAAATATTTTAACGGGGGACATCAAAATGTTTTTGAAAATATTCTCATGTCTTCAGGAAGTGGCGTCACAGACGTCAAAATAATGTTGAAAATTAGTTTGAAAGTGGACGTGGAAATGGCCACCATCTTTAACAAAAGCCTGGCTTCATGCAAGTCCAGTTTCCTGCAGGTTGGTTTTATGGGAGCTTGGGTTCATGCAGGCTGGTTTTACGTAAGCCTGGTATCAAGCAAACTGGTTTCATGCAAGCCTCGCTTCATGCAGCAGACGCAGAACGAAGAACCACCTTGGTCCAGCAGCTCCTTGGCGATGGCCGAGCTGGCCTGCAGGTCTCCTGCACTCTCCCCCCCGTCGCTGGCAGTTCCCAGACCCTGGTTGGTGGCGGGGACCAGCAGCAGGCCTGGCACCAGCTGCCGGCCCCCCCGAGGGTTCGGGGGCACCTCTTCCGGCCGCACGGGGGCCTCGCCGCCGCTCGAAGGGGTCGGGGACTGGCCCTGCGGCTGCGGCCCCTGGTTGGGACGCAACGATGGGAAATTCAGGGTGGGCACCAGAAGAAAGTGGCGTGTTTTCCTGCTGGCTGTCTTTTTTACCCCTTTCCTAAAATAACTGAACGATGGAGGAAAAAAAAACTATATTCTTGGAATCTACATCCTGAGACAACCAACCACTGCTTAGTTCTCAGTTCAAAACAACTAAGAGTTTGTGTTTCTGCCATTTCAAGGAAATTTCTTACAGCTAAGCAGAAGCTTCTGAAAGGCTGTTTCTAAATAACCATTGTGAGCAAATAACTTTTTTTTTTTAATATAGAAAAGGGAGCCTTATGCACTGACAGTGATGTGATTGGCCTAAGCCATTTTGGAGCACCTTTTGGAGCAGCCAAAACAGTGTTTCGGAGCAACAAAAGTGGCTTTTGGAGCAGCTAAAGCAGTGTTTCGGAGCAACAAAAGTGGCTTTTGGAACAGATATTCTTAGAGAAAAAAATTGTTTCAAGTGCTGGACAAACCAAGGACACTTTGCTCGCCACAACAAACAAATTATAGTCCAGTTAGACCACCTTGGAGTCTCTAAACACGTAACTGAAATGCCAATGACATGACACATTCTGCAATGCTTCAGTTAAATTATACGTATATATGTACCCGCTATAGGTAAATAAGAACCAAATTGCACATATTAACATTTATTTGAAAATGACCAGCTCAGTATAAATAGCACAGCATTAGGTTGACTAGTGATAAAATAAATGAAAGCAGTCTCCAACTGATGAAACATGTGACGTAACTACTGCAGTGCAATACGAAATTGTCGCACGATCCGAGATGGCTGTACGATCGAAACCATGCCACTCCGCTCCGTCGCCAACTGGTTCCCAAAATTGCATGCAAAATGTAACTGTCCAGCATACGACAAAAGACTGTCCAGCGGCACGTGCTTGCCAGGCCGGCAGGCAAGGTACAAGCTAAACACACAGAAAAAAAAATAACCTGAGCACATCGATGCAAGACATCACGAGCCAGGGTCAAAAAGTTCTTGGAGAGCTTTGTGCAACGGCTGAACTCGCGAGACAAACAAGCGCGCTGAGCGGGTTCAGCCTGCAGACATTGCATTCTTTTCTTTGGCTCACTTCCCTTCACTAACTTTCTTTCTCGGCAGATTTTTCACGCACCAGGGTCCCTCCCGAAAGAAAGCCCACCGAGAGAAACCTAGGTAATCAATACTTCGACACAGAAGTCTGAGCTAAAAAGAGATTTTTGTAGTAGCGTATTAAACAAGAACAGGAATGTTAATGAACATTCGGCGATATTTAGTTTCATTTTAGAAAGCGGCATATCTGCAGCGACGTGGGGACGGCAACATCCGACGTCGCGCGACCACGGTGACTGGCAGGCAGGAACCAAATATAGTTTTCCCATGGCCGTTGCCTTCAGGAGCGAGTGCTTCAGCTCACTAAGGAACTCCCGCCACGCAAAAACGTGGTTTCGTTTCATAGCATGACGACATGGCTGGCACCCTAGCACGTTAGCGTCGGAGCGCCGCACACGTCCGTCGTCTATCGTTAAAAAAATAATAATAAAAAATTTTAAAAACACGAGACGATGGGGACGCGGAACGAGACATGACGGGAAAACCATGCAAGACCGGATGAACGATTGATGCAGGGTACTTTGTGTCGGGCGGCCGCTTGCGCCACCTAGCTCACCGCGTGCTTAATTACGGTACTCAGTTTAGTTTCGGTTTAGAAAGGAGACCAAAATTGGTACTTTGGCGCAGGCTTGGCACAGATTACCCATATCTTGGCAAAATGTAGCAGGATGTAGCAGGGTTAGCCCTTTGGCGCAGTTTGGCGCAAATGGCGCAGCAATCACATCACTGCACTGACTGTAATTTACATAGTATAACATTAAAAATAAAATAAGAGTTTCAGTAAAAACGAGCACACATCTTGTTTGTTAAAGGGGCCTTGCAAGGACTTTTTTCTACTTTGCAATTTGCACCGAACCTGAGTGCACTAAATAAAGTAACTTAATGAAACTTCTCTTTTCTCGAATTTCGCTTTATTTTAAAAGTTATACGCAAATTAAAATTACAAAAATTAAGCAAAAATAACCTCCTTCATGCATCCTTGGTTGCTTGAGTGGCCGTGAACTAGACGAGGGGTAGTGAACTCAGCGAGCGCTCACAGCTGCCGCACTTCATGTCGACGGCTCAAGAGGGCGCCACTTAAGCATCTTCTGGATAGGCTGTATGAAGCGGGCAGCCAGGGCGACTCGCATTGCATTTGCTGCGCGATTAAACACTAATTCGGCATGACACTTCATTGGCCACGAACGACAGCAAACACGGGGTAAAGATCAGTTCAGAACGAGGGCCACTTAGCGCTGCCATACCGCCAAACGGCCAAACCTCCAGTTAAAGCTACTCGCACCTTTTTGGTGGAAACCACCAAAAAGGCAGAAACTTAAATATGATTACAGGGACCCTTTAATACCCAAAGATAGTTAATTGTGCTTGACAAAAAATACATATTTTGTTTTTGCAACATGTACTAGTGAAAATATCCTATAATTCACAGACTGTATAAACAGGTTATCCTTTACCCTAGATATAAATTAACCAGTCAGTAAATGAATGGGCAGAAACAGTTTATCACTAACGCTGTATGAAACAGCCATAAAAAGAAATTCCTTGCCACCTGCATTGGTGGCAACAGATAGGCAATGCATCATCTCCCTCTGGGATTCGTAATACAAGTTTCACTTTCAGGGCTCTCTGCTGGTTTCACATGCATCATTTTGCATCCTAGCCGATGACTCTGCAAAACCTTTGGTAACGTTCCCAGCCGGACAAAAAGCGAAAAACACTTTATTTGCAGATATTTCAACACAAAATGTGCGAACAGCCCTAGAAAACTATCTGCGATACATTATTTGAAAGCAATGTGTCACGCACCATCTGTCCCCCCTATCAGCAAGTGATGCATCACATGTTATCATATGGTAAGCAGTTGGCTGTGTGTGTGTGTGTGTGTGTGTGTGTGTGGCTATATAACGTGTGAATTTTTCAATAAACATCAGTTGAGAGTGCGCCTTGTCCTGTTTCCCTTCGTCTGTGTCCCTGTATTTTTTCGGCGCTTTTTTGCTTGGCTGCTTACCATGAGATGAGCATGACGTTGCAAAAGAGTGTTGCAAATTGTCACAAGGCCACTGAATTTGACAGGCGTGCCCGCCGCGGTTAACGGACTTCCGAGCTCAGAAAAGCTTGTGAATAGACACCCAGTGTAGCTCATAACACGCTGCAGATCCGTCTTCCCACTTTATCCGTATGGATAAGATACATTTCTAGATATTTTTAAAGTGACTTAGCCCCCTTTGACTTTCACAAACGCAATTTAACTTGAATCGCTATAGTGGTCACCGACAGGGTGAAAATGGCAAAAGTAAGATCTCTGGGCTTTACGTGTCAAAGTGTCGAAGGGCATCTGGCAAGTCGAGAACGGCAGGGTATCTCTTTGCTGGGCTTTGGCTGCACACGCATGCTCAGGGATCATGAGACACCAAAACATTAGCGAAGGCAACAACCTCACACTGAAGGTGGCACGAATGATGGACCTCCGTGCCATCTCCAAGTCGGTCAGTGACTACAGTCGTTTTAGCAGATATGCAGGGAAATGTTAAAACGTCACTTCGACATCTCCGTCACCCTTATACTGTCGCACCATATGACAGAGAATCTTAGCCTGACCGTTTGTTCTAGCTAGCAGTGGCGTAGCAAGCAAATTTTCGCGGGGCGGGGTGGGGGGGGGGCTGATGTGGCTGGGATGTCTATGACTTGGGGTGTCGAGAGGGGGAATCAAAATGCATGAGTATATTATAGGGTCGGCTGGATTTCAAGGGGGGGGGGGGTTGAAGCCCCACAAGCCCCCCTCCCTCCCCCCCCCAGCTACGACCCGCTAACTAGCAACCCTGCGGCGTGGTTAAGAGAAGGGTGAAAGACGCACACGGCCAAGAGACAGGAGGGTGATCGGGTAGCAATGATAAGGCTCATTATCATGGTGATGATCATTGAACTTCTCACGTTATATGTGAAACACTGAGACACGCAACGCCAGTCCCGTGCTGGCAAGGAAAAATATCCTGTCAGCTGGGGTGGGCTTACCAATAGGCAGAGTAGGTATATGCCCTTAACTTAATTCGCTCTTTTCTTTAAATCTAGCTATTTTGGGAATTCTAGCTCCAAATATAGCTACATTTTAAAATTTTAACTCCAAACTTAGCTACTAGTCTTGTGAGAATATTGGATTTTGAGTTCGAAGCGAATTTGAAGCAAATAGTGGTTTTGGCCGAATATTTTCGATTCGAATATCGAATAGTTTTTTCCCACCTTTCACTACCGTTGCATAATGCTTAGACGAAAACCCAGCTAAACTTGTGAAGGTTGTTCCGCTTGTTCATTTAAAGTCTAAGTTTAATCTATTTATATTTATGAACTGTGACCTCAGAAGGTCTGATATCTTGGGATGGCAAGAAAACGACGGATTTAACATCAAATGAATCCTATAGAAATGGCCAACTATATCCAATTGAGTGAATTTACAAATATTGCTATATAAAACATTCTTCCTTTAATCGAGACTCAAAACAGAATGAATCGCACATGATGAACGCAGGTTGTAAGGGCATTTCTGCCTAACAGAGTATGCTCTTGCATAACAGTCCGTTTAATTTTGAAACTTTTACTACAATGTAGACATACACATTCCGAAAGTTTCCATTCATTTTCATATACAGCCGGCACGCATGCAGCATCCCGCTTTGAATGTGTGCTTTTCTTCCAAACATGCAATTGCGATATTCATACTTTTCCAAGTGTGTATCGCGGCTGGTTACCCCGTTAAGTGCGCTTCTTACTGAGCACCTATGTAATGCAGAAAAGCAACACCCGCAGAGCTCGCTTCCGTGGGTATTGCTTCTCAGTAAGAAGCGCACAGTGTATTGGTGCTCGGTAAGAAGCGCACTCAACTGGGCTAACTCGCCGCAATCAACGCAAATAGTGCAGTTCTTCTCGAAGCAAAATTTTAATAGTGTATTATTCAAAGTTCTGAATATTCGCACAACCGTATTAGCTACCCCTCTCCCCCTCCTCATCCTCCCTCCCTCCCTCCTCCCCGCCCCCCCTTTCACACACACACACAAAATGCCAAGTGCGCCTCTGCCTGTCAGTGACTATGGCGCACGCTCAAGCACGCACCTGCGGTGGCCTCGAGTAGCCCAGCTTCTGGAGCATGGCCTCGGCGGCCAGTCGCTTGGCAGTCTTCTTGTTCGGGCCGGCCCCCTGGGTGGTCAGCGCACCCAGCACGCACTGCAGCACAAACTCCCTCTGGCGGGGATCCCCCCTCTCGGAGACAAGGGAGTAGCTGGGCTCGGGCTCTTTCTTCGCCTGCTGGATCTGGATGAGCCGGGAGATCGGGTTCACCTGCAAACAAGGCCCGACACACTCGTAAAATATTTTGCGATTTTTTGTACCTAAGTGGAGGACCGAAGATGAATTCCAACCACCAGGGGGATTCTTTGACGTGCAGCAAAAATCTCGGTTATGCGATGGCTTCTCCACAGTAAGCTTCCGTCAGATTGCGGGCACCGTGGGCACGCCAGGTATGTAGGCTCAAAGTCCTGGCCGGGCCGGAATACGACCGAGGCTTAAGAGGTACCATGGGGGTCTTTGAGTTTGCCTTTTTACGGCGATAACTCAATCTAAGAGTGTCCCAAAAAATTACCCTTTTGTGCAGACAAAGTGGCGTGTCATGACCTTTGATCACAATTTTAACGCGATCGAAGAATAATGGCAAAGGAACCGACGATAGCCCAACAGCACATTCTTTTCTTCAACGTTTTTAAAACCAAGCCATATGCATAACCTCATCAGGACATCAGAATTGGGTCAACGTTATAATGCACCCTTGATTTGGTGAAGGCACTCATCTCTTTGGCTTCATGTCTGTTGGGTGGGTAACTAGCCACCCTGCCCCAGACAGAATCGGGCGGTCGTGTTGCCATGCAGCAAAATGGGAGGGCTAAGCAGACTCCTGACCTCCGTTTGCCCCCCTAAACAAGAGAATGTGCTTCGGTGCCCCAGGTGGTAATGGGAGAAAGCCCCAGGCCGATCGGACATAAGATACGGCGCACCGGGTGAAGCTTTCCAAGTCTGCAGGAAATTGGCATAGGACTTGGGCAACTGCAGCAGGTCATCCAGGTACGCCGATTTGTCGGCGGACACCACTGGGCACAACAAGCGTCAGCCCATGGTTTGGGTCTAGCTCTTTTGTTAACTGCACGTCGCAAAACAATTGTCCCGCCTTCATAGTTAGTCCATGCATTACTGTTGGATGTAGTTGGCCTGGCCCTGTTTTGACAGAATTTTCATTAAACAGAAGTTTAAGTCCATTCCTTGGCTGTTTTGTGCATTTATTCATTTTATTTGTTTTGAATGCAAAGTCAACTGAAAAGCTCCTAACCATGTGCAAAACACTCTCGATTCACTTGAGAAATCTGTAGGCTCCTCTAACATTTCATCTTGTCTATCCCAAGGCCCGGAGGGATTCCTCGGCCATCAGCCCAGACAAACGGGTGTTTTGCAACACTAAGAATGATGAGAACCGCTGCCTCAGACAAAGAGCCAAAGAGGAGCAGCCCACCTCGCAGGGGGTCGGGGCGACGCGCTGTTCCCGCACCAGGTTGCGGGCCCTCTTTTTGGGCGGGGCTCTGCGGCGGAGCAGCGTTCCCGGTGGCGGCAGGGCCCCAGCCGGCGGCTCGAGGGGCGGCAGCTGGCGCAGCTGCTCCAGCAGCCCCTGGGCAGCCCGCTTCTTGGAGGCCTTCTTGCCATTGCCCTCTCCCTCCGCACTCAGCTCCCCCACCGTGCACAGGGTGCGAAACGTGCGCATGTGCGGGGGCCCGCTCTCCTGCACCACCTGCCACCAAAGAATGAGTCGCTCGCTAAACAGAAACCAGGGATGGGCGGCAGTGACCGTCGGTGGCCGAGTTATGCCCCGAGGTACAGTGCCTGGCACGCTTAAACGGCTGCAGTCATGGGTTTGTAAGCTGAGACAAGAGTGGTGCTTGTCTGTTCCTCTTCCTTGATAGTACTTGCACAACCATCCGTCAGCATCGCGGCAATGCATATCAAAAGACATTGGCTCGTGTGATGCACAAATGCCACTCTCGGGACACTCTTTTGTGTCCCCAATGCCAGGGATTGTGTGTTAGATTACATGCCATTTGCCTTTTGGATCATCTACGATAGAGTGCATTGAGAGAATCAAGACTATGGGTGTAATTCTTTTTGTACTTTTAGATGACTATTTTCTGAATAATTATTTAATGGAATGCTCATGTAACATATATTCATTAAAAACTTTGCAAACTTGTGGGAGAAATGAATAATTATAGACACATTCTTCCAGCAAACATTAAAAAAAAAAAGAGTTTATAATGCACTTCTTTATGCCCTTATCTGTTACGCCCATCTAGTTTGGGGAACGACCACAAAGGGTAACTTAGTCAAGTTACAACTACTACAGAAAAAATTCCTTAGAAAAATTGAAAATGTTCCTCGTGATCATCACTCTTCCTCTTTTTGAAAAACAAAGAATCGTTGATATATAAAATACGCATTGTTATAGGTTAATTTCCCACTATCAACAATCTGTAAAAGAAAATATTAGGATTATTTTAGATCTTGCTAAGCTCCAAAAAAATTAATCTCTGTAACCATCAGGTTATCGAGCCCCTTCCATATTACCACCGTTTGAAGTAATTTTGGTACTCAAAGATACCGTTATAAGTTACCAGCTTTATTTAAGCACTTTGTTTTCTCGTGCTATAATAGTATCATCGGTAAATAGTCACACCATCTAAGAAATATTAAAATAAAAAAGCATCATTTATTGTGTATAATATATACTAATTATAAAAGGTATATTTTTGTATGCATTTTTTCTATATATTTATCTGTATGTATGTATATGCATGTTCCTCTTGCCAGTGCCACCGCAACCTCGTAATGGGGGCACTGGAACTCGTCCAGCTGCAATCTTGCAGCTTTTTTCCAGCACCCTTGTGACAAATGTATTGTTTCTGGTAAAAATAAACTGATTTGATTTGATGCTAGAGGAGGGAAGGGAATAGGATACCAAGCTTTCCTGAGTATGTAAAATACTTTTCATGGCTATCTAAAATGAATGAATGAATAAGGCATGCAGAGGAGCATTAAATAATTTTCTATTTTGCTGGGAGCATCTGCTACAATGGCTACCTTGGCAGCACTGCCTGTGAAGATGTCGACTACTGGCACACTTCCTTGCAATGCTGGGAAGGCTGCGTACTACCCTCCTTGAATGCTCCGTGAAATCCCTCATACACTGCCCAATATGATAGGCTGCACCAAAGTAATAATGGAGGGGGGTGAAGAACAGACCTAAGGTTTGGTTTGTCTCCAGCAAAATATCTTTCAAAGCACGATGAAAAGACAATATGCGACTCCAGCGACCTATAGAGGTCGTCACTCTCGGGGGCAAGCATGGTGGTTGAAAACGAGCCGTGCCGTGCCGTGCGCCAGCTCGACGCGCCAAGCTCGGGTTTCAGTAGGTAAGCATTGGCCTCAAAATGGTTTGCCCCGATTTCTATCCGCTACAATCCAAACCTGCGGCGGTGCGTTGGCATACGTGAGCCTCCACAGGCCTAGCCTTGGGGGAAGCGACAGAGAGACCATCTACGATCCTTCTACTGCATCGAGGAACGTCGATAAATGCGCAACGTCCGGTTCATGCAGTTGCGTAGGTCGCGTTCAAAGCAACCTAGGCAAGTACATATCGATGTGACAGTAACGACAAAGTCGCCGGGACAACTGTTTGCCCTAGACTACGTCAGAAGCGATGCAAGGAGCACGTAATTCCTTAGGCCATTACGAATTATGTTTTCTCTGCGGCCCTGTCATTGCTGCCGTTTTTGCTGCCTTGGACGCAATTGACGCTACTTCCCACGCTTTACTGACAACATGCAATGACAGAAGCAACAAAGTGATAAGCATAAATTGTGAAAGGACCTGTTCCGGCCAGTTCAGTGGTTTCCCACTTGGTGCCGTCTGTTTTGCTGGAATTGCGAATATTGATTGGGGTTCACAAAAAAACGACTAGGAAGGCACTTTTTGCACGGTGTCCCCCAAAAAAACTTACAGGGTTTTTTTCGGCGCAAAAATAAACTATGCATCGCTGAACACCAATTCTCCGCCCAAGGTAGCACTAGAGGTCCGAACCAGATGTCAAAGTTTCAGCCCGAACCGACATCTTATTCAAAAGTTATGTGATTTTGTGAAAATTGCAATGGGAAAAGGGGGCCCATTTTCGGCCGTTTTCGGTTTCTGGAGCTATAGAGCTCCATGTATTCGAGAGCACCATCGGCCGCCATTTTCGCACTGAAATTGTCTGAAAATCACTTATAACTTTTGAATAAAATATTGGTTCGGGTTGAAACTTTGGCATCTGGTTTAGACCATTAGCACTACCTCTAGGTAGAGAATGAGCGTTCGGCGTTGCATAGTTTATTTTTGCGGCGAAGAAAACACTGAAAATTTTTGTTTGGAACACCCTGTACATGGCTTTTCTTAGGTACACAGGTTTTTTCAATTAATTTCAGTTGCAAGTGCACCTTGTACCATTCAACCTGACTTGTCCCTGTTGTTTTTGACACTTTTGCCAAACTTGAAGGGAATACCATGTTTCTTTCCATAACCACCGAATAAGCTAAACTTCGGAGCAATTTCACACCCACCTGGAAGGAGACAGAGAGTCCCCTCTTGAGAGCGAGCTCATGCACGAGGCTGACAGGCGACTTGAGCTGGTCCCCGGGGGCCTCCCCCAGGTCAGCGGGAACGGGGTCGGGGGGCGGCCGGGGAGGTAGGCCCCGCAGCAGGGACAGGGCCTGCTGCGCCGCCGCATGGCGCGCCGCCTGCTCCGTTGGACCTTCCCCGTGAAACCGACGGGAGCCCACCTCCAGGCTCGCCGAGAAGCTGGTGGGGACCGGGCCCAGGGGCCGATAGCGCGGGGGGTACATCCCTGGGTGTAGGTGGGGGATCATCATCATCATAATCGTCATCATAACCACCATTGTCGTTGTCGGAATCAAACGCAAGTGTGTGAACAGGCCTTTAAACACGTGGCGATGGACTGCCAAGGCCCATCACTACATGATAGACCTTGGCAGTCCATCACGCCAGAAACAAACTTGTTCCCAGAGGCCCTTGGCTTTTGGATGGAGGCAGAAGCCAACGTGGGCTCGGCTGATGCAGCGTAAAGAACCGAAAACATTACAGAATATGTTAAGAGAAGACTAGAGGACTGGTGGCATCAAAGCAAGAAGCAGTGATGTAGTTAAACCTCATTTATTTTTGACTGGACCAGAGCATGAACTTTGTTCACCCTAGAGGTCTAGTTCACCCGATACAAAGCAAGATCCAATTCAATCAAATCATCTATTTTTTCTTGAGGTCCCGCACAGGCATCATACAAGGGAGTGGGCATTTGCAGGGTGTATTTTCTAAGATGGAAAATATTAGAAAAAAAAAGACATTGGGAATAAAAAAATTATTCCTGCAGAATAACGTAATAGACTGCGGTGGACATCAGAGCACGAGTATAAAGCACCAATCACCAATTAATGGCTTAATTACCGTATTTACTCGCGTACAGGTCGACCTGTCTTTCAAAAATCGCCTCATCAAAACTGGGGGGTCGACCAATACGCGAATCCCGGTATTATATTTTTCAACTTTTTTTTTTTTTCGGGGGTCCCGAAGTTAGGGGGTCGACCTATACGACGTATCGACCAATATGCGAGTAAATACGGTAAGTAAAATCCGCCAACTATTTTTTAAGCATTGTTTTTAGCAGGCAAATTTCAACCAGAGATTTGCAGCCCATCGCCAAAAAAGTTGTTGGATATTAAATAAATTTTTCTTCACACTTGGCAAATTTTGGTAGCTGCGTGTTGCACTGCTCCTCAGTTGAGGTCAGTTTTCTTCGAGTTAAAAATAGCGCAGCTATATATAACTTGAATAGGGTTCGAAAAAAGTAAAAACACTTATAAAAGTCAACCTCGGACACAAGACAGATAGGATTGTAACACTTTAGTATATATACAAAATCGTTAAGCAAATATGTCTACTGGCATTCCGTACAATGTAAGAACAATTAAAAAAAAGGGGTGTAATTAAGTTGTACCTGACACCCTCTCGTTTTGCACAATTTCTATTCAGTATTTTTTGGTCAAAACCCTCATTGAACAATACCTTGACAAATTAGCCTCATCTGTGAATACACTCCATCCTTCTAGAGAACCCGAGAGCTGTGACCCCATAACAAAAGCAGCAAATCTGGGGTTTCCCAAAAGGGCATGCATGCTACGCTCACCCTGAAAGTTGAGGGGGGGCAAGTAGGCCAGCTGCGGAAGCTCCACGACCCGATAGGTGGCCAGTTCGCCCCGCTTCATTGCCAGCGCGTTCAGCTCCACCGTCGGCGTCAGGGGCGCCTGAGCGTGGTTTGCCGGGCGTGCTACGGGCCGCGGCAGCGACGTCTCTTCGAGCGCGCGCTGGGCGGCCGCGTGCTGGGCACGCTTGATGCTGGTCCCCGAAGCCTGGTACTCCTCCTGCCAAACAAGCGACAAATGAATTTGGGGGTTTTATGCTTCCAACCAACAAAGGGTGCCTGGCACAGCCCAGCAGAGGACTGAGGATTAATTTCGACCACCTGGGGATCCGTAGGCCAGCGCCTTGCCTCGGAGCCACCGAGGCAGTTCCGGACAAGCAGATTAACAGGAGTTCCGGAAGGAGACTACAGCAAATCCCATTCCCAAACTCCCCAACTATTTCGGCAAAAGTTCTTGGATCAACTCAGCGACACGCAAAACTATCAGTAACGACGACGGTGGTGTTCCCGACTTTCAGGAAACAACAAAATGATGCCTGATTTAGTCTATAACAGTCATTCTCAAATGAGGGTCTGCACACCCTGTGGGGGCCCTGAAAGCCTTCTCAGGGTCCCGAAGACCTCAACCGTCAGTCAAGCCGACCATTACAACTTTTTCTTTTTTATTGATGTTTGCTGTCCCACGGAGCTAAATACTGCACCAAACCACAGGCTCCAAATAAGCAGGGTTGATTATATTTTGTTTCAAAGCTTTAAAGTTGGTTTGCAGGCAATTATTTTTCTTTGTTTACCCTTTTATCATTGCGATTGCCCAATACCCCCTCCTCTCCACCCGTGGATGGGGTTCTTTATCACTTTCACTGATCCGGAAGGTGTACCCAAAACATCAGTGGTTGAGGACCACTGGTCTATAATATGCACGGAAGAAACCTTCAATGAACGCTGGACACAGGACGGCACTTGTTCATTTTAGAACCGAGCTATGAAAAGTAAGAGCAAATTATGTAGCACTTCTTTCACACGTGCGACAACGCTTTGTCGCACGCAGATCACATGTATGACAAAGCGAGTGCTGTGTCATAGAGAGCGACATGTACAGGGTGCATGACTTGCTGGATATGCTCTCAAGGTGTACTGCAAAAAGCGCCGGGCCTCAACTCCTCAGCATGAGTGATAGACGGCCTGGCAATAGCTTGTTTTTGCCAACCTCTCCGAGTGTCGACTGTATGTAAAATCCTGAGAGATGCCCCACCCCCAAAGATAGCCCACCCCTATTTTTGGCTTGATTTACTATATTGTTTTAAATACCGAAAGATAGCCCACCCCTAGTAATAGTAGTGTTGTGATCAATGATAGCCTAGGCGTAGATGCGGCTAGTTAGCTTTGGCGGGATATGAGCGAACATTGCTGACTGAGAAGTACAGTCATCTTTGCTTCGTTGCCCCTCGCCCCCATAACAAGCTCGGAAGGGACACTACCTAAATATAGCAATTTGTTTACTTTTCTTGATTGTACTCCGAAAGTTAGCCTACTCCATATTTTCACCCAATTTGCTCTCGATGCTAGGTGGACTATCTCTCGGGGGTTTACGGTATACTGGTTTGCAGGGTTGTAAATTATGTAGGCACAAATAATAGTAACTGCAGGCTAGCAATTAGGTGTTTTGTGTGTGCCTGGAGTAGAAGCCTAAATACTTTTATTTATTGTTTGCAATTAAATTTTTTTAATGGGCTGCTTGTTCATGAGGGTGAAAGGTCATACATGAAATAGCATGTTATTCTTTTTGGAATAGAGGTGTTTCTAGCGATATATATTTTATGTGCTCCTTCTGGATATTACACGATTATCACGTGTAATATCCCTTGAGGCTTGGGACCGCATTTCGACGATTAGCATCTATTAAATCTGAACTTTCTCGTCAATCAGTCTTGCCAGTTCAGCAGCTTAGAGCCACCAATGACGGTGAAACACCAATTAAGAAAGAAAACGTCGCTGCTCTCGATGAGCCAGGGACATCCCGAAAACGCTCTGGCTAACTTGTCACCTTTGCTGCTGTATGAATGCAGCATAGCAAGCATATTTATTTATTTATTCTGATGGAATATGTTCCATTCCATCTTTATGTGAACCTACTGCAAAGGCTGGAAGCCCAAACTCCTTGATGTCAAGTGTGCCTCGGCAGCACGCATGCTCATTCAGTGGAAGCACATCCTGGATGGCTAGGTACATGTGTATGTTTTAAAAAGTCACGGAAGTGACGTAATGACGTCACAGATGCCATTATGCCACTTCTGTGACCTTTTAAAACATGCTGATGGAATATGTTCCGTTCCATCTGTATGTGAACCTACTGCAAAGGCTGGAAGACCAAACTCCTTGATGTCAAGTGTGCCTCAGCTGACAGGGCCGTACCCAGAAAAAAATTTTGGGGGGGGGGGGGGGGTTTTCGGGGACAACGGCGGCCATTTTGAAAATATCTATTGTCTTATTTTCACTTATGAATCCTGTGCATCGGTGGCATATAATGGAGAGTTATAGCAAACCGGAGAACTGGTCCCGGTTTGGTACCCGGTATCCGACCGGCGCCACTGCGCGTGCGCAGAGGTGGAGATTAAAATCGGCTGGCTGCAAGTGCACCGACCACGGTCGTACCCAGAAAAAATTTCGGGGGGGGTCAGAGCCCCCTAACCCCCCCCCCCTGGTTATGGCCCTGCCTCAGCAGCACGCATGCTCGTTCGGTGGAAGCACATCCTGGATGGCTAGGTACATGAGTATGTTTTAAAAGGTCACAGAAGTGACGTAATGGCGTCACAGACGCCATTATGCCACTTCTGTGACCTTTTAAAACATGCAGATGGAATATGTTCCGTTCCATTCTTATGTGAACCTACTGCAAAGGCTGGAAGCCCAAATTCCTTGATGTCAAGTGTGCCTCGGCAGCACGCATGCTCATTCTGTGAAAGCACATCCTGGATGGCTAGGTACACTCTCTGGCAATATGAAAGACCCACTGGGAGCGCGTGGCCGAGGCGGTGGATGGCGGGGGCGCTGCAAGTGCTCCGGGCAATTCCATTCTGCTTTGAGGAAAGGTTGCTCACTCGGGCTCAGCTAAAGCGAAATGCGCTTATCAGATTGTGCTGAGCCCCGAGTGAGCATCCTCCCCTCGAAGCAGAATGGAATAGCCCGGAGCGCTCGCAGCGCCCCCGCCAGCCACCGCCTCGGCCACGCGCTCCCAGTGGGTCTTTCATATTGCCGGAGACTGTACATGTATGTTTTAAAAGGTCACGGAAGTGTCGTAATGGCGTCACAAATGCCATTACGTCAATTTCGTGACCTTTTAAAACGTGCATGTAAATGTTCAACCTAGCCACCCTAGAGCCCCACACTGGTGCTTGTAGCCTTTCTGAGCACTCAGATCAAAGATGAAATAGAGTGAAGCCCAGGTTCTAAAGCGATCTTGCACATTGTACCATAGGCAGAAAACTGGTACCGGGACTTTCTTCTCCACCGGAAAAGGATTGATAGTACTCGAGGGCTAGGTTGGACATTTACATGTACATTATTAAAGGTAACGAAAGCTGAGGGCTCGAGTGTGGTTCGGGGACAGTCCTGCGGCTCCGATCGGGAGCCCCGAAGCGCGTCCGTGCAGCGAGGCCGGATCACTTACGTTGCCGGCGAGCCTGAGCACCACGGTGAAGTTCTTCTTGTGCGGCGGCCCGGACTCCTCGACCAGCCGGTACTGGAGGGCCACCTTGTTGAAGCGCGCCAGCTCGTTGACCAGGCACATGGGCGTCTTCTTCTCTTTGCTGTTTGCCACGGCCGCAGTGGGCTGGTCCCCCGGGGCGCTGTCCGGCCCAGGGGGAGCGCACTCGCCGCCTGGACTCGGGCTCAACATGCTGCGACGGCCACTGCGAAGAGGCGACGCCCGCTTTGGGTACGAGCACGCCCGGAGACCGTGCGCTGGGCGGCCTTGCCCGAGAGGCGCACGCCCGACACACGACTCCACGAGAGGCGGTGTACTCACGATCGGCGCAGATGGGGCTCGGTCGAGGACAAGTCCAGGCGGGGAATGTCATTTCAAGCCCCGGCTGACCGGGGGTCAAAAGACAGACCACCTAACGATGGCAAACAGTGAAGAAAAATGCACGGGCAGTCGGAGGACTACGCAACGCTCATGGTAGCGCAGCTACACCGGCTACTCGGCCGTCCGCTACTGGCTTCGGTTGGCTTCGGACGGCTATGGACGTGCCTGACCATGACGTCATCTTTGTGGCCTTTTTCGCCGGGGCATTTTGTTCTGCTATCTGCATTCTGCATTGCAAGACAGTACCATAACACCACCATACTCAATCACGCTTTCATTCCTTTCCGTTCCGAATCCTTCTACACGCATCAATTCGGTCATATCATGGATAGAACATCCATTCATTCTCGTAAGGTCATAACGTGATAACGGTGATAACGTCATCCACCTTGTCCGAAGACCGCGGAACTGGCGGAACTTCTAGCAGCTGCCACTTGGACCTCGCGAACGTAGAACAACGCGAATTCTCAGACCGTGGGTCGTAGAAGCGTTCCAAACTACCGCGGCAATTACGGCAAGAGACCGAGGGTTCGCTTGTTTTCCTTTCCTCGAGATAGGCACGGAGATCTCAGTGGAAGCGAGCGATGGGCCGAGACGGCGTGACGGCGTCGATTCGGATCCTTGTGGGCGTCCCGCCCGGCCACAAGGATCTGAAAGTGTGTAAAGGCTCAAGCAGCGGAAGTGTTCTGTCTATTTGAAACGTAGCCTCTCCCGAACAGCAGAAGACTGGCGTACGAAGAAAGACTACACTTGTAAGTTGTAGCTCTGTAGCTGGAGGTCTGAGTAATAATAATAATAATGCTTTATTCGGTTTCTAAAACCCGGGCGACAGTGAAAAGGCTATTGCCCATGCCATAGAGGCCCACTGCACCGACACCAAGTCTCGGTGTCGGTAACTGGCTGTCAGTCGTCACGCTTATCCATAGGATAGGATGACCGTAAAAGATGTTTGGTAAATGTTGAAACTCTGGAGATATTTTAAGAAGTTGATGCCGGCTTTTCATAAACCTTGGGAGTAGAAAGGGGGGGGGGGGGGGGGGGGGGGGGGTTGGGTTGGGTTCAACATAAAATTAATTTTTAACAGAGTTCTTCATTGAGGACACAACTGCCTTTTATTTAATTCTTGCCCCTTTACAAACAACGATAAAATAATTTCTCGTCGTTTCGGAAGATCTGTCTATCTGTGTTTCTTGGAAGATTATCATCTCAAGCTGGCTTCGTTTCTGTTCAAAAGGAGGTGGAGTGTCTCACTTTTTTTTTTTTTTTATAGGCACATAGCCAGGAATTTGATTCGGGAGGCGGCCCACCCATGACAAAACGCTGTATGAGGGGGAGGGGGGAGAGGAGGCCCCAGCAAAATGGAAGATTTCGTGGGGAGGGGGGGGGAGGCTCTCCTGGCCCAATCGGCCCCCCCTGGATACATGCCTGGCCTCACCGATCTGAAGACGCTGCTCAACGAAATGGAGTCATTCGAGGACAATCTCGCAGGACCAAAAAGAACGCAGAACTGCAGCAAACATGAAGGTGATTATCTTAACTTCTTGAGGATCTCGTCGGCAACGATCTCGTGCCAGCAGACAAACTTGGAGCACTCGAGCCCCTGAAGGGGCAGCTGCGACTCGTCATGCAAGAAAGGAAGGAGGCAGTCGAGAACCCCGCTGATATTTTAGTATTTGCTTGTCTCCTGTACACAGTTTGTGCTCGTGCATACGAGTTTGTGCGGACTTCTGGGAGAATAGTTCTTCCACTTCCGTTTACCATCTTGCGTGCCTGTTGTTCAATTAATGCGAGTCCTGCAACCGATCAAAATGAAGATGGGTTTCTCAATTGCATTGCGAGGCAAATAACATCGATGAAACCTCATGAACGCTCTGTCATAGTGCACGAAGTTTGCATCGAACAATATTCTGCTCGCGAAAGTGCCGGGCCAACAAGCTGCTCTTGCAGTTCGAGAGGTGTTGTCAAAAGTTCTAGTATGTTCATGATATGATGACTACTGACGCCCTGGAAAGATGTTGCTCATACCCTTCCAGTTGCTAAAGATGTCGAGCAGCTGCGTAAGGCTCTGAAATGACTCATCATTAGGTTGGAGCAAGTTAGTCGGACCGTCGTAGCAGTCATTGCCGACAACAATGCCGTGTACATGACTACAATGTCCTCTTTCTCAACCCAGAAACAACTTGAGATTGTGTACCTGCACTCAACCAATTCAATGACTGGATGAACCAAGAGAACCCAGACAAGTTTGTTTTATTCCCCATTTGAAGTAATGAGCACTGCCACTTGTTCTGATATTGCGTCGTTCACTGCGTTGCAACATTTTCATGCATTCAATGAACAGAACCTCATCGAGCTTGTTCACAAACTGCCGTTCAAAGCACTAAACCCATTTAATGCAGAGAAAGGGAACATAAGACTGGCCCTCAGGGTGTTCAGCAGCAGTGGGGCAGAAGCAGCCGGGACATCTGGTGACACTCTGGACCTGTCGCATGCCGAAGGAACTGTCAATTTCATCGAGATAATGGCCAAATGGTGTTTCATCTTTATCCCTAAGACAGGTGCAAAAGGTTGCTACCTGAACAACGATCCGAAACAGTTTGTGACATGTATGGATGGATGAGATTGTATTCCTAGATGCATTTGTGAAGTGGCTTGATGCATGGCAAGATCGGGGTGCCAACACTGGCCTGCTAAGAGATGACACGTGCAGCACTGCGGTTGACCTCGTACACCTGCATCGAGCTCTGCAGATACTGCCTTGAAGAGTTGGGACTAAACTATGTGCTCATGGGAAAGCTTCAAGCAGAGGGCGTAGTGGAGTTTTGTGGAAGTTACGAGCATTCGATTAGCCTGCAATACCATGCATCTGTGACAGACGTCCTTGAGTCAAAGGATCAGATTCCAGAACTCGCTTCTCCTCATTCAGCATCCAAGGAATGCTTCAGGCCATCACTCCAATGACGGAAGAAGAGTAAAGGCTGTACAATATGTCGTAGTCTCCCGAGAAAACATTTACAAGGAACGCGAAATGTCAACCATCTCGTACATCGCTGGATTTCGCACACATGCCGCCATAGAGAGACTTGTTTGTGAAGCCTGTGCCGAAAACCTGGTCACTGGCAGCAGGAAGCTCCAGGCAAGGATGGACGTTATGGTAAAGAAGTTTTCAGTAGGGGACCAGAAGTTTTGAGCCTTATGCCGTGAATGTTGTGTTGCATGCAAGTGTTGCTTTGGACAAACTGACTGTTGGAATAATAAGGCCAAGTTCCTCTCGTCCTTAGTGGCTTCTAGATGAAATGGGGAACTTGAAAGTGTGCTGCAGTGGGCACCACCCAGACACTGGAAGTGCAATGGTCAATTCCTTGCCAAACTATTAGGCAGAAAAAAGATATTCTTCAGATAACAAAGGTGCAGCAGACCAGAAAGAAACTGAAGGCTTTGCTGTAGTGTGTATTGCGCACTTTGACTCCTTAGAAATTTGTTGTTACAGTGGAATGCATTGTGGAAGATGGCTTCAGAGGTGAATATATGCATATGAATCATATTTCGAGTAAAACTAAAGGCAACGAAATGGTCATTTTAATACTTTTTGTTGTTATTCGTCTGTGTCAAGGGAAGCAGGATGTGTACCTCGATTAATGAAAAGCACGTAAGGAAACAATTCGAAAATATAAAATTTGATTTTTTTTTCTTTTTTAATAATGGGGTGTTGGTAGTAGTAGGGCCAGTAGTACCCTGGAAGGCAGAAGACTAGCCAAATCGTTAATTTAATTTCTGAAGTATATAAATGCAGTCCTTAATGGTGTAATAATGTACAGTATAAAAAAAATTCTACAAAGTTAAATATATCCACTAGATGGCGCGTTATACAGACCAATTCAAATAGCATATAATAAACGTTTGTCTAACGGAAGTGCATCATCGTCATCATTCGTTTGTTCATCTATCTGTATAAATTTCTGTTTACAAGCGTGCGTTGCGTGCGTCTGCTACCTGCGGCAGGTGCGACTGCGACTACGGGCCTGCGGAGCGAGCTGCGGTCAACAAAGCATGATTTAAGGCTATTTGAGTCATAGCTTGATTTTCCGAACACTAAACATGGAGGTACCTGTGCTAGCTACCGCCGCTCGTTTCACGGGCATCGTCCACACACTAGGGGTACCCGCACGTTTTCGTGCGCTGCTGAGATACGCGTGGACCTCTCCCAGAAGGTTTCATTCGCAAGAACAGTCGCCGGCCGCTCAGAAGTCGCCCGGCTCCAAAGGCGCGGCCGTGTTTCCCAGGAAAGTCTTCTCCGGCATTCAGCCGACCGGAGTGCCGCATTTGGGCAACTACTTCGGCGCGATCCGGCAGTGGACCGAGCTCCAAGACTCTGGCGTCGAGTGTGTCTTCAGCGTCGTGGACCTGCACTCCATCACACGGCCGCACTACGATCCCAATGTGCTCAGGTACTTCTTCAAATGACGAAAGCTACGACCCGGGCCATCCAATCAGGGCGCCGGAGCGAAGCTCATGACATCGTACGACCGGTGTTCGCTCTTCTTCTGGAGGAGAGTGTGCCTCGCTTCTTTGCTCTTATTGGCTCGTCTGTAGGCTTTGACCTTTCCATAGTTATCAAGTAGCGTGAGCTACTTGATAACAATTTGGAAGATCAGCAACACTTGGTGGTAGCTCGATGAGAGAGAATCGCGCAGTGATTGACAATCTCAAGATGCCAACGATTGAAACGTGTAAAGCAATTTAAAACGCTGGCAATAAAGAGCTTAATTTATTTTATATATTTTATTCCCTACATTACACGAGAAAGAAGGCGCTCGGGCGCATCGCTAACCATACAATGTTGCAGTGACTACGACTTGCCTCACCCAATTTGTTAATTGCAGTCTCAGTTTCATGCATGGTTAACTTGCTGCAACCACAATTTCAGAAATAACATTGAAGTGATGACAGCCACCCTTCTGGCATGTGGAATTGATCCCGAAAAGTCCCTGCTGTTCCTGCAGTCTCAGGTGAGCGTAACTGAAGTCGCACGATCGCTGCAGGTCTACAGATTGAGGCAGCGACTTCTTTTACATCCTACAGGTACCTGAACATGGTCAGCTATCGTGGATTCTAAGTTGCCTACATACTACAGCCCGGTTGCAACACTTTCCCCAATACAAGGTACCGACAGCTTGGATTCTACAAGGGTAGCCATTTTATTGTGCCGCACATTTACCATGTTCTATTGGTTTCTCGACTGGGCAGTGCTTATAGTTAGGGGGGGGGGGGGTCTCGGAGGGGTTTGGGCTCCCGCCGATTTCGAAGCGTGGTCTGAGACCCACCGCCACAACTCTGGCATTGGTGAAAACACAATCGTGAGTGATCCATCTTGTAATCAGAAATGTTATGATTTTTTTCTATTCAAGTTTTGTTGTGTAGCAATCTCAAGAGAGAGAGCAAAAACTATGTTGTGAGTAGCCATGTTGATTTCATTTGGAACAAAATGGCAGATGTTTCAGAGACATTCTTAATTCTTGACGAGAAAAATAATTGGAATCTACTTTGTTGGTCGGTTTTGTTTCATGGGAAACATGCCTGGTTACGCATACAATCAAGTCTGTTTTGTTTGAACATCATGTGAACCCCCCCTCCCTTTTGCCAGAGACCCCCCTGCACTTTCGGGAGACTTGAAGCACTGCGACTAAGTGCCTTGTAACCTTTCCCAAAGACATAATGAGGTGGCGGACATGCATGCACAATGAGCTCCATGAAGGGTGAAAAAGTTATAATTTTTTTAAGAACAGGTGTTCTCCTCTTCAAAAAGAAAGTGTTATTTTCACAGCAAAAATAAACTATGTAACACTGAATGCTCAGCCTCCCCCAAAATGTAGCACTACCAGTCTGGACCACTTGCCAAAGTCTCAAAACGAACTAGTCTTACTAAAAAAAGCTGTGAGCTATTTGCAAAAATAGCTTTCAATGGGAAAATGGTGTTTGAGCAAGTTCTAGGGATACACAGAGATGAATGGCATCAACTGCTGGGAATGGCCTCATTTTCGTTCCCGTTGAAAGTTTCCAAAAATCATTCGCAAAGTTTGGGTAAGGTAGCACGGTTAGCTCTGAAACTTTGGCACCTGGTCTGGACCGCTAGTGGTACATTTGGGGGGGAACTAAACGTTCAGTTATGCTCAGCTTAATTTTTGCGGTGAAAAAAAATTGCGGTGGCTTAGCTCGGCTATGCCAGGATATATGTAGCGTGAGCTTATGCGCACAAAATGAGAGGCGCTATCAAGCGGCTCTGGTGCAGCGTCAGACTTGGCTACTGCGCAACGGAGGTGCACAGCTGGGCACACGGCGGCACCAGTTCGTCTGCTGCGGCTATGACGTCACTCCTCTGGAATGTGCAGACCGGTGAGGTGCGCGCGGCGGCGGCGGCTCCGGTGCGCACACCTCACCTCGCCGGTGCCGCGCCGTGTGGCGCGGCTCCGGCGCACCAGCTGTGCGCCGTGTGACGTCACTGCTCCTCGCGCATGCGCAGACCAACGAGGCGCGTGCGGCGACAGTGGAGCGTGCGGCGGCGGCGTCTCTGGCGCACCAGCTGTGTGCCGTGTGACATCACTGCTCCTCGCACTTGCGCAGCACAGAGCACGGCTCATCATGCGAGCCACGTGAAACTGCTCAACCTCGGCCAGTGTAGCTCACGCTACAAAAACAATTCAATTTTTTGGGAGGGACACATACAAACATAAAGTCAAGGCTATAATGCCTTTTTTTTTCAATTTTTGTTATGAAAACATTAGTAGTGGGTTGCCAACACTCCATATGTCAGAAAAACATTCTTTGGCATTCATTTTTTTAACAAAAAAGTGCTTGCCTTTTTTTGTTTTTGTGGAAATGAACCTGCACTGTCGAGCAACTGACTGTTGTCGAAAAAAGTGAAGTAAAGCAAATGAGCTAGTTAAAGCTGGAGAGTATTAACATTTCAATGCCAATAGATTCACTTGTCCCAGACTATTGTTTTTTCTAGACCTTTGCCTTTGTCGGCAGTTTGCAATAACATTTTAATGACAATATATTCACTTGTCCCAGACTGTCGTTTTCCCCTAAACCTTTCCCTCCATAGGCTGTCGGTTCTTCGTGCAATGCGATTTCCTTCTGCAGGAGAAGACTGCCGGTCTGAAAGAGGTTCCGCTAGGGCTGTACCTGTACCCCGTGCTGCAATGTGCAGACGTTCTGCTCTACAAGTGAGTGGCAGGCATTGCCGGCAGATGGGATGTCACAGTGTCCCTGCGCCTCTTTTAGGGCCACGGACGTACCTGTGGGCCACGACCAGTTGCCCCACATTTACCTGGTTCAGGACGCCGCCGAGGCGTTCAACAAACGCTTCGGGACTGTCTTCCCTCGTCCCGAGCCATTGCTGGGTGAGCTCTGCTAGTTCTAATGACCCAACCTGATCAAACACTATTATAGGGCAGTTTCACGTGACATACGTCCGACTCGAAATCTCGCCAGTCTCTGTGTTGATGAACTTATGCCATATATCTTCCTACACACGGAGGCCGTGTTTTCCAGCTCGTTCGAGTTCTTTTGCATCGTGATCGACTGCTGCTGCTAGAGGGGCCGGCAACACAAAAGAGCATCGTCTGGTATTTGACTTCTATACGTACCGGCCTTAATTCAAAATGCAGACGAGCCGGCATTTAAGAGGTCACTCGTTAGTGGCCAAAATGGCCCTAGTAAATAAATGCTGCCAGGATGGCTCCAAAAGGGAAAAAGCATAGTGAGCATGGGTTTCTGCGGCCCAAATACGTTTGTGGTTGAACTTATTGAGTCATGTCATCGACGGAGCCACTTGCTATGCTTCTGCATTTCATTAACACCAAAAACGACGCCAATTACCGTAGCTTGCAAACAAATAGGGACAGTCGCAGACGCTGTTCACCAACATGGCAGAACGCGGCTTACCGGAAATGAAAAGGCGTTTCATGGAACAGCCCTGTACTGAAGGTCACGCACACGCTTGGTCTGAAAATGACCGAATGGAATGAACACCGAAGACACAATCAGGCTATTAAGCCTTGTCTGCATTCGTGCGGGGTAATACACATCTTGGGTGTTCCCACCTCCGCATTTGTTGTACCTTGGTTCTTGCCATGACGGAGGACTTAATATTACATATGGAATTCTTTGTTTGCAATGCTTCATTGCAGTGACTATTGTTTAATGTTATTCAAATATTTTAAAACTGAATAAATTATGAATGGTGTTTGCTCTCCAATTTTATCAGCTACACTCCTTTGCAGTTTAATGTATTTAATTTTTTTTTTTTTTTTTTTAAGTTGGGAAATTTTTTTTTAATATTTGGAAATTACGCAATACTTTTGTATTGCATAATTTGTAAAGGTATATCCTTCCTGAGCACCTCTTCTTTGAACCGTCGTTGCATGCACTGACTGCGCAGTGTCGGGCGTGGCATCGAGACTCCGTGACCTTCGCGATCCGTCCAAGAAAATGAGCAAATCCGGGGACGACCCTCGGACCTTTGTGGCCCTGGATGACCCTCCAGAGGTGGTGCGGTCCAAATTCCGCAAGGCTCTGACGGACTGCACCTCGCGCGTCGCCTACGAACCGGACTCCCGGCCCGCGGTGGCCAACTTGGTAGCCATGCACAGCCTGCTCACGGGGCAGAACCCCGAGGAGGTGTGTGTGTGTGTATGGTTTACTTACCTACTCTTCGGGAACAGTGCACCTTATTAACAATGCCCACAGTTATAAGCGACACATCTGGAGCACTCCCTTTCAAGCAAGGCTTACTGAAGAGGCTTAAGACTGTCGGGACGTCAACACAACCAATACCAGTCAAGCCACGACACTATCGACCCGAGACTGAGACACAAAATTTGTCTGCTACCTTTTTTCCTCCTCTTCTACCACTTTAAATCTACTTTTTCTATGCCACACTCTCAGGTTAGTTTTGTCATAGTAAACTTCCACCAGATTGCCTAACCATACTTTTATTATTTATTAGTTAAAGTTGTTTCATTTAAATGATGGACTACTTTCAAAGCACGCAACTTTAAGTGGGCTTTCAAAAAGCTGCAATGCACCGAGTTCCTCGTCATGTCCCTACACCTCTTCCACCAGGTGTGCCTGGCAGCCAGTGACCTCGACACGGGACAGTTCAAAACTAGGCTCGCTGAGGCCGCAGTCTCCTTCCTGGCTCCCATACAGGACAGAATGCGAGCGCACCTGTCGGACCGTCATCGCTTGTGGCGCCTGCTCGAAGAGGGCGCCCTCAAGGCACGGCAAATGGCTGCCGAAACATTGGGCGAAGCACTGGCTGCATCGGGAATGGCACCGCGTCGAGAGACCTCGCGCATTTGGCAAGAACCGCACCTTGCACGAAGGGCTAACGAACGGTAATAAAGATAATAATAGTAATCTTTATTTTTGTTGGGTGTCCAAAAACAGCACAGGGCCTAAACTGTGGTGCACCCTTCGTCATCAAGAATATATGCAGGCAACAAAACAAGTTCATAACTATACATACAAATAGTTGACTCGAGCCTATGTCGAAAAACAATCGGATTGCTAAAAGTGTCTACAACAGATTGATCCAGCTTGTTGAATTCAAGTTGCATTCTTGTTAGTGGTGACGTGTCATTCGAAACAGAAGGGTAAAAAGGACTCTGAAATCGATCGGACCGCAAGGGAACATGAAAACCGACAGTGTTCAACAAAATCGGTGAGTCAACAGCAGTGTTCACAAGCTTATGTGAAAACAAAATCATGTAATCGTCTTCTATCAAGCAAGCAAAGTACACAACCCGAGTTTTTTAAGTACCATATTTTTGGGCTATAGTCCGCAGACTTTAAAAGCTGAAATTTCAGGTTGTGCGGACTATCTATGTGTGTGGACTATACAGGATTTTTGTTTTTCAATATCGTTGATTGTGATGAGACGAGATATATTTTGTGAATGAAAGAGTATGTTAATGATGATTTATGTATATTATAGGCTTCCTTGTGAGCCAAGAAAGCAGACATTTATCGAGGTGTGCCGTCTGTGAGAAGATTTTCGTGTCGACTAAGCACCAGGTGCGGACTATGCACCGGATACAGACTATCTAAGAAAAAACTTTTATTTTTGACCCCAAATTTTTTCTTGCAAACTAAACACCGAAGGCAGAGCCCGGAAAATATGGTAATTGAACTATGCCTATGAAGCATTTTTGGACATGCTTAGTAGAGCATGATGCAGTGACATTAATGCAATTCCATACAGAAGAAGCATACTCCAGCTATGTGCACACTCGGCAACAAAATAATCACACAAGACAAACAGACAAAGAAAATTTTCTCGTGAAATGAGATATCACCCCAAGGTATTCAAAACAGGCGTTGCAGATAGTTAAAACATGATAATTAAAATTTAAGGATGAATAAAAAAATATGTCAAGATCACGAATGACGGACGCTCGGATAATAACACTTCCACCTACTGTGTAAGGGAATACTAGAGAAACTCGCTTTCTAGTGAGAGACGTTTTTTTCGTTTTTTGTTCATTCATCAAAAGATAATCCTTTAAACTCCACTTTGAAATTACTAGTGGATCCTCCTGAACAAGCACGCAATCGAAGTGAGATTTTACACGTCGAAACAGTTTGATATCATCCGCATACAAGAGCACTTTATAATTTCTCACAAAGCAGAATGTCATTCACGAATATCAAAAATAAAAGTGGACCCAGGTTACTTCCTTGGGGTACTTTGACAGGTGATGAAAAATAATCGAATACGGATCCCAACACACAGACATAATTTGTATGGCATGAAAGATAACTTTTGAACCAGTGGCAGCAAGTCAAGCACAAACCATAGCTATCTAGTTTAATCAGAAGTGTATTGTGCTTAACCTTGTCGAATGCCTTTGTCGTACCAAATGTATATTACGTTGACTTGCTCACGATCGCGAACCAAAGGAAAAACGGCATAATCTAAAAAAGAGCGTAGATTGGTTTCAACTGACTTGCCCTTCAGAAATCCATGTTGCTCCGGGTTCATTTTATGTCTAAGGTCGTTTATGCGTTATCATTTTAAAAACTTTGGAAAAACTGTACAATAATGAAACCAGACGATATAGTTGTTTACAATACTAGGATCCCTTGCTTTATGAATCGAAACAACAACGGAGCGTTTCCAGATAGTAGGAAATATTACTGAATGTAAAGACGAATTAAATAGTATGTGTAATAAGACAGGAGTCAGCATTTCAGCACGCTTTTTCACAATAAAACTGGGGATTCAATCTGCAGCAGCAGACAGCTTCAATTTCATATTATGAATGCTTTCCCTAATTTCAAGTTCATCAATTGCGATAAAAGAAAGTAAATCAGCTGTGCTATGGCACATTGTGCTACCATCAGGGGCTGATGCTGGGGGGCTATGTTGCGCTTTTTGCACTCCCAGGAGACTAGGGAGAGGGAAGTGACGTCAACGACACAGCAAACGCAGATTGGGTGCTGATTTCGTTTTCTTCTGTCAACATCCAATCTGCATTTGCTGTGTCGTCGACGTCACTTCCCTCTTCCAAGTCTCCTGGGAGTGCAAAAAGCGCAACATAGCCCTCCTGGTGAAAAACATGACTTAAAATGCTCAGCAAACATGTTGGCGATTTCACTTGAATCAGCCGTATAACCAGAGATACGTATTTTGCATTGGAATTATGCTACTATTTCGCTTCTTTTTTTTCGGTAGACATTTCCAAAAGTTTTTAGGCTTGGCATCAGTGGCGTCACAAGGGGCGCAGATTGCCCCGGGTGCAGTGAAAGTGGGGGGGGTCGCAGTGGTCGCGGCAGGCCACAAGAGCGGGGCCGGGATCGTGGCGGGCTGCCGCCTTGGGTGTTGCTGACCCTAGTGACACTACTGCTTGGCATACATATCGGACTCAAGCCCAGTCGATTGCACACTCTCGTCTTTTTAGAGCGCAGCTCTTAGGCGCCCATTTCCGGCTTGAGTGGTGTTGCCGTTGTTGCCATTGGCGTCAGTGTAGCTGCACTTTGCAATATGTGTGACGTCACGTGTAATGTCACGAGGGTTACCCTCACAAGGGTCATGAAAGTTATCCTTGCAAGGGTCACGAGAGTTACCCTCACGAGCGTTTAGAGGGTTACATCCCGATGTTGCGCTCATGACGTCACACGTGACGTCATTATAGGAAACATGCGAGATATGACAGCACGTGACGTCGCAAGCATCTAGAATTTCCAATATTCCCGCTAAATTTAGCAAGAAAATTTTTTCACTAAATTTGTCAGAAAAATATTTGCTAAATTTACCCTCGTGGCATCACATGTGACGTCACAAGGGCAAAATTTCCTCACTAAATTTAGCTGGAAAGGAAGAGGGGCATACCCTCCCCTCTTCCTCCTCTTCAAAAGCTGCACTCTAATTCGGCGTTACAGAAAATTGTAAACGTTCGTAATTTTTTTAAAAAGCTATTTTGCCAAAGCACAGCACTCACTAAATTTGGTGTGCCACTTGTCCAATCATGATTTTTAAAAGGATGGTGATAATGTACTTTACATCGCAAGCAATGTTTCAGTTCCTTCGAAATCTAAAAGGGGTGCTTGTTTAGTCTAAAAACACGTTTAGGCACGAAGACATTTATCGCACTCGACACTACTGTAAGAGCCTCGGCAGCTGAATCAGCGCACTTATCACTCAGGATCGGTTTCCAGTGATGGCATTGGAAGTACTTACCCTATACATATTGAGGTAATCGCCACTGCTGTACAGGAAGTATTCATAGCTGCATAGGGCCCATCGACGTAGTGGAAAACAAAATGACGCAATAAAAGGCGGACGGAAATGGTCAACATGCGTTAGGGGGTCAGTGATATTGGCAAAATATAGTTAATTACAGTTAGAGTAGACACTAATAAAAGATTTTGAGTATATTTCCCACTGAATTCTGGATATTACATTGTTCAAACGCATTAAAATAAATAAATTCAAACAGCCTCAATGCTTTCAGGCTGGTGACATCACTCATCGAGTTATAACCAGCCAGCCAGTCGGCTCCAGGTAGGTTAAAATCCCCATTAATGTGCACACGGAACTTTGTCGAGTCTGCTAGCTTACCTCCCAAATCTTTAAAATGATGTGTAAAAACGTCCGAGCTAAGGTGTGGCGAAAAATAGTATTTCCCTATTAAATAATTAAGCTCATCAAGGCAAGTCACCTCGATCCATTCACATTCCAAGTACAACTCAAGATCATATCTTCTTCATGCACACAAAGAAGTGTCCATGGCCGTTAAAACACTTCCCCCATATCGCTGTCCTGTGGCAGCATAATCACGGTCTTTCCGAAATGATGAATAACCAAAAGTGAAAAGACAGTGAGTGTGCAGGCGAGCTGGGGATAGCTAATCATGTCATATAACACCTGATACTGTGGAGGAAAAAATTGGAAACTCTTTAGTAGAAGGAACAGACACAGAAAGGGACGTCTCTAACTCGGCTAACGGTTTATTTCTCGACCATCCTATATATACCCACGAAGCCCTCCCAACCAAATACTATGCAGAAATCTCCTTTGTTGAAAACAGTTCCAAATGGAGAGAACATACATGACACACAGAGATCAAGCACACACACAGACAAAAGAGGCCCTTATCTGTGGTATCCTTTCTTTATGGTAAAAAGGTATGTTGATGACATTTTTATTCACACTTTTCGAGAGAAGGATGCTCGGTGTTTGGAATTGAGTGCAAGAACAGCAGCTCTGGAGCTTAAGTTTACAACCGAACAACCTGAAAATGGGGTCCTGCAGCTTGATTTCCGCATAAATGTTGAACAAGCTCTTTGTTGGGAGTACGGGAAAAAGCCGCAAAACCTGTGCTAAGTAGGAAGAGTTGCCACACCAAATCGGTTAAAGCAGGGGTAGTGAAGTCCTTAGTAGCGAACGCATTGCGTAAATTGTGCACTCATTTTATAGGTAATGCGGTCAAAGAACAGTGGTTGAAGCTGGAATCTGCCGGATATGAAGAGGAATTCATCAAAAGGCAGTTAGAAATAAAACTTCAAAATGGACACCAGGAAAAGGAAAAAGATAGCAGTAATCCCATATTTCCACGGCATTTCCCACAGCCTAAAGGCTTGCGCCAAAAAAGTTTGGAGTAGGCGTAGTGTTCTCCCCAGATTTCAAAATGAGCAGGTTGACGCCATTTCTGTCAAACCACAAATGCTGTCAGAAGGCTCATCGGGAACCTTCGGTTCTGTGCAAAGAAAGCGTAGTATATGAAATTCCGTTAAAATGCAGGTGCAAGTACGTGGGACAAACCTCGAGATGCCTCAACCATAGGTTATTAGAACACAAGAGAAATGTAAACACGAAAGCGCCGAACTCAGGAAATTGCAAAGCACATTGAGGAATGCAACAATTATACCCCATGTAGTACGAAAACGTTCTGAGAACATTCCGGGAATGTTCAAAAGAACATACGCAACATTCTTGGAATGTTGCAAATTTACGTAAGAACATTCTATGAACGTTGTCGGAATGTGGCGCAGGCACTTATCGCTACATTCAGGGAATGTTTTCTATGGGATATTCTTAGAAGGTTCTGAGAACGACATAGAACATTACGAGGACATTCACTCAACATTCAAATATCCCAACAAGAGTCGAGGAACGTTCTCAGAACATCCAAAGAACTTCTGCAACTTTCTTGAAATGTTGCAAATTTATGCAGGGACATCCCTTCAATCTCCTCGGAACGTGGCGTAGGTACATCGCTACCTTCAGGGAACATTCTCCGATGACTATTTACGCAGATTCCACAATTACGGCTTGCTTAGGCTACAGCCCCAATGTGCCGTACTACATATATGGATGTGATAAAGCTCCTCACAGGGTGATCAATATTTTTTATTCGAAAGATATTTTTAGAAGGCGCAAGCACAAGCGAGCCGCTTTCCCAGCGCACCAGTCTGAGCATTTACTAACAACAGTTTATTCCTACCTGTCACTTGTCAACTTCTTTCATTCAAAATGTGCTGCATACATAACCGATTACTCGCTCTGAGCTTAAGAACAGATACACATGGCATCCCACACTCAACTGGAAAATACCTTTTTCAAAGTTATGAACCCCAGATGCTAAAAATCAGGTCTATTCAAAACTGCCCCTCTACATATGCAGGGAGTGCCAAGTTCATTATCCAGTTTTGAAAACCACTGCTTTTCTCCTACTCCTTATATCACATTCCTCGGTAGACTCATATAAGATAAAGCTGATCCCTCACGCCAAGTTTCCAGAAACCACTTCATCTGCATATTTTTGACACAAAGTGGTACATAGTGCTTGGTGATTCAAACCACAGGTTGCGTGAGAGCTCTGTAAAGTTTGCTTCACCTACGAAAATTCAAGGAATGCTCGCAAGCGAATGTTCCAAGAATGTTGCGCATGTGAATGTTCGAAGGGGAATGTTCCAAGAACATTGTGCATGCAAATGTTCCCCAACGAACGTTCCTAGAATGTTGAGCAGCTTACCTTGTAGGGAATGTTCGCATGCGAACGTTCCTAGAACGTTTCGAATGGTGTTTTAACATTCCTTCAACATTCAGAACACAGTTCTACATAAAGAGCAAGGTGATATCAAGAGGGTCATTAAAGAAACGATAAGAATAAAATCGATGGGAAACTGCACAAACCAAGCGTCAATGCAACTTGGAAGCAACTCCAAAAAGTTTCTGATACTATAAACAAACACATCGATTCGCGAGAAAAGGGATGGAAAGGAAAAAAGAAGAAAGGGGGAGACAATATGCAGTTAGGGTCAGTCGCCACGGTTTAGAGGTCACCAAGATGTGTTTCCCCAAAATAATTCTTCTCTTTTTTTTTGTTTAGAAAGGTATGTGCGGTTTTGGTGCTACTGTTCAGGTCACTGCAATGCCATGCAGTGTCCTCGTTTCATGTGTGCTGTCATCGACAATTTTATCAAGGTCACTGCCATGTCCCGAGGTGTCCTACAGATGGCCTCTTTTGTCTGTGCGTGCACTTGATCTCTTTGTATGTCATGTATGTCTTCTACCTCGGATTTGGAGGTGCTCCCGTATCTCCCAGATCCAATTCAGAGGATTGGAATGCTGAAAAATGACTGGCCAAATATACCATTAAAAAGAAGCAAGGCGACTCTCTTTGTTCGGGTAGGAGTCACCAAATATTGCTAGACATCTTTATTGCCAAGGCACTAATGGAGCAAGGCAGCCTGGTGGATCTTCAATAGATCTTGACTGCCCTGATGTCCGAGTGCGGGTTCTCGATGTGCTCTTTGCTCTGGACCAGACGCAGCTCGAGAGCTGCCTTCGTAACGCTGCCTTCGGCTTCCTTCTGTTTTTCTGCACAAACAACAAAAGCTTTGTTCGGGATGTGCACTGTAGAGAAGAAAGTCCACCAATGTTTTTATCACTAGTTTCTGTTCCCTGCAAGCACAAATTCTCATGACAACAGACACGCCAGAAATGACTACAGATTTCTCCCAAGGAAAATAACTCATGGGGCAGAAAAACACTGTGGAAGCTTGTTGACAGGCTCTTAACAACAATGCCCACGGCTGTGGTGGTTGTTGAATGACGCCCTATAGGAAAACTGACTAATTACATTTTTGTTTTGTTTTATAGAAGTTAGTTGTTTTTTTTTCTTTTTAATATGGAAAATTTTTTAAAAGTTTGGTGTCGAGGTTGACTTCATAGCTGTTGTCAATGTTCTGTGGGCCATATTTTGATTTACTTAAAGGGACACTGACAGGGTATTTAAGCTCGCCAAGGTTTTCATTTGTACATGCCATATGGGAACCTAACTACCTAGAACACAATTTGCTGCTTGAAATTTGTTTTCTTTACACCCGAAAACCGCCAATCGAGAACTGGCCAGTTTGAGACGCGCTCGCTCTCTTCTTCGTGGTCACATGCCGTTTTCTATAGTTTAGACACAACCACCAAAGATAATTAAAGTTGTGGGTCATCGAAGGCATACACTCAATACTAGAAATTAACAACAACAATATACAGTTGTCCTGTTCGTCCTCTTCGTCTGACTCTTTCGTATATTTTCCCATTTTTTCTGGTTTCTAAAAACTGCAAATACGTTGATTTAAAAAAAAAAAAAAAAAAAAGTTGCACAATTAAACACAACCTTAGTCCAGTTCCAGGCAGATGAGTTTTTTTACTTCATTAAAAATATATGTGGCACTGTAGGAAAATATTGATTGGGCCGTCTTCTGACACCATCTAAATCGCCTGGCAAAAAAAAAAAAAAAAAAAATTTCGGGGGTGTTAGTGTCTTTGTAAAGCCAAACAAGTCTAAACAAAACTCCAACTGTAATATACAGACAGTAGACCAGTGGTTGCCCTATGAGGGTCCGTGGACCCTTTGGGGTCCCTGAAGGCCTCCTTAGGTTCCCAAAGCCACCAACAATCAATCAATTTGAACAATAAATCTTTCTTGTTTTATTGATGCGAGCTGTCCCACAAAGCTGTATAATAGGCTCCCGATAATTCAAACTCGGATATTTCATACTTCTTTTTTTCTGGTTAATTAAAACAAATTTCAAAATTTTCATTATCCAGCTGTTTTCAATGTCTTTATAAGCCGCTTAATTCGAACAACGTTTTCGTGTAATTTCTTTTTTTTTTTTTTTTTGTGGTTTTGTTGAGGGCGCTTCGTTTCGAGCCCCGGTGCACTGCAGAGAAACAACACCCACGGAGCTCGCTTCCGCAGGTGTTGCTTCTCCGCAGTGCACCGGTGCTCGGGACGAAGCGCGCTCAACGGGGCTAAAGCAGGGCACACATGAGCGATAAAAAAACGGGCTCCGCGCGGCAGTTTCTATAGCAACTTAGGAGGATACTGTTACGTGGCGGCGTGGCATAGGTCGTTACGTTCCTAATCCCGACCAGGCAGTTCTCCAAATACAGCACACTTACAGGGGCGGTCCGCAACACTATCGCTCAACAGACCCTCTCTAGAAGACTTGAACCAAGGCTCTTGAACATCTGCCGAAGTAACCAACATCAATGGGTCTTCGTCTTCCTCTAGCATGGACAGAAGCTGCTGCTGCAAATATCTAAACCTCCGGCCAATGATAGGGTCTGGTGGACCTCATTTTCATTGATGCCAACAGCTATCTCCAATCACACCAGGTTCCCGCCGGTGATGCAATGTCGTCGCATACTGAGGCTACAGCGGTGGTCCAGCCAGTCTTGAGTTTGGAGCAATTTTTGAAGCAGAAAAATCTCGTTTTGAGCACTTTTGTATCAGAGAAGATTGCTTTTTGGAGCAGCTTTGGAGCAATTCGGTGCAGTTCCCTATTCGTGATGTTGGCATGCACCCATGCGATCAGTTGCGTGATGCCCATTAATAAACCAAAGTTAGCAGTTATACCATACTATAGTTGGTGACATCTTTAGAGTAAAGTGGAAGCTCCTCCCTCCTGTTTCCACCTTTGCAGAGCAAACGCTGGAGAGGAGGCGACCTTCTTTCCAGCGTTCACTCTGCTGAAGTGGACAGAGGAGGGAGGACCTTCCACTTTACTCTTAACCTGTCACAGACTATAGTCAAATTGTCCTTCGACTGCTGTGAAGCTGAGCCATAAACAGTCAAATTCGAGTTTTGTTTCCATTAGTGGTAGTAGACAAAGGTTAGCAGGATTGATGTAAGCATGCCAACTATAACCGTTGAGAAGTCAATGTAGAGTACCAATTTTACTCTCTAGATGAGGCGTCAATGTTTTGGCTAAGGGGCCGGATTGAGGACCTGTCGCAGTCTCCAGGGTAAAAAAAATAGATAAGATTAAGTAAATGAGGACATACTAAATAAGCCTAATAAGCATTTAAATGCAAAAACTAAAAATAGAGCAAAAAAAAATAGGTGGTTGAATACATATATACTTTTTTAAGTAAAATATGTTGCTAATTATGACATTACAAAATAATTGTGATGCAACAGAACCTACCAGGCATAAATCAAAGTGCATATATTCACACAGGGCAGAAGACAAACGAGAATGCTAAATTTGATGATGAGATTATGCAAGAGTTAGTATATGACACACATCATAGTTACACAGATATGAAACAGGGAACTATGACTATAGTGATGCTGTTGATGACAATGTACAACAAATACTATGGCGAAATAACCTGCGTTTTGATGCAGATTTACTCATTCTTTTTATATCTTCACTAGCGCTTTCAAAGCGCGTTGAACGCAGCCGTTTTATTTCTTTTATGAGTTTTTATTTCAGCATTTGTAGCAGTGGGCTGTGGGCCGGGCGTCTCTGGAAAGACCGCGGCCATCTGCAGGCCAGACAGGCCGTTATAACGTTACGTTATAACGTACGCGTAAGGGAGAACTGGTGCTAGTGTGCTGTTGCAAATTAAAGCAGACAGCAACCAGTCAAAAAATTACTTCCAGTAACGCATTTTTATGGGAAGAAGTCAGTGCATGTTCTCCCCACGCTCAATTATAAGAGTAAATATCCCGAATAATTCATACATACTAGGTAGCTTGGAACACTTCTCAGTCAGAGAGACAAAATAATTAGCCAGTTACGGCAATTTCTTTTCAGTAATAGCATTAGAAACGGTGCTAAAGCGGTTTCATACATGTATTTATGTGCAATGTCGGACTCTGTTAGCACGAACACAATGTCGGCACTTTTCAGCGTGGGGATGTACAGGCCAAATGAACGAAGGACATCTGGAAAACCAAGAGAGACTGCAAGAACTATGCAGTAACACTCAATCAGTAACTCCCTGTGCATATACGGTCAAAATAAATTGAAGGCCAGTAATATAGTCCAATTTTCAATACGCAACTGCTGCTTTATTCTTTCTGCTCTGTGCAAAGGTGCTTGTTTAACGTTCAAAACATCAATGCACGCTTGAAATTTTTAAGAATAATGCCTGATAAAAGCTACCCGACACAAAATATAATATTTAGAGACACCTCTCATAGCCCACATACTTTATTTTTTATGTTTTGAAAGTTGTTAACCGCTCGTAAAGATTCAAGACGAGGACTGGCATATGAGCAATATATAAGCGTTACCGGAATGCTGGCAAACCATGAACACACTCTATATTCCTTTTGATTGTTATTTTGCTTAGAATCATTGCTTGTTTCTAAACGACTGCTGGGGAACACAGGTTTGGGCCTGAAATATAGCGAAGTTAAACATTGTTCACTGATGGAGTAAAATGTGCTAACTAAAGTAATTACACTTTTACAATGTTAATAAAGGTACATACTATTCAGTATGACTCAAATGACAAAAGGGTGTCATGTTATTTTCCGTCAAAGAGGCAAAATGCAGACGTGTTTTCCCAAAGGAATGCACAGGAGCACCGCCAAAATAGACTGGTTGCTGCCTGCTTCAATTTGCGTCCCAGAAGTCGCATAGATACTAGCGGCAGTTGAACGTCTAGCATATATTATAATTAGAGCACTATATAGCTCCTTCGGACCAGAGTAGCGCAATCTAGAACGCCATCTCTCGGCGAATAGCGGCAAATGCCCGGAGGTTCCAACTCCGGTCACAAATGCAATGGGGACATGAGAAAATAGTTTTTTCTTCAATATTTTGGGGATGTATGGAATGACAATAGTTCTTGACATAATAAAGCAACATTTGATAATAATTTGTGCCAAGTTGTGTGCCACGTAAGAACATAATTTTTTTCCAAAATTGTCTGAGCGGCATCATGCAGCAGATGACGCGGCGCAGTCGAAAATGATCATTCATGTTCGGAAAACGCGCAAAAAAATGTCACACCATTCACGTGATCCACTCTGGCCAACCCAAAAAGTCTGTCTCTGCTGTGTAAAAACATTGTCTGCTTCAAGCGCCTTGGAAATCGCCTTCTCAAAATTTCTACACGCATCCAATATTATGAAAACTTTGGTAAAGTGTTTAGTGCTTTACCAACTTCACGACAGACTTGTTTCGAAAAGTGTGAATTCATAGTTTATTTTTTAATCAGTCATGTTGCGTCCATCTTCATGTGTTCTTGGAAATCGCCTTCTCAAAATTTCTACACGCATCCAATATTATGAAAACTTTGGTAAAGTGTTTAGTGCTTTACCAACTTCACGACAGACTTGTTTCGAAAAGTGTGAATTCATAGTTTATTTTTTAATCAGTCATGTTGCGTCCATCTTCATGTGTTCTCCCATAGAGCGGGCACCTCGTGACTTGTGCCGAGCTGCTCTGTCGGCTATGTTGTCGGCAAGACATGCAGATCAAAGGATTGCGTTACTCTGCTCCTAGAAGCCCCCCTATATAGTGCTCTAATTATAATAACTCTATGGTCCTGACCGAGCATGCCAACGAAATGGGAACCATGTGCGAGAACATTCCTATAAAACAGTGCCAAGCTTCTGAACATGAGCACACAGAAAAAAAAATTACTTGTTCCTGCTAATCTTCAATAGAGTGCTTCAAAATGCAACTAAAGTGTTAAAACTGCACCATGTTAGGAATGTCGGTAAAATTGGTGTGAAACAGCCGGAAACCTGGATTGGATTGTGATGACCGAATCCCACTGAATTCCTATAGTTGCCACATGAAAACAAACTCTTCCAAAAACCAATTCGTTCGCAAATTTGTTCGCTTTGGTGCAGTTTGGCACAATTTTTCCCTCTGGGCACAGCAAGGTGCAGGCAAGCGGGAATTGATCAAAATGGCACTAATTGCGCTACTGGACCACCCCTCGGGCTTTATAAGGGGGACCTGCAGACACGCGCGGCAGGAGCAAGATGGGACTTAAGCTATTGAACGCTACCATCAAATCATCTCTCGGTAAAACATCATCTTATAGCCGAAACCCGGTCTCTGGCCTGTCCGTCCCCCAGCCCCTAACAAGGTCCACGTCACAGCGTCCGCGCAAGTTGCTATGGAAGCTGCAGCGCGACACTCGTTTTCATTGCTCATGTGTCCCCTGCTTAATAGTCCACAATAGACAAGTTTTTTTGGTAGATTGTAGAAACGCAGTGTCGTGCTGTTTTGCATCGCTTGTTATTTCGTTACTCTTGTTATTCGTGTTCGGTTCTTTCGTGATAAGAGCTTATCACCTACCCCGCTGTATACATAACTACTAGCGCCCGAAATAAACACAGTCCTTGTTCAGCCACCACCACACACCTGTTTTGCTAGCGACGGGCTCGAGGCCACGTCGTAGCATGGATGAACAAACTTAATTTTGTTTTCAGGTGTCATGTTTTGTCTAAACAATACACGATAAACAACATTTTTGAGGGATGAATAAACTTTTGTCATACATTTTACCAATGTTTTATGTGCGGCATGCCTGCCTGTGTAGAGGAAATCATAAAATATCTGCTCTGTGTGTAGCCATTCATATAGCAAATCATAGTTTTCTCTTGCATTATATTTAGATGAATTTCTGTTATTTTAAACAAAATTCGTGGCTTCCTGGAGTTTGAATTAATGAGTGTGTACTTAGACGCAACCATGTGTGCCCATTGTGCCCAGTGAGAAGGGTCGATTATTCTCCGTTCCAGAGCGGCTTCGAAGTTGACTTTTGTCATTGTAATCACCTAGTTAAGCCCCCTCCCCCATTGGAGAATGGGGTCCCCTATCAATTCCGTTGATCGAGAGGCGGTCTGCAAAACATCAGTGGTTGAGAAACACTGCAGTAGACTAATAAAGATGCAAGCTGCAAACCAACTATTCTTTCATGCCCTCGCTCAAACGAAACGAGACCCAATAAAACTGCCTGGCTCACTTGACATTGACAGCTAAGCGAGTGGAATCTTTCTACCTGAATCTGGCAGCTATAGGTCCACCTTGAGACCTCCCTTTGCTCGCTCTGTGAAGAGCCGCAGCACCTGCTCCGGGTCCCTACGCATTTATAGACTCACCGGAAGAGTGCTTGAAGGTCTTGAGAAGCACTCCCTGCACGGTGGCCACGGCCTTCTCGAGGGCCTCCTTGAGGTTGTTGGTGCGCGTGATCCAGGCCAGCAGGCAGGCCGCCAGCAGGTCGCCCGTGCCCGTGAAGCTGGCCCCAATGAGCGGGATCTCTATCTTGACCGCGCTGCGCTGGCCACCCTTCTTGCTGCTGCCATACAACAGGATCTCCTTGGAGCTCTCCGACGGACGGTACGAGGTCAGCACCACGATGGGAATGCCCCGCTCGTGCAGCACGTCCATCGCCTCCAGCACAGAGCTTTCCGTCGTGATGGTCTTGTTGGACAGCAGCCTGTGTCGGCAGAAGCCGCAGAACGCGCTTGGCTCTTGGTACGTGTCGCCGAAGAAAGTAATCTGGCACAGACACATTCAAGCGCCTTACGTTGGGATGCAACTGTGAGTAACCATGGTGGCTACCATCGTGACTTGCAGTCTTGTTGAAATCTGATCCCGCACAAAGTGGGCAGTCGGACAGTACCGTGTAAATAGGCCTCCAGTGTCGTCGTCCTCCTTCGTCTGTTACTCTTAATTAATGTGAGCAGTGCTGCCCGAAGCCTTAATTTTTTAGTCTTCCTTGATTATGTGAGCCTTTCCATCTTCTCTGTGTACGGCCCAACGAGAAAAGTGATCGAAGCGAGTGCCTAAATCATATTTGCCAGTAATTTAGTCACCTCGATGAGTAATCAGGTTTCCAGTTCATTACTTTGAGAGAAAGGTAAAAAAACAGCTAGAAATAAATGCATTCAGTTTTTAGTAATCTGATTAGTTATAGAGTATACAGGCCTGGTTAAAATACAATGCTTCGTATGCGGATGAACATTGCATTAATGTCAAAACATGGACAGTGGTTTGTCCGCTTTGTTCTATGCTTTCTTTAACTATATTACTACCTACGGGAAGTTGGGTATCTTCTACTGCAGCATCATCTTCAACTTCCTCATTTTTTTGCCACCAACAATATGTGACACAGTGAGGGTGTGCAGTCAAATTGACTGGAAGTGTCTATTAACTAATTATTACGGCAAATGACAATCTGATACGCTGGTCTAGTGCACTTATGTTTCACTGATCATCACCCAAGTCAAACTGGTAGGCATTCTTTCCTTCTGTTGTCTTACCCATGTTAAAAACCAGGCGTAGATTTGGAACACTACCACTTTCAGGGTCAAGAAAAGCAATAAAGGCTCCAGCAAGCTAAGCTTCATAGGTGGTACAGTTTAAAACATGCAGTATGCATTATTCCAATTGTGCAGCCTCATTGCAGTCCCTGTACAATATTTGATAGATCTGCAGGGAACCTTCAAAGGTGGCGCTTCTCTAATAAATTGGAGCTAGTAGTAGAAACAGAAGCTCCTACATATTCCCTTTGTGCAATGAAAGGAAAATTTATCTCGGAGTATAATATAGGCAAGCCCAATTGATCATCCGCAAGAGAAATGACACCTGAAGAGAAAGCTGAGAGTCTGTACGTGTACTTCATATTCCTGCTTTGGCAGCCATATGCTCTCCTTTTCTTTTTTTTTTTTTCCTGGTCTCCAATTGTAACTGCAACAACATCTGAAGAGGAAGCAGTTCAGAAGAAATTTGCTTTAGATGGAGCATGTGAAAGATTGGATCAATTTCTTTCTTCTGAAGGTGTTACCCAAGAGCAAAGAAGCTGCAATATGATCACCTTTTTTTTTTCCAGAACAATTACTGAGCTGACACATAAAAATTCCTTTGGTCACACTGCATTTTTTATGCACCACTGCTTTTGCTGCCCCGTTTTTTAATCAGATGATTTCACTACTCTGTCGAACATATTGGTAGAATATTACTTGCCATCGTTTGCTCAGTATAAATTTTGATAGACTTCCACCAAACAAAAATGTAAACTAGAAAACAAAGACCACCCTCAAAACTTAGAAGTTACCCGAGAAAGCTTCCAAATGTCAAAAAGGCTTCAAGATCATTGCTTGCACATTCTTAGGATTTGTATTCTGCCATACCCGATTTCTGTGTATAAAATATTTTCTGATAAACACATATTTAATTTTGGCAATTTTTACACATACCCCAGCATGAAACGTTATTTTAGTGAAGCACATTTGCTCTATTTATTTATACACCCAGTAGAAAAGAAACAGTGTGTCAGAGTTTGTACAGGGGCTTGCTTTTGAAAGAATGCCTCTAATAAAAGCTTTCAGCAGACATTGCACACGGTCAAATTGCAATGCATGTGCATGCTGCAGCATCATTTTGTCAAATGACAGGATCCAATAAGAAAGTGAGAGTCTCATATTCTGTTTCACATGCCATTTGCATTCAAACCATTCTTTGGTTCTTACTTACTGAATCCATGCAAATAAACAGGTCAGTGGATGAATGGCAGCCACAAGTATCAAACACTTCAGTGAGTGGAAAGTGGACAAACAGCAAAAATTAGCAACCACAAACATTTTGGATAAATATTTTAGAAAAGAAGTCGAATTAGCAATAAAAACGAGATTTTGCACTTAACAATTTTTTTTTTAACTGCCTTGATAGGTTAAATATTTCACAAAATACACTTCCCACACACACACAAAAAAAAAAAAACTACAGGGTGAAACAAGGAGACGCCAGGCTTTTTAAATCGACCGGAAAATTCGGTTTCTTAACCTATCGCGCTACGACTTTGTGCAGCGTTGCCCACAGATGGTGCATTTTTTTTGTAAAATTTGCAAAGAGCGAACTTACCTGAGGAAAAAGTAAAGAAAGAAAAAGGCTTAGCTCCTATGGAAACGCAGCGACGCCACCGGTCTGCAAACAAAACGGCGCCGTTTCGCACGGGAGACAAGAGATGGCGCAACAAACGCCGCCAACGAACGAGCATACGGTGCCGAGAGCAGGCCTTTTTAGCAGACGATCTTTTCGACTGAAAAGCGGCGCGCGTTCCGCAGGCGGCGACAGTCGCAGAAACAAAAAAGACAGGCGCGGTAACAGCAAGGAACTGCAGTTCCTTGTCTGCAAAAGGGCCGGCTCTCGGCGTCGTCTGCTCGTTCCTTGGCGGCAGTTGGCGTCGCGACCACTTGCGCCATCTCTTGTCTCCCGTGCAAAACGGAGCCGTGTTGTTTGCAGACCGGTGGAGTCGCTGCGTTTCCACTGGAGCTAAGCCTTGTTTTTCTTTACTTTTTCCTCAGGTAAGTTCGCTCTTCGCAAATTTTACAAAACAAATGCACCATCTGTGGGCAACGCTGCACAAAGTCGTAGCGCGATAGGTTAAGAAACCGAATTTTCGGCCAATTTAAAGAGCCTGGCGTCTCCTTGTTTCACCCTGTATATAGATATTAATGCAATATTTACGTCTCAAAAAAAGCATTTTAAGTTTGAAATGATGTCACCCGTTCCCACAGAATGGCTCAAGAATGACTCCTACACCAAGGTCAATGCCGCAGAGACGTCAAAATACGAGTTTATTTGTTAGCCTCCCATTGGCTGAAAGGAGCACAGAAAAGAGGTATTCAGCCCACCCTGTGCTTTGCCTCCGTTTGCTGCAAGTGTGTGCGAGAGAGAAGTGAGAAGGGGGATTGGCCTATACGCTGAATCTAAATTGCATTTTGTGGCGTAAATACTGCATTAACGAAAATTTGTTTTCAGGGAAAAATGGACTGTGTGACATAGTATTATTGCCTATCCAGGCAGTTAAAAGGAAAAATTCTGGTCATGCAGTGTCCCTTTTAAAGTAATCTAAAATAAGTTAAAGATTATCATTTAAAAAAAAAGTAAGAGAAAGTGTTTAAATTTCTGCATAACTGTAGTCTCTGGATCAAATTTAGAATAGCCCCTTCCAGAAAGCTCTGCTAGCCACGATTGGAGGTTTTCTCCCCCCCAGCATTCACTCTGCTAAAGTGGTTAAGAGTGGAGGGCTTCCTAGGAGAAGCTTGTCCTGCTATTCTTAACCTACAACAAACTAGTCCCTTTTCTTTTTCTTGCCATCTTACCCAGAGCACAACATTAGTCTCTGGCATCTGCAAGCCGAAAAACGGCGAGAGACTGGGTGCTGCAAGCGTTCGGTTGTCCGCGCATCGCCTTTGGGCCTGTACAATCCCCGGCCCTCTCCGCGAGAGGCAAGCGCCACTTACTCTAGCTCGAACTGGTTGGGAGTCACGACGTCAGCCAGGAGCACCAGCCGCTCCCTGTAGATGCTCACCAGACCTGGAGGCACGTACTGCACCGTGGCACGGGGCACGGCGCAGTGCGTACAACACGTCCCCGTGAGCACTCTACAAGGCATTCACAAAGGTGTAGAGTGACCCACCAGTTTTCCGTTGTCTCCCATAACCGGATCGCACACTGCAGGGTGGGGAGGGAGGGGTCAGTGGAACAAGAAACCAGATGCCATGCCTTCGTGAAAGCCACGCTCACCGGACGTTCGCAGAGTACCTCAACTCTGGAGACTTTACTTGCTGTCATTGAATCCTATGAAGCCTGTCATTTATCTCTTATTTACTTAAAATGCCACCAGTCTAGATCAAAACCTGCGATAGCAGTAGAGAGTAGAACCACACTATGAAAAGCGAGAAGTATGAAAAATGAAATAATGGCTAGCGAAGCACATGCAAAACAGTAGCATTTAAAAGATGCTGTAAATAGGCATACACAATAGTAAAGTGGCATCCAAAGTAAAAAAAAAGAACATAAATTTGCATATAAAATAATTTTCATGAAAAAATGGGACAAAAACAAATCTGAATCATGGAGTGAAACCAGGGCCGTAACCAGGGGGGGGGATAGAGGGTTCTGACCCCCCCCGAAATTTTTTTCTGGGTACGGCCCTGGTCGGTGCACTTGCAGCCAGCCGATTTTAATCTCCACCTCTGCGCACGCGCAGTGGCGGCGGTCGGCTACCGGATACCAAACCGGGACCGGTTCTCCGGTTTGCTGCAACTCTCCATTATATACCACCGATGCACATGATTCATAGGCGAAAATAAGACAATAGACACTTTCAAAATGGCCGCCGTTGTCCCCGAAAACCCCCCCCCCGAAATTTTTTTCTGGGTACGGCCCTGAGTGAAACAACATGATCCAGAAAGACATACCATTATTATGTATTGTGGGAAAAAAAGAAAACTTGAAGCAACCTTTATTAAACTAAAATTCCTGCAAGTAATGTGGGTGCTTGTTATGAACGACACACGATTGATGAAAGGTTAGGTAACTTGACTGGTTGACGAGCAGTAAACCCGAGAGAATAAAAAAAGTATCGAAAAAAAGTCTAGACGGAAAAGCGATTTTTTCCGTCTAGACTCAAGCGAGAGAAGATTAGATAGAGCACACACCTGAGTTGGCGAACCTAATCTATGATAACTTAAAAGAGGTAGAATGTAAGGCCAGTCCTTGGACATGCTCAAGACCGAGGACAAGGTTTTCTGTGTGCGGGTCCCAACCTTCAGAAATATTCTGACAGCGGAAAAATAAACAAGCAGTCCGATTTCAATGGCTACTAATCTTGAACACTGCCATAGAAATGCCAGTCATGTATTAGTCTTTTTACCAGTATTTGTTACATGTAGCTTTTGTTACATGTAGGATATATTAGTGGTTTATATTTGCTGTGTGGTGGACATAGATAGCTTTTCCTATATTAAGAGATGTCAGTTGTTCCCTACACCATTTCTGGACTTTATGTAGACACATGCTTAGATTACTTAATCAGATGCAGTTATTACGTTGGGCTGTACAAAATACAGTAATCCGCAAACAGCCTTGCATGCACCGACATGTCCGTGGTCAGATCGTTGATAAAAACAAGAAACAGGATGTATGCACCTACAAGCTTTTTGGCTTGCAACCATTAAACAAGCTTGTAAGGTTGCAATTTAAATGAGCAAAGCTACCAGTGAAAGAAAAACAACACGTCTGCTGGGCTAGTTGGTGGATCGCACGTCTTGTGAGTTTCTCTGACTTTTTCCCATCTATTCTGGACCTCTTTCATTAATAAAGGAAAACACTACGCTTCGATGCAACGCAAAACAGTGCTAGCAAGTGTTTATGAGACAACCATATGCACCAGAAGCGTAGAAAGGGGGGTGCTTATGGGGCTTCAACCCTTCCCTTCCCTTCCCCCCTCCCCCCCCCTCAAAATCCGAAATCCAGCCGACCCTATAATATACACATTCATTTTGACCTCCCCCCCCTCCCCCTCTCCGCAGCCACTTCAGCCCCCCCCCCCCCCCCCCCAGAAAAAAAAAAAAATTCCTGGCTATGCCACTGATACGTACTGCTATATTACCACTCTGCTTTCCTTTAGCTTGGAAGGTTTTGCTTTTGTGATTATATTGGAGGTGTGTGTGAATAGTGGATTAAATCAAATAGCCCTGTCATCCCTCGTGACTTCAACATAGAAAAGAAAGGTATAAAGTAAATCAGGCTTTCTGCCAGTGGCACAGTAATATTTAGCTCAAACCACTATTCGCACTAGAACATTGTGTGGCTGCACAAACTAACAGCTCCTGAATCGTGGACTTTTCCTTTTCATATCCAGTAGATGAATATGGTACTCTGAGAACGTCCGGCGTCCTACATAGCATGCATTGCACTTACCGTACATTAATGAAGGGTTGTCCTCTTTCAGTTCTTGAACTATGTCTGCCACTTTATTGAGAAAGGACTCTGAAGCAACGTAACCTGTGGAAATGATGCGACAAAGACTATTCAATGGGACACGCTTCCATTTGAGGCACCTTTGGTGGGACAGCCTATGAGCTAGAGCTCAGCTCTCATATGACCAGTTACGCAGAGAACCAATAGCGAGGTAGAGGACATGCAATAACCAATTCATGCCCTACAAGATTTCAATGGCATATGATACCACAAATAAACATAACCATGAAGAAATGAACGAGTTGCGGATCTCGACGAATCACCTGTTAATACATGAGAGTACTTGTTTATCCGGTTGAGCTTGAGACCTTCGTAAAGCTCCACCAACTCCTCCGCGTTGAGAACCTGGCCCTTGTATACCGGATAGCCTGGAAAGAGAGGTCACCCTTGACATACCCACTAACCATTGTTTTATCTGCCGGGTGATACAAGGTTAGCGGGTAGATGGAGTGTGCCCGGGCCACACTTACCTGTATGGTTCGAGAACTGCACGGAGTTTATGAAGTCCACTTCGAAGCCCAGGGTCTGCAATTGCGGTGATCGAGGTACGGTCAGTGCACGTGATTAGAAAGGCCAGCAAGACCTTGGGATGTGGGTAAAAATTTCACGCTTGCCTGGAGCGGAAAACAGGCGCATTTGTTGCCTACATAGCCAGATACTACGTGACTCTGCACGGAAAGCACCCTGTAGTCGCGAGCCATGGAGCGGCAGTTGCTGGCGGAACGGAGCGAGGCCAGACGGTCTTCGGAGAGCAATGCTCGGTCGTCCTTCGCGGCAAAGGCGGCAGCACCTGACTGGCTCGCTCGTTCTTTCTATTGAACTGCGCCGGCGCCGCGCCACTCCCGCACGCCTGAAAAACGCCTACGAAGGCGAGAAAGGCGAAAGAATGCACGAGATTACTTCACGTGATCAGAACCAAAAACTGACAAAAGTGGCGTCGCGCAACGCGTCGCGCGTTGCCATGGCAATGCGGGCTTGGATTGGTTTTGAATTAAAAGTCACTGCTAGCCGAAAAACAAACACACATTATTAAAAAAACAGAAAACAGTATTTCCTATTGGCACATTTAAGAACAGACATGTTTGGGCTTAAAAATGTATAATTGAATTATAAAACTAACGGATCTAAAATAAACTATATTAAATACCGAGAGAAACAAACGTTCGCTAGAAGTCACACAACGGCCAAGCCAAGTCGAGCTCGTCAGGCGCTTTATGTTTCTCGTTACGGTAGTGGAGTGCCGAGTTTACTCGAAAATATCTGAGAAATGGTGGCAATATCAATTTTTCTGTAAATTAGAAATGTAACCAATGGCGTGGCTATCTTCTAGTCGACACTAACGTCTCGGATCTGCTGTTCAAAGTCCCGGGCGATCAAGCCGTATTTGTTGTCCAGCTGCCAAGTGCGTCGAATATGATGCCGAAAAAGAAAGAATCAGTCGCGAGCTCTAAAGAAGACGCGCCGATCGACGTGATCGGCCTGCCCTCCCACAAACGACACAAGAAGCACAAGCACAAAAAGCACAAGCGCAAGCGAGGCACGGACCAAGACGAAGACCAATCGCCCGCCGCGAGCCCGCAGAGCGGTGGCGAGGGTAGCAGCAGCAAGCCCGCGCTCAAGCTCAAGATCAAGATCGGCGGACAGACGGTCGAGAAGAACGTGACCAAGCTGAAACAGCAGCGGCCGCCGCCGCCGGACCCCAGCGAAGCCGATCTCGCCGAACTCCTGATGAAACCCAACTCGGGCGATACGAGCGCAGACAGCGATGACGAAGAGGAAGCCTGGCTCGAAGCCCTCGAGTCCGGCAGGCTCGAAGAGGTCGACGACGAGCTCCGCAAAATGAAGGACCCGACCCTGATGACGGCCAGGCAGCGGGCCCTGCTCGAGAGCAAGTCGCAGAAGGACGAGGTCCCGGCGACGGGGATGGCGGCGTCCGCGGAGCCCGTCAAAGAGATGTCCGAGGAGATGATTCAGCGGCGGATGCTGCGGGCCAAAAAGCGGAAGCAGCAGGCCGAAGAGAAGAAAGAGAAGGAGAAGAAGCAGACGATTGAGCGTCTGCTCAAGAAGTCCGACTCGAGGCTGAGGGCCAGCAAGAAGTTGGCCAAGAAGAGCGATACTCCCAAGGTGTCGCTGGTCAACACGCAGGCAGGCACGCTGCTCTCGTTTCCCGTCGGCGTTGCGTTCCCGCTGTCGGCAGCCGTGGCCCAGGGGTACCCCGAGAAGACGACGTGCGGCATTAAGGGTTGTCGGAACCCGAAGAAGTACTCGTGCTCCAAGACAGGCGTGCCCCTGTGCAGCCTCGAGTGCTACAAGACAAACATGCTGCAGATGTGCGTCTGAGCGGGCAGCGAGGCTTCCGGGCTACAGCTGCTCCTTGTGTATATGTATATAAAGTCGGGAATGCTGAATGGGGAGTATTCACTGACGGCCATAGCCAAGTCCATGCCTGCCAAGTGCAAGCAGACAACAAGCTTTCACACTGCTTTTGCAGCATGCATTCCACACCAACGAGATTGCCAGTCTTAGCAGCCTATGCAGAGTGCAAGTTCGTCAGCTTCTTTTGCAGGGGTTGTGTTGACGTCGAAACGCCAAGCTCCGACTGAAAGATGGGTGTAGACCTCAAAGCAAGCTGCCTTGAGGTCTACCCACTGCCCTTCAATTGGAGCTGGGCATTCTTACGTAGCCACAACGCCTGCAAAAGAAGCAGACGAACTTGCACTCCGCATAGGTGTGAACTGTAAGCAAAACACTCAAATATCGTGTCCAGTGAATAAGCCAAGGCTATGAGTACCTGAGCGCCCATGCATCTTGAGTGCTGATCGAAGCCATACACACGCTGTTTTCACTTCTGAAAGAGCGATGCTTTACATGGCTTGTAAGTGTTGCCATTGCTGGATGCCGACAGTTATTTCTACTTGCTGGATTCATCGAACTACAACTTCTGCGGTGTGCAACTAACAGGGTAAACCGAACGCTCGCGGCGCTTAAAATACTGGCACGATCGCAAACCAACCGGAAATAGCTATATGCACGATGCAAAGAACTCGCACTATTTAGTTAATTTAGTGGTGGATTTTGCCTCCCATCATATGGTATTGTTTCATCGCCAAGTATTTTTTTTTTTTTACAGCAATAGTTGAAATAGAAAGAAATGTGTTATCGACAGCACAGGCATACATCGTCGACATTGCCAAACGCTTCTAAAAGAATGCACGCTGCCGTCAGGTTTTGACCCTGGGTCCACTGTGTGTGAAGTGGGCACGTTACCACGGAGCTATACCAAAGCTGTGAGAATTCCTTTATACATGCCTTAGGTATGACATTTTTTAGCAAGTGCGTAATCGAATCTGGAACTCGCTAAAAGCTAGCACATCTTTACGTTGTGCATATAGCATTACCCCTTTTGAAATGTCAAAAAGGTTATCTCCGAGTATAGAGCACAATGGGTAGAATGTGAAGTGGGACAAAACAAAAGTCAACTTGACGGAAGCGCTCTGAACAAGATGGACATATCCATTCCAAAATCGCGATGGACAAGAAAGAATGTGGTTTGATATAGCTCAATACAAGAACGTCTCTGCTGAAGGTGGGCTAAATAGAGCCACACTACTGTTTCTCAAAGCAAAACTTTAAGTGATATTGAACTTGCTTTTTTTGAAAGGTATGCCAATTTTATACATTAATTCTCAGAGGTGCCAGTTAAACATGTTACATGTCTAACTGACACCTCTAAAAAATTAATATATATCCAACTTTGCACAAAAGTGGTACATGATGTACCCCTTTTGTGCAAAGTTGGATAGTTTTTTTTACATATTGATGAATTCACGCACATGCCACACGAATGGTGGGCATCTCTGGGAACTTGCCGCTTGAATGTGCATGACTATTACATGTAGACCTTCGGCAGTAGATATCTTTCTTGAGTAACGACAGACCTTCTCGTTGCGCCGTTGCTCGACAAGCGGCCAAAATGTCTTTTTGTCGAGTAAATGGCCTATTATCCCCTGTATGCAGCCACGTTTTAAAAATGTTACGGCAATATCTCGAGGGTTAGTCCACCCTCAGAAGACAATGTACATTACAGCAAAGTCCAGCGAATTCAGTTCTTGTAGACGAAAATTGAATATGGCAGATTGATCCCGCCATTTTATTAAGTGTATACTAGTATAAGCGTGCAGCGAAATAGTTTTATATAATTTATTTCCCCTCAATCAAGACATGTGGGCATCCAGAAGCGTGAAACAGTCTTGATGGTTGGCATCCCTCGCTAGGTCACATGCTGTAAGGAAAGAGGTGCTTATAAAAGCTGCTCAAAGTGTGTGTTTCTATGAACGGAAACACTCACCGGTACGCTCCTTGTTGTCTTTTAGTCCGTGGAGGGCTCCAAAGGTCAACAAGAGTCCTATGACGAGACTGTGGCCTCGCTGCATCGAGGAGTTAGATGTGTTAAAGATCAGCCAATGCAATAATCATAAAATACATGTACCATAAAATACCGTGGAAGTGCCCACTTCGTTCAAGTGCCCACTATTAACATTCCCCAAACTTGGGAATTTTGCAAAACATACGTCAAGCGCCCGATTTGACTGGACAAGCGCCCATGCCTAAATTAACCCAGTTTTCACTGAAAGTGGGATGGGCGCTCCTCTGGTATTTTACAATAGTAGAATAAGTATCTGCATGTCAGTCAAACTAACTGCAATTGTTTATCAGGCATTGTAAAATACCATATGCAATGAAACTTTGGTGCTCTCGGAGCTTGGCATAGGCATGTCGCAGCATGACCATTGGTGGGAAACATCTCAAAATTTTTATTACACCACGCAAGACAAAATTGGTAAGAACTAACTTGACCTGTCTACAGATCCATGCCTCCACTTTCTGGACTGGAAATAAATTATTACTTTCACCCAAGATGAAACAGGAGTCGTGCCTATATAGCTTCACCACAAGTGCGAGCAAAGGAGAAGTACTGAGGACGAACGCAATGTACTGAACGAGCCTGGTACGCAGGCGCGCTCCTGAGGTAAAAGGGTGGTCATCCAAGACTGCACGCTTGTGCTTGCAGCGCCAACTTTGTTCGCGTTTGTGGTGAAACAAAGTATAGAGGGCATGAGAAAGTGGAGCACTACTCGTTTCACCGAAGATGAAAAATCTGAAAATAAATCCTTGGACCAACGTAAGTACTCTCCAAACTGTGTTAATTAGGAGTTAGGCAACAGTAGAGCAAATGGATGCCATTGGCTGCCACCGGTCTGACCCCGAACTAGACCATGGGGGTGAGCGACCAACATAAAGGATAGACGCAATGATTGAGGAAGAGAATATTTATGAAGGAACATATGAACACCTCTAGCTAAGATGTAGTGCAATTTGCAACCACCAAGCGAATTTTTGCAGGGGGCAAACCCATTGTCAAGAGAGTAGGCTGTGCACTTTCGTCTTGGGTGGAAGTATTAATTTATATTCTATCATAAACCTTCTCCCTTTTTGGGGACTATCCCTAGATCATTTAAATCCAAGTTTCTAAGCTGTTCACACTGGACGAGGGAGTATCCAGTGGGACACTGTTTTCAAGTTAACGGCAAATGCTTGCAGCTTTTGTATAGCCTGCAAAGTCAGCATACTATAAACTACCGTAGAATATTGCGCATCCGCCCATTCCCCATCAAGCGCCCATTCCCAAATTTGTAAGGTCTGAGAAAATATGCACATTACATTTATATGTAAATTTGATGACTGGACAAGCGCCCATCCCCCATTTTTTCGTGATTATCTCTATATTTTGAGTGGGCGCTTGCCCGGTATTTTACGGTAGGCGTGCATGAATTGTGGGTCCCGACTCATGGAGAGGTCGTAAGAGCTTTAGGTGTAGAGGTCACCATATCAGACCTCTCAGCTAGGGGATGTCAGAAGGGAACATTTGCCACTCTACAGTTCCCAGGAGAATAGGCATCACATTCAATTTCACAGTGGATACCCAATAGGTAATTTAAATTCAGATCACCTCGGACTGCATGCGGATGGCTCACTTTTTTAAAGGTCTGCCCTTAGAAACATTCTACTTGATAACTTGAGGCAAATATGCACTGCTGATAAATGTGGAGACCTCATGGTAAGTTGCAGCTTCTATTGATGTAGATTAGCGCCAGTGTCACCACAACCACAAAAAGTGATGCATAGTTGTGAAACGCAAAAATACTCCAAGAGCCGGGATAATAAGTTGTGAAACACAAATACTAGAATGTAAACAAAGGCCCCTCTCTAACATCTACCTTTATGTTGAAAATTTTGTCTTGTATAATTAGTTACATTAAGTAAGGTGTGCCCGCAGGGCTAAAGGATTGTCTGTGCTGGCTGACATTTGTAAGACTATGGGGGCTGCTGACCGAAAGGTTTGCACTTCTCTGGCACACAGCACTAAGAGGATGTCCCGAGGATGTGTCTCACCTTGGCTGCATAATGCAGCGCTGTCTGTCCCCACATGTCGGTGCTGTTTGGGTCCAAGCCGTACCTGTCGACCAGGAGACGAACAGCACCAACGGCCCCTGCCTGAGCTGCCAGATGCAGACTGTTGCGTCCCAGAACGTCTACGGCACCCACGTCTGCCTGCAGCAGAAGGGCCATTCTAGTCCTGGTACACGGGTCTAAGGCCATGGACCAAAGGAACTTCCGCAAAATGAACTGCCACCCGTTCACACAGCAAAACAAATATACAAGAACATGTACCTTTTCTAACACCCTGTTTTAAGATACTGCAGTAAAGAAATCTAGACACAAGCCAGCAACACTGTATAAGATACCCTGATAAAGCTTTGTTTTTCCCTGCTCTCAGCTCAACACAGCATAGCGTAACTTTAGTTGGTTTTATGTTTTCTAACGGCTTGCATTAACAGCAGTATGGCAACAGATTACTGATGGTGGGTTTGTGTGTTCTGTCACTCACTGTAAGCTGAAATCAAGCAACATTATAGAAGAGAGTTGTCAACTCTCTTTTCAGACACCCTGCGGCACCTTACCACCCAAACACACCTTGTAGGTAGCCAGACGCTCCATAATGTCTGTCTGATCAGCTTGTGCAGCGTCCATGAAAGGGGTGCTTTTGCAGTTGTCCCTTACATCTGGTGGATAGTTACCCCTGTCCAAGAGGATACTCACACATTCCAGACGGCCCTGCAAAGCTAGAGATGAGATCATGGAGAAGAACCCAGGTTGGCATAAGCACATCCTAGTTTTATCTACAACGTTTCTGAGGTGAAGAAAAGCTTTAACTTTCCTGCGACTTTGGGTGTCAGTCGGATAAGCTGCTTTGTTATGTGCTGCATAGCTATAAGGGATGCCGCAAACTTTTTTCAAATCGAAGTTTCGACGATCGAATCAAGCGGTTCGGAATCTTCGAAAGATTTCGAATTTTCTATATTGTAAAATTCGACGGAAGTCGAATTTTCGAACTTGTTAAGCTAAGAAGTTTGTTGCTTTTCGAACCGTCGAACTTATTACGCTAAAAAATTCGATCCTTTTCGAACTTATCACACTGCGAAATTCGATGCTTGTCAAACTTCCGAACTTGACTGACCAAAAAATTCGATGATATTCTAACTTTCGAATTTCTTGCACTAAAAAGTTTGAAGCTGTTCGAACTTTCGAATTTCCTATGCTAAGGAATTAGATAATTTTCGAACTTTTGAACTTATTTATCAGGAGAATTCGAAAATTTTCGAACTTTCGAATCCTGTGAAGTCAGAAGTTCGACGAACTTCTAACTTTTAGGGTAAAAGTTCGACGTTCGTCGAACTTCGAAAGACCGGCGGACGGTTTTATTTGAATTCAAGTAGTGAGGTACCTTCGTAATTTTTTTTTTCTCAAACTTTTACATGCGGTGTTGCGTTTTTTATGAAAGACAATGCCGTTTATTTCAATGTTCTGGCATGCTTAGTTTTAAAGAAATAAATTCCCGAAGGAGCGAGGAAGGACGACGGGTTTTCGACGATTATCGTTTGTGCCAGATTTGAAGCGCGATGTAGCTGAAGCTATTTATGGTAGAGATGTTAAACTTTTTAAGAATGATCTAGGTAAGTGTCGTCTTAAGATATGATTATTGTTATTCAAGGTGAGTTTCGAAGAAATGTCCAAACTTGTATCTACATGCAATTATGCCCTAAACTTGGTATTTATTTTCGTCTAAGCTGTTTGAGGTATCACATTTAAATTAACACCACAGACAGTACATATCATTGCCATCTGCAGAATACAAAATAATGTATTTATTGTTTTTTTCACGTTAAGGAATAAATTAACTCATGGAAGAAGATTTCTAATATTGTTCAGGTTCAGCATGTCATTAAAAGAAAACAATTTTTTTTTTTTTTGCTTCACGTTTTTGGGACGTGTTTCCTTTAGCCTGTACACATTTTGGTAGGAGAAAGTTGTTTCGAAGTTCTGAACCTCTGAATATTCAAGATTACAACACTTCCGGCAAGTTCTTGATAGTTTTTTTTTTTTTTTCTCCAGATTTTTATTTTTGCATTTATTAATGTTGTTTTCTTTTTTTTTTTTTTCTTTTACCATTGGCACAGTTATTTAGGTCGTAAAGACATAGCTCTGAACTTCCGAACCACTAAGCATGTGACGAGTAGTGCCTTCTGACGAGTTTCTAACAATGACCATCTACGCAATCTTTTATGCAGTGAAGAGCGACAGTAGCTATACATATGCATAAATAATTTCAGATTAAAATAAGCTCGACCACGCCCTCTTTCCCTGTATGTTTTCTTTAACAGTCCGAAATATCTGGAAGGGGGGAAGGGGGGCTGAAGGCTGAAGCCCCCCTCTCCCCTCTTCCCTCCCCCGTTTTTCCTCTTCAGACGCCACTTGTAAGGTAGACGCTCCTCGACCTCAAGTTGTGTCGGCTTCTGTGCTTTTTGCGAGGCGATTCCTCCGTCCCAGAAAATAAACCTTCAGGACAATTACAAACTTAACTTACTATATGCCAGTGTCACTCGGGCGGCGTTCGATCGGATTACTACCAGCGTGCAAGGGGTGGGGAGGTAGTTTGCCAGGTCGCTTCAAGGTTTTTCTGAGCCTCAACCTCCTGCCCGCCCCTGGCCATTTCACACTGGATGAGTATCATAAAACAGTATGTTCGTGTGATCACTACTACGTGATGCACGTTAAAGACCCCCCCCCCCTGGCTGGCGGTCACAATTACTGATCTATGGTCGCACGCCACTCTGCACTGGCAAATATTCCAGCACATCCGGGACACTTGTCGTCTCGTTTAATTGCCTGACCAACTTCGCAGAGTCTAGATATCACACCCTAACTTTTCTAAACTTGATTTCGTGAAAACCAGTGAGTCCTGAAAACGTTGTTTGAAACTGAAACTGTGGAGGAACTTGAAAACCGGACTTCGAACTTTGAAAACTTGGACTTGAAAGGAATTCAAAATCTTCGAAGTTTTTTTTGTTTTGTTTTTTTCCCCGAATTCAGCGTTAAAAGGGAATCGAAACTTTCGAACTTTATTCAGAAAGAAATTCTAAATCTTCGAATTGTTCGGACTTCATGTCAATAAAAATTTGAAGCATTCAAAGTTTTAGAATTTTATTTCCAAAGAATTTCTAAATCTTCGAACTTTTCGAACTTCAGATCCCAAGAAATTCTGATTTTTCAAATATCTCGAATTTCAAGTTAGCAAAGTTTGAAATCTTCGAATTTATCAAACCTCAAGTAAAAAAAATAATTGAAATATTCGAACCCGAAATTTTAGAAACCGTGAAAGCTTCGAACTTTTCGAATTCGAAACTCTACTGTGATCGAAAGTTGTGAATTTTTCGAATTCGAACCTCAGTCAATACGAAAATATAGAAATTTTTCGAAATTGAACCTCAGTTCACTTCGCAAATATCGAAACCTTTCGAAATCGAACCTAGGGTGGTTCGTGACATCCCTAATAGTTATGCCACCCCGTGACACATGGCAGACGCTGTGAGGCCCAATCAAAGGTGTAATCTGGGACTGGTAATGTGGTTTTCTTGCAGCTTCATCTTGACCCCATATAATGTCAACATTCCAAACGTCAGAAAGATCTGTTTCTAGAACTAATTATTTCATCATAACTAAAGAAATATCTTGTGAATTTAGCACATCCAATCTTATCCATTACAGCTGCCTATTGCTTTATCATGTAAAGTAACTTCACAAGCTTTAATGCTGATCTAAGGAGCGAATCAAGCCAATGCAGGAGATCTATAAAAACTATCGAAGTTCACATACCAATAAGCAAAAGCAGAATTAATGTGAAGGTATATACAAATATACGGATTATTTGCACTCTTTCCAAAGACCAAAGCTCAATGGATATAGTTAATGACACGGACCTGCGGTATGAAGAGGTGTCCTCTTGTTGTTGCTACAGCAATCAAAAGCGTCTGCACAGGTGTCTAACAAATATCCTATGATGCTGGCATGACCCTCCCTGAAACAAATGAGTGGAAAAGGTTTAGGATATTGAACTCATTGCACTAAAGCAGCATATGTTACCTGCAAGCAATGTGAAAAGGCGTCCATCCATCTTTGTTACGCAGCTTTAAATTTGCGCCCTTTTCAATCAACAGCTTAACAACTTGCAGGTCGTGCTTCGTACATGCCAGCATGAGTGGGGTCCTGCAAATAATAACAATATTAATAATCTATTAAAGAAAGTCAAGGTACCCTGTGTGACTCTCAGGGCAAGGTCAATACTTGAGTATTCCCGTAGCCGCTTACCAGTCAGCCCGTTTGAGAGGATCAACCTGACAGCCTTTTTCGAGAAGGAATCGTACGGATTCGAGCTGCGAGTTCTGAGCAGCTTCATGGAGAGGCCTCTTCCCGTCAAGGTTGGGAGCTTCGAGGAAAGAAGTACTCCCGATTTCTTCAACCAGGAACCTGCGAGGTTGACATAAAGTATTGGCACGAAACGTACGCGCGAGGGAGTGGTTGAACAGAAAGAGAGAGTCCTCTAGGAAACGTACGCGCGATATGCGCGGTAAAGCACCTCAATATGTTTACAGATCCGTGTCTGCACGCAACGTGGGCTAGAGTGTCCCCTGACTTGTCGTAGCAGACGCCACAAAGCCATTGCGAGGACGGGTCACGGGATTTCTGGCGTTCTTCTTCAAGCAAGACTTTTAGACGACAGACGGCGTCATGTTGGGCGCAGTAAAATAACTTTGGAGCAAGCAAATGCATTTTGAACTTTGAATCATTTGAATACTTTAACACAGAGCTGGGCGGACACATACATTTCACGCTTGTGTTGTTTTGACTTCCTGGCTTGCTTTCTAGGCTTTCTGGTTTGCTTTGCCGACAGCTTTCGAGCTTGATAAAATATTTTTTGAATGAAAGTAAACATACGTTTTAATATATATATATATATAAATAAATAAAATAAATATTGTTGGATTAAAATTCAATGAGATTAATTTTATCGCTTATAGTTTGTTACTGGACATTGTTTTGTGCATTTTACGGTCTTGTGCTCCTCAAGACGTCATCATCATCATCATTAGAAATTAAATTGCGCTGTTCGGGATGTTTATCCGAAAGCTCGATTGGTTCGATATTTGAAGGGCATTATTCAGCATGTTACCCGGTCAGTGCAGCGCATGTTCTCGACCTTTTCCGCGAAATCTTGCGTGCATTTGGAAGACCGCGCACAAGTCATTTCGAAACCGAAGCCATGTCTAGCACCGTGAAAATGTCTCGCGACACCGGCGGCGGCAACGGCGGCAACTCCCGGGCAAACGTCTTCTCGTTCCTGTCGCACGTGCAGTCAGGACACTTGATCGCCGGAGTGACCGGCGGGGTCGCCTCGACCTTGGCCGTCCATCCGTTCGACCTGCTCAAGATCCGACTGGCCGTCAACGACGGCATCGTCTCGAGTCGACCCCAGTACCGAGGCTTCCTGCACGCCATCCGAACCATCTTCAAGGAGGAAGGTCTGATCGGATTCTATCGCGGCGTCTCTCCTAACTGTCTCGGGGCCGGCGCGTCGTGGGGCTTGTATTTCTTCTTCTACAACGCGATCAAGACGCAGATGTCCCAGCGGTCTTCGTCGACGCAGCTGGGACCCGGACAACACATGCTGGCGGCCGCGGAAGCCGGCGTCGTCACTCTGCTCATGACCAACCCGATCTGGGTCGTGAAGACAAGAATGTGCCTTCAGTACTCGACGGTCAAGCTCCCGGACTCGTTGAGGTACACGAGCATGATGGACGCCTTCAGCAAAATCTTCAGGCACGAAGGAGTCCGCGGCCTGTACAGAGGGTTCGTGCCCGGCGTGTTCGGTGTGTCGCACGGGGCGTTGCAGTTCATGGCTTACGAAGAGATGAAGAAGTTCTACGTGCAGTTTTACAAAGACAACGCCCTGAAACAGCTTGGCACGCTCGAGTATCTAGTCTTTGCAGCGCTTTCCAAGTTGTTCGCCACCACGGTGACCTACCCATACCAGGTGCTTCGTGCGAGGCTGCAGGATCAGCACAATCAGTACTCCGGTGTTGTGGACTGCATCGTGAGGACTTGGAGATTCGAAGGCTACAAGGGCTTTTACAAGGGGCTCGTGCCGAACATTCTGCGCGTCACGCCGGCCACGGCCATCACTTTTGTAGTTTACGAAAATGTGTCCAAGTTGCTCGTGAAGTAGGGCAAGGTGAAATCTGGCCTTGCAAGATTTATAGTTATTGATTGTGTAAACTGTTATGCTGAATTCGAGGTTCGTTGAATAGCAGACGTACCTTTTTGAAAAGGGTTTGTCTGGAACCCATCCGATCTCGCCTCGCAAAATATGTCTCATGGATTTCGAGAAGTAACGGCGGTTTATTCGGTCCACTGGGTTGGAAATCTATTTGGGTCTACACTTTGGGAAAAGAGCAGTAACTTGTCTGAAAGAAGGATGTGTAAGTCGCTGTTAAATATTCATAGCTGTTTTAGTGGCTAGCTACCGTAGAGATCATTTTTGCCGGCATCGACTTTCATCATTGTAGAGAGCACTGCATCCCTTGTGGGCATGCCAAAGACTGTTGCACCATGTTACGCTTTTGCTTCTCGGTGCAGTGTCTCCAGAGCCATATTGCACTTGTTTCTGTTAACCTTTTGTGATTAGAGGTGCCACTCATATTTTACAGTGTTGGTAATTTAGATGATTATAGCAATATGTTTTTTAGCACTGTTTTGATACGTGAACTGAGTTGGTTCCAAGCACTGACTAGTCATGTATGCAGCTGTTGAAGAGTTATTAAAATATTTAAAATGCGTTCATTTGCGCCCGTCTAAAATATTAACGAGTTCACAAAAAGAACACGCGAAGTGCAGTTGTTTTATATTTTGCTAGTGAATAGGGAGACCCTGACACGATTCAATTCAGCACAGTCATACACTCGAGATATAGGAAGCCTGACAAGACGCAGACAAGGGCGATATGCTGGAGATAGCAGGCCAACTTCAAGGTCATGGCGGCGGATCGGATCGTGGAGGTTGCACAGTGTTTGTGTGGTAGACTCGGGCCATTTAATGCTCTTGAAATAGTTTCCAGTTGCTTTTGTGAGCATTGCAGTGGCCAGTAATGTAATCTATCAAATTGTGACGGTGACGAAAATGTAAGAAGTTTCAGTTTATGCATTTTTAAAGAGAGGCAAAACCTCTACCTCCTTGGGCAAAACGGACCAAGTACTTGAACCAAAAGTTTTACCACTGCAGACCAAAGGGAATTTTTAATTTTTAGAAAGCACTAGGTCACGTTGCTTACAGTAGTGTGCATATGCCATGGAGAATAGAAGGGTAGGAGAGGGCATGACGTCGGCCGCGTAGCCTCCACAAGCCATGCTCCCTTGACGCCTCGCCTCTTTCTCATTTTCCTCCTTACCCTCCTCACTTACCATGCCAACGTGACCACATCACGTGACCGTAGAATACACCACAGTCTAACCTCCGATCTCATAAAACCTACCGGACGGAGCGCGCGCAAGCCTGCAAGGAGCCCTTCTACAATCAACCATCCATCTCACACGTGACATGTCAAGCGCACCAATCGCCAGAGAGATCCGCGGTGACGCTGGGCACAAAATCGTTTAAACTTTTTATGACTAGGCTTCACCAATATTGCAACGTGCCCCCTCCTACCCTCCTAGTACTTCTAACTAGGACATTTATAAAATTGTTTAGTAAAATTGGCACAAATTTTGCTTTAGCAGCAGCAACCATGTACACTGACCAAATTTCTATCCATTGCATAAGTCAAGTCAAGTCGAGCCCAGCTAACTGTTTGTCCTGGTTTGGGAATGGCTTCCAGCTTACGTGAGATTACTTTTCTAACATATATTTTTTTAATATTTCACTGTTAATAATCGTTGTGCACGTCTTTATATGGCGACACAACGCTATGGAGCTATCAAACGTTATTTGTTCCATTTTCAGAGCCCCTTTTCCTACCGTCCAAGAAATATGTCGGCGTCAAGTCGGAAGTCAAAGAGGTGCCCTGCATATTTTGTGATTGCAAGCCGTTCCTTATTGATAAAACTGGCAACTACCAAAATGTTCTGAAGCATCTTCTCGACGAGCACAAGTTTGTCATCAGCAACTTCGCAGGAGTTGCCGATCCTCCCAAGTACGGCCATATAGTTCGGTAGTCCTTTAATGTTCAGCCATTCGGGTCAGCCGTATTAAATATTCAAACAAACCTTGTTTTTAGATACTTTGATTACTGGAAGAAGCGGTTTCAGGGCTCAGATTTTACAGACATCTGTGCCGTGATAAGAACGAACACAGGAGAAAATGATGTGGGTGAGCGATCGCTTCTTGTTCCCCATAAATGAACATCAGCTTGCGAAGTACACAGTGTCTAGCGTTACGTCCGACGGAACCCGAAATAAAAATTAAAGTTACGTCCGACGCAACCCGAATTTAAAATTAAAGTTACGTCCGACGGAACTCGAAAAAAAAAAAATTAAAGTTATGTTCGACGGAACCCGAAATTTAAGTTAAAAGTTATGTCCTAAGCATGTGTAACCTACACAACCTTACTGGATGCTTCGCTTTACGGCCGGTACATGACGTAAATACAAAAATAACATGAATTAGTTACGTCTGATGCAGCATTCGTAAACAGGTTGGAATTGCTTCTACATAAAGCGTGTTCCTCGCATATCGAGGTTGCTGAAGCCGGGAACAATTCAATGCTTGTTGCACAATCCCCCCCCCCCCCCCCCCCCCCCCCTTTCTTTAAGACGATTTATTGCGATTGAAGTAACATTAACCAAATTGGAACCGACCCCCGACCCCCGCCCTTTGCTGCATTTTTTGCACCAGCTTGTAGCCTTTGCTGGCTCATGCTGAGAGCAAAGTTGATCACATCTGGGTGGCTCCCTTGAAACAGCTTTTTATTGAAGACAGTCTGAAAGAAAACACTGCCAAAGCTAGCGCGCGTGGCGGCCTGAGTGGTACGTGAAAATTGTGCGTTTTCAACAAGTCTGCCGGAAATCCTGCTGCTGTAAACAGCACACATTCATATCACATTGCCATTCTATTTCTCTTAATAATTGCTTCGAACGTCCGCAAATGCCCAGAAAGCGTTGCTGGCATACACATCGGGCTTGAGGTACTTTTTTTTTCAAGGACATGTCATGTCACTCTTTTTTGGATATATAACTTCCCTAATTCCTTCTCTCCACAAACCTTTTATCCATACCAGTTTTGCAATTTCAGGGATTTGCGAATGCCTTTGGTACTGCTTCGCCGGCAAAGGAAAACTTCGCCTACTCTTCGACCCATTTTTCAAGGTGCTTGATGAAAAGACTTTCGGTCCTTAGCCATATCAACTTTGCTCTCAGCAAGAGCCAGCGAAGGCTACAAGCTGGCATTTCCCCTCCTCTCCTGTGTGGAGAGGAGGGGAAAATTGGGCAAGTGGGAATGGAGAGAAGGAAACTGGGAACTGGTTTTTTTCCCGGTAGAAGACTATTCTGTAGGTCAAACTTTAAGGGAGTTAAAAACAATTGTCGTAAAGGAGAGGAAAATTAGAAAGGAAAAATGTATGTGATGGGCAACCTGCCCGGCTCCCTTAACAAACCTGGAAGCTTTTTTTTATATCTTTATTACATGGAAGTTACAAACTTTAAACAAATTTACAAACAACCGGGCGAGCATGCCACTGGGTACACTTCAAAACTTGGGATTTCGTAATCCAACAAACACAAACAGTTGGCATGGATGTAGATGCGATTTCAATCGGTTAACGAATGCTGAATCAGACCTAACACAGTAATATTCATGTTATTTTTGCATTTACGTCAATTATCGGCCGTAAAACGAAACATTCAATAAGGTTGCATGAGTTACAGAGGACATAACTTTAACTTTTATTTCGGGTTCCATTGAACGTATCTTTAATTTTTATTTCGTGTTCCGTCGGGCATAACTTGCAATTTTCACTTTGAGTTCCGTTGGGCGTTTTGGGTTATGTCGGATGTTACTTGATACCTTAGGGTAAAGAAATTGAACGTAACTTAAATTGTTATTTCGGGTTCCATAGGACGTAACGCTAGACACGGCGTAAAACGCAGTGCTTTTTCTGAACATTCTTATTCTTTATTATTTACTAGAGCTCAGCGAGCACTACTACCTTTTGTCCGATAAGTTGCCCGAGGACGTTGCGATCCGAAGACAGGTTAAGAAAACAAAACTGGTGAGTTTTCTTTTTTCTTCTATAGGGTGCTCAAAGCCAACTGTATTAATTCGTGCTCATGGTCTCCATTTGAACTACAGGATGCAGTTTTGGCTCAGCAAGAGCTAGAAAGAGCTGATGCATTGTCCAAGAGGATGTGCCTGTTTTGCAGGAAGTTTTGTACAGAGAACAGGTCTGGTTACCTTGATAGCATTTCATGGCTTTGCCCCATTGTATTTTCACCTGCTGGGCTAATAGTTTTTCTGGTGTGCTATTAACGTTTTATGCTTTAAATGCACCACCATCGTGGGGCATCTGGCATGCCCTAATAAAAATCTGAAGGTAATTTTGGTTACTTAGGATGGGTTTGAATATCGAAATGAAGGGAAAAGTTAAAGGAGCTGTGCAACGATTTTAATGTTGAAAGAATTGGCATGTGCTTTTGATATTGTTCACTTTGTCACAAATGACAGAAAACACACCTCCTTTCATCGAAATGTTGCGATTCCGCCGCGTAATAGCGAGGCAAAACTTAGAATATTCCGTGACCTGCAGCCACGAGCGGCGGCCATGAGAAACACGCGGCATGATGTCAATGGGGAATCTTGTAGAAAGATAGCAAGTTGTGCGAATACCTGCTCGATAAAAGGTAACTTTTCTATAAATCTTGTCGTTCCAACATATATATAAATGCGTCAAAAACCTGGTATCATCGACAAAACTTTTATTATACGGAGTTTTAGTGGCGCCATCTATCCTAGGCCCACAAAACCGTCAGCTCTATGTGCTACCGCGAACAGCCGCCAGAAGCCGGAGGAGGAGGAGTACAGGGCCGGACGGGTATGGCCGGACCCGGATGAGACTTTCCTCCTTTCACCATATTGTTTGCGCGGCGCCGGCCAGCATGTGGTCATGCGGTCGCAAGCGGATGAGTTCTCGCTGCTCACTGATGACTCTAAAGAGAGAACTTTACCGGAACCCCGCGCCTACCCTATCAATGTCACTGCGCACGTGACCCGGAAGACGATGTACGAGTTGAGAGGCGGCAAAAACCTGGATCTTTTTCATTTTTTTTTTAATCAAAACTAGGGTGTCCAGGCAAAATCTGTTTTCTGTAGTACACTTCAGAAGTGTCAGGCATCAACTTCCACAATTATATAAGCAAAGCTCTGAAATTGTTGCACAGCTCCTTTAATGTAATGTCTCTTTCTTAAAGAATGCAGTTATTACTCAAGTAAATGCACTAGAAACTAGGCCTAGTTTGAGCAAGTGGCATTTAGCCTGCTAGAGCTTATTAACATTGTTAATATGGATATGGAACCAACTACCCAAAGACAAGAGCGGCATGGAAACTGAAACAAATTTTGCATTCAAGGAACACATATAGTAACTAATTTGTTTGTCAAGAGAAACAGAAGCAAAAATAATTTTGTTGTCATTCCCTGAATATAACTACAGGTACTGCAGAACAATGTTGAATGTGCTAAAAAATCTTACGTCTTTATTTTTCTAGGGCTACTCTACTCAACCATATGGCATATGACCACAACTTCAGTGTTGGCAGGCCTGACAATTTAGGTGAAAGTTTTCATTTTCAGTCTCTAAACTTTGCATCCTTACTTTTAGTTCCAAGGGGGAGCATTCCATTAGAGCCAGTATGGTTAAAACCGTCTCCTTGTTAATTTTTCTCAGCATGTTTTTAGTCTCTCTCCTCGCACTATCCACTTATAAGCTCCTTCCTGTCTCTAAGTGTTTGACAAACATTTTGCCTTACAGTGTACATTGATGAGCTCTTGGACATCTTAGAAGACAAGCTGAAGAGGTATGGTATGACTTATGATCCTGGTATGCCCTATAAACAACAGATACATTTTTTTTTCTTTATTTATAAAGCTGTAGTTTTATATTGATCTACCTCTTTTTCCTCATCTCCACATGTCTTTAGATTAAAAGTAAGCAATATTATTACCAACTTTCCAGCTCATGATGTAAGCGAACGTCTTACTGACATTCAAAGGTGGCCAAGTTAATTAAAATATGCTGGGAACATAGAATATACAAAGCAGAAACTGGACAAAGAACATTCTCCACAGTCATTCCCACGTGCTTGCTACCTGAAGCGTCTCATATTTATGTTCTGCTTTGTATATTTGATCATCCCTATCCCCACTTCTCGCTTGTAACCAACCTTGTGCTTGATACATAGACGGTTGTATGATCGTCTTGCAGGCTTCTCTGCCTCTACTGCGAGAAGACGTTTAAAGACTGGCAGACGCTCAAGGAACACATGAGGAAGAAGCAGCACAAGCACATCAACCCCAAAAACTCAGCTTATGATAAATACTATGTTGTCAACTATGCAGTAAGTAATAAATAAAGTGTATCTGTTAGAATGTCTCTCTGTTGAGACTGAAGAGGAAAACATTACTGCACCATTCTTGTTTAGGATACAGAAGTCAATGAGGCTGCGGGAGATGAGCACTTCACGGATTTGAGAGACTCGGATGCAGAAGAAGTGTATGTTTTTGTCTGCCCTTTCTAATTTAACCAGCTTTTGCATGCATGCCCAGCAACAAATACAGCTTTTGCTCCACGAGCCATCTTAACGCTGTTTCAGCACTCCTAGTATGACATCTTTTGGTTAGTACATATAAATATTTAATGCCCGTTTAGGTGCTCTGGGAGGCTTCAAAGTATCTGTTAAATCATCACTATGAACGTGAGAAAAGCACAGGCACAAAATGTAGGCCCACCCTATCTTTGTTGCAATCAAAAGATTGCCAGCCTCAAGATCCTCAGCTCCTGTAGTGATCTGGTGCAACGAAAGTCTGAAGAAATGTAAGCCCATTTGCAAACCAGATGGTAGTTCTAACTAAAAGGAAGGTGGGTGCTTGTTCAAGTCTCTAGGTGCATGCTTTAGCTCAAGCAGTACCATCTTGACCAGTTTTCAATTGTTCACAGGCATGGGTGAATAGTCAGTATTTTAGGGCACTTTCCTAAATAGAAAAAAATAGGTATGCAAAAAAAAAAAAAAGATAAAAGATCTGTGGCTGTTTTTTTCTTGTGTGTGATAATTTCGTAATAGTATGCACCGCAAAACGAAAAATACCCCTTCTCTTGTAGAGAATGGACGGATTGGCAGGAAGACGAGGAAAGCAACTTGATCTGTCTCGTCTGCACCGAGGCTAGGACAGACCTGCACTCTGTAATTGAGCACATGAAGGTACATACCGCATTAGACCCAGCCTTTCCTTTCGCAACCTCGATTAATGAATGTCCTTAATTTCAGGAAGCCCACAGGTTTGACTTTTCGAAAGTCACGAAAGGTCTTGGCTTCTACCAGCAGATCAAAGTTATAAATTTTTTAAGAAAGCAGGTGGGGGGTTCTTGAAATTTGGTCGCTTGATCAGCAGAAAGCGTGTCAATTAGACTAGTGTGGAGAATTAATGTGCATTGCCTCCTTCTTGACAGGTGTATTTAAATGCCTGCTTTGTGTGTGGGAGCAAGTTCCAGTCTCGTGCTGAGCTGCTGTCTCACCTGTCTAGTGGAGACCACGACAACAACAGCATCGAGCAGTCTCGCTGGGATCAGCCACAGTTAGTGACATTTGAGTGTACTGATTGTTCACATACATATCTGTTTTGTTTGGATTATAACGAATCATTGTGCCAGTTCACTGCCTTGAAAGCAAACGAGAATAAAGTCACTTTAAGAAAAAGACAACTTTTCATGTATAATTTATATGTTGCACAAGTATTTTTACAAGATTTGCTGTCAGAGAAAAAATTGTTTGAGCATTTGAGATTTAACGTTTCGATAAAAAAACAAATGAACTAGGGAATCTTAAAGGCCGACGCAGAAGCCGCACTTTCTGCCAGGTGGAAAATTCTTCCCTGCATTACCTCGTTCTCCTCCCTCCTCCTCACCCAAAAAAAAGCCTCCTTGCAGAAAGAAGCGACTTCGTCCTTTCTGCTTTTTTGTCAGCCTGTTAATGCACATACAAGTATCTTAATTTGCGGCGTAAAAGAGGAAATTAGTTACACTTTACGAGCAGCCAAACCGTTTTATACTACAGTTCTCGAAACGAAAAAATGCATAGATGTCGTTAGTACCAAAGACAAGCTGCTTCTGATCAACTCTTTTAGTGTTGGAAGAACACCCAGTTTACGTGCTGCTCAGTATTCTAGAAAAGCTTCAGAATTGGCTGCCACCTTTTTGAAAAGGTGTGTGCACAGGAGCAGCTAAAGTTCACACATGGGACCTTGCATTTGCAACTTTCCAAAAAGTGAATGCAAAGTAGATTGCAAGAACAGACAGTTGGGCTAGTAGATACTCAATATATCCACTAGCCCAACTAGTAGTGAAAGCAAAGTAGATTACAAGAATGGACAGTTGGGCAAAGTAGATACTGGTGGAAAAAAACCAGCTCATCTTGAACGGTGAAAATATTCTGACTAGGTGAATAGAGGTTTTTCTTTTAATTGCTTAGTTGAGTGTGCATTTTAATTTGTGCCATAGTCATTAACGGGTCTAGCACAACAGGAAGCATTTTGCTGTTCCACTTCTAGCACTCGCTTGCTACCTTGGACCTGTACGAGTTCCGTACAAACTTCAGTCGTGAACATTGGCCAAAGCACCACTGAAGGCAGAAAGGAGGCGTCCAAGAGGTTCTTTTCATGCACACAAAAAGGGCCATTTTATAAAAAGTGCCACGGTAGAAAATAACTGCGTTTCTTTTCTCAACAATGTATAATACCCTTAGCATGTTGCTTGGTGACTGGCATTTGTGAGCTAGGAGTACAGAGCTGTGCACCATTCCAGTTTTTACCAATCCACATGTGCATGTGCAGAAAATGCATCAACCAGATGCCCATTCTTGGAACGGTCTATATCACAGGGTGGCACACTACTTCACCCTAAAAGGCCAACACGCAGAATTATTTTCAGTCTAGCTGACAGCCCCACTCTTGTTTTTTTCTCTTGCCTTTCACGCACTCTCCTTCTTGTACCCAAATGCCGTGGATCTGGGAGCTGATGCTCGGTGAAAGGACTCCCTCATTTGGGATCAGAGAAAGGGGTCCTTCTTTCTGGTTATTCATTCACCCTTCAATGCAAGCGAATAGTGCCTGCTATGCACATGTGCCCAAACAATACAAGCATAATTCAAACCAGTGTGCTCACCCAATAACTTTGTGGCTATGGGGTATAGAAGACCCAAATTTGCCAGCAAAGCTAAAACAGATCCCATAATGACCCCAGCTGCCCCAACATCATCCGATACAAGACCTGGTTCTGCTGCTTCCATTGTTCCAGGTACTACTTCCCAACCTACGAGAACGACCAGCTGTTGTGCGCCCTGGAAGACGAAAACTGTGCAGTGTCAACGATGGATGACTACGTAGTCCCCGAGGACTTGGAGCCTCCGGACAGGCTCGTTCTTGAGGCCCTCAGAGATCCAGAGCCTGGGAACGAAGCTGTAGCCGACAGGTGCCTCATTACGTCCATTGCCCAATAGTTATGCGCATTCTTTAGTGAAGCAAAAAAAAAAAAATAAAGAACACCTTAACACCAATTAACCTGCGATCTGTGGTGCCCAGCTTGCAGTATATCAAATTAAAGTTTTGTTCCCCTACTTTGTGTTCACCCAGAGCATGCAGTTTCCTGAAAGATTTGCAAGTCTAAATACCTTTTGAGACTGTGAAATTGTGATTTCCCCCGGCAAAGTAGGAGTTCTGCAGAGAATGTCCACGGCCACTGCGACAATTCAAAACATATCATAAAAAACCAGGCATGCGCCCATATCACAAGAAGTGCGCGCCCTCTACTCTCGACACATTTGAAGTATAATCGACAAGGGACAAATCAAGCCTCCGTACCCCAGCAAACGTCTGATCCCACTGAGCTAATTGAAATGTTCTCCATCAAATGCTTCCGGTGCAAGGTGGTGAATCTCTACTTTCATGTGCCAGTGCAAAGCAGGTTTGACGAGAGCAGCGCAGCTACTTTAACAATGAATTCTGCCAGACCTTTGAACTGCTTCTATACCGTTCCGTTGGATCAAACGGGCGTACTCTGCCACATGCTTCCGCTTTTCTGCTCTTGGACATGACAAGCAGTTATCCCAATATTTTTATGTCTCCAACTTTTAAGTGGGCGCTTAATTGCTCGGTATTTCACAGCACGTGCCAGAAATAACAACAACCCAGGAAAATGTCATTACATGCCGTTATGGCTGGCATTTTTGGACATCAAAGGAGCATACGACAATGTGAATGGGGCAAAACTCTGGGATCAACTGAAAAGATATGAACTAAATGAAAATTTGATTAAGTTTTTAGAACAGATATATGCAGATAACAGGGTAGTTATAACTTGGGAAGCCAAAAACAACAGTACCAGCAGCAATAAAAAGAGGGCTTAGGCAGGGCTGCCCACTGTTTCCCCTGCTCTTTATGATATACCTTAGTGAAATGGAAAAAAAAAAAAAAATTAGAGCAATGCAATTTATTAGGATTTGATCTGACCTACATGGAGAGAGGGAAAAAAGTAAGTTGTTTTACCAGGGCTAATGTTTGCAGATGACACTGTACTTGTGGCCATACCTCGGCAAACCTCACTCATGAGGGCCCTCACTCACCCTCACTCACCCTCATCTTCACAGGTGAGGTGAGGGTGAGTGAGTTTCTGAACCAGGAAAATTCATGAGTGTGAGGGTGAGTGAAGGCCGTGAGGGCCGTGAGGGCGGTGAGGGCCGTGAGGGCTGTGAGGGCCGTGAGGGCCGTGAGGGCCGTGAGGGCCGTGAGGGCCGTGAGGGCCGTGAGGGTGTTGAGGGCCGTGAGGGCCGTGAGGGCCATGCAACTCGGAGCAATTCGAATGCGTTTGAAGCGGCTGCATCCAATCAGGGACGCAAAATTTTCACGTGATACCTCGTGCCGGTGATGATGACACCGAAAGACTTGGTTCTGGTTTGAAATCGATCGTTTTTTTTGGAAATAAACTGTTTCAGAAAGGTGCATTAGTATTCTTAACGAGATTTAAATGGATAAAAACACGTTTATAACGCATAATTGTGTCTAAATAGTGCAAGAAAAATAAAATTTTATGATGACGATGGCAAATTGCAGCAATTCGTTGCTGCGTGTGATCGCGGGCGGCCTGTCTTGCTGGTGTTGCGACGTAAAGTTTCTGGGCGAAATTGCCCCATCTGAAGCTGGCCTGAGTGGCGTGAGGGCCATCAGTGCGTGAGGGGCGTGAGGGGTGTGATGGCCGCAAGGGCGGTGAGGCACGTGAGGGCGGTGAGTGGCGTGAGGGCGGTGAGTGGCGTGAGGGCGGTGAGTGGCGTGAGGGCCGTGAGGGCGGTGAGTGGCGTGAGGGCTATGAGTGCGTGAGGGCCGTGAGGGCGGTGAGGGCGGTGAGGGCGGTGAGGGCCGTGAGGGCCGTGAGGGCCGTGAGGGCCGTGAGGGCGGTGAGTGGCGTGAGGGCCGTGAGGGCCGTGAGGGCCGTGAGGGCGGTGAGTGCGTGAGGGCCGTGAGGTTCAGTGAGGGTGAGTGAAGGGCTGAAGGTGAGTGTGACTGTGAGGGTGAGGGTGAGTGAGGGGCTGAAGGTGAGTGTAGCTGTGAGGGTGAGGGTGAGTGAGGGGCTTAGGTAACTGTGGCTGTGAGGGTGAGGGTGAGTGAGGGCGACCTAAAATGCCGACCTCTGCTTGTGGCAGAGAGCCGAGAGACAATGCAGGGACTAATTGGAATTTGTGGTGGGAAAGGGGTCACTTTAGGCCTAAACTTCACCAGGGACCAGTCAGGGATACTAGTTCATAGCGACACAAAGGGGGAACCTCTGCAGATGGAAGACACTGTGATAGAACATGTAGAAAAGTACAAATATCTGGGTGTATGGTTAAATGAGGGAAGAAAATATCAAAATGAGCATGAAGCTATTGTAATAAAGAAGGGGAAAAGAAATTCGGCTATTATGAAATACAAAGCACTCTGGAACTTTAATAAATATGAAGTTATGGGGGAAGGTATGGAAGGAGCAATGGTACCAAGATTGACTTTCGGTAATGCAGTCTTGTTTATGAAATAGAAACTACAGTCAAGCTCAGAGGTAAGGCAAAGGGGTGTAGGCAGGTGAGCTTTACGGGGACAGGGTAACACCAAATGAAGGGGATCCGGACATTTCAGTGTAGGAAGTTTCGGTGCACGGACATTATGGTGTACGGACTTTTTGGTGCACGGAGGTTTCGGTGCACGGACATTCCGGTGTACAGAGTTCTCGGTGCATGGACTTTTTGGTGCACGTACGTTTCGGTGCACGGACATTTGGCGTAAATATGTGCCTTGAATTATTTTTAGGATTACAATTTAATTTTTATATATGTAACTTTTTTTTCTGAACAGCTTGCAAGCTCTTTAATGAGAGCAACTCTCAATTTTAAAGCAACGTTATGGCTCTCTTCTTTTTTTACGGAAACGTATATGTTTCTTTTATTACCATTAAAAGTGTGAACCTGAAACCATGGCTGAGTTGAGAACAAGGCAGTGAGCAGTTGCGAAGTTGCCCGTTCACAGTTTTGCGACCTCTTAAGAACTGGATGCCTTGAAACCTCTTGCAACGAGAGGACACACTGCTGCCATCTATTGGGCAGCAGTGTAAACTTGGCGGTCTGGCATATTTTCTATTTCTCTCGCGCGTTATCCTTTCTTTCTTGGATCGAAAAACTTTTGCCAACGTTATAAACGAGCCTTTTTCATAGGTATTTCGCACATTTGACCTCGGAAATCCCGCAAAACGTTCGCTCTAGTGAAATGCAGTTCCAGGGTCACCGCATACATGGCGCCAGAACTCCAGCGAGTTCCCTCGTCCTAAGAAATTTAAAGAGGTTTTAACAAGTCTCGTCTCACTCGGTCGTACTCGGTTGCGAGAGTGTGAACGGGCAGGGCCTTTACTCGCCATACATTTGGTGCCAGTAGTTCGATGAAACCATATTGCAAATATGGTTCTCTAGAGTTAGAATTAACTCTAGAAAACCATATTTGCAATATGGTTTCATATTGCAAATATGCTAAAACGCAACACCAGCCAAACTCACACAACTTCGGTCACTATATTAACCATATATAAAACTAATTTTGCATGTCGTTGTCGGATCAACTCACCAAAAGATTTGCCATTAACGAGTACAAAACATCATTTTTCTAAGTCGTAAGCTTCAAAAGGTAACTGCTATTGAGACTCACCAAAATGTAAATGACGAGACAACCACAAAAAATTAATAAAGGGGTGAACTTCTCATTCGTTTATGTGTATTTCTGCCCTTAAAGTTTGGAATAAAAGTAAAATTAATCAATTACTTCGGCATAATTTTTACGTATTTTGTGAGGTCACTTTTTTCGCCGTCCACAAGACTTCGGGGAAAGAAAATCGCATTTTGATTGTTTATGCACCGAAAAGTCCGTAGAGCGAAAAATCTGTGCACCGGAAAGTCCATGCACTGAAATGTTCGTGCACCAAAAAGTTTGCGCCGGAACGTCCTACACCGAAAAGTCCTAGACCCCAAGTGAAGGGGTACAGGGAGATATGGGTTGGGCATCCTTTGAGAACAAAGAAACAAGTTTGACCAAAGGCTAACTGATATGGAGCAGATAAGGTGGACAGCTAAGGTATATAAGTTCCTATACATAAAAAGCTTGAACACAAATTGGGCAAAACGGACTCGGGATGCAGAGAGATATGCGGGAAGGAAGTATGCAGGAGAAATCAATTTTAACTATGTATAGGTTACAAAAAACAGGAAATAAGGAAAGAAAGTGGTAATTCTCAAGGGAGCTCTTTACCGTTTGAGGCCAGAGCTGGGCTACTAAGAACGAAGACTTAAGGCCTGTCCGAACAGGATACTACAAAAATCGCCAGGCGACATGACAGCTGCAAAAATCGTTAAAATTGGAGCGGACGCTTCAATTTTGACCATTTTTTTGCAAGAGTCGTGCCGCCTGACGATTTTTGTGGACAAGCCAACACAAATTTTCTCGCCTCCTCCACTTTTCTTTGACATCAAGGCTCGTCAGATTTGACGTCGCACGCCACCTGCCACTGGTTTTCTCCCGCTGCTCGTTGACCTCGCTACCCGCCACCGCCTCGGCAGGAAGGTCGAAGAGGTCCAGCTTGAGGTGGATTTGGGAGATTCCTGCGTCGAAGCGTGCGTTTCGCTTCCCGCAGAGAAAGGAAATGACACCTTCGTGTCATTCTCTTTCTCGGTTTCGGGACCTGGAAAACGGCGGAGGACTTGAGCGATTGACCGACAGGCAACAGTGTGTGCGAGTGGCTCTCCGCACCCACGTGATGAGCAGATCAAGGCCGCTGTGGAGGAAGCGAGGGGGAGACTTGACGGGAAGAAGGTTCCCCCCGCCAAAGAAAAACGGCCAGAAGTGGAGTGCCGCACGATTTGTTGGAGCTGTATCGCCCGATGATTTTTGTAGTATCCTGTTTGGACACCCCTTTATAGGGCAAAATTCGAAGATATACAGTCTAAGCTCATTACAACAGACGTTTGGATTTTCTCTACATACCATTGCCTCAACTACATATCTGCATACAACAGGCACATAGCCAGGGGGGAGGCCCATGGGGCCCGGGCCCCCCCCCCCCCCCCCCCCCCCCCCGAAATCCTCCATTTTGCTGGGACCCTCCTCTCCCCCCCTCCCCCTCATACAGAATTTTGTCATGGGCGGCCCCCCCCCCCCCCCCCCCCCCCCCCGAAACAAATTCCTGGCTACGTGCCTGGCATACAACATACTCCTCTTACAACAGATTGAAATCTTGGTCAAAATCAAGGTCTGTCATAACGAGCTTAGACTATAGATCAGGGGTGGCCAGGCTGGCCTGGCCTGAGAGCCGCAAACAAAACCACGGAACTTCTAAGAGCCGCAAGGGGGGGGGGGCAAACATAACTTTTGTTTAGAGTCTGACTGTACGTATAGGGGCACAAGGCTGTACGACTGTACGTATGGGAGTACAAGGCTGCGAAACTGCAAGCTGCAGTGTGCTTTATTCTTAAATTCTTTGTCTTTTTTTTCCTGGGGAAACGCGGAAAGGGGCAAAGGGGGGGGGGGGGTCCCCTTACGAGGGATCCGCGAGCCGCACTTGGACCAGCAAAGAGTCGCATGCGGCTCACGAGCCGCGGTTTGGCCACCCCTGCTATAGATATAGTTTGTTGCATATTTGGAATGGAGAGCGAAACTAAGGAACACCTGTTTTTGAGGCGCAAGAGGCTTAAACCTCTTGCGCCTCAAACAGACATAGAGGGGGCCCTGGGTTACGGTGGAGAAGATGGGCAGGTGAATTATAAAAGGGTTTAGCTAACGAAGGGGGGTTAGAGCATTGGTGGAAGGACACTAAGGAAAGCTGAAATTGATAAAAGCAACTAGCACAACTGGAGGCGGGGAGGACAGAGGAAAATTGGGACTCTCCCGCGTGGCTCTGGCCCAAAGTCTCAGCCCTGTGTCTCGGCGAGTCTGGGTTTTGGAAAGAACCCCAACAAGGTTGACTAGAGAAAAATTGACGAGTCCCTCGCCAGGAGTGCGTTTTCCTTTTTATTTTGCATTTCTCCGATCCCCCAAAGGTCATCCTGGTGGTTCATTCCCCCGGCCCAGTGGTAGTTGCAGGTATGTAGAGGGAAAGAAATTCGGTATTTAAGTGGGCAAGGAAAGCATTTTTTAGGCTAGGTGGCACAAGCTACTGCCCGTTACAAAGAGCATAGCCAATATCATCCATTAATCCATGAATTCCATACATAGAATGCTAGTTCTGATTTACCAGAGCTGTATATGTAGAGAGTTTGGCCATTTGTTGGGAAGTGTAGGAGGCAAATGAGGAGGTGCCATTGGCCGAAAGCGAGCTCGGCGTGTTCCAGGGCGTCTTCACAGATACGAATGTGGCCAACCAGAAGCCGGAAATAATACCCTGGCAGTGGTCATGAGAAACGAAATTAATAAGTGCGTCGTAGTAAATCTCGGTGACTGAAAATATGGTGCACGTGATGTTTCAATCACGGTCATCCAAAATCATGGTGGAAGAGCAAGACTAGCGGAACGTTGGACATAATCCGTATGCCAGGCGCCGAGGGCCGGGAATCTGCAGTCCAAGCAATCACACACTGTCCGAGTAAACTAGAGTTAGAGAGACACATCACGTGCACCTTATGTTTAACCGTGAAGGGTAACCACCAACGTTACTACAACACCGAGTTGGGAAACTCGCCGTCGAAACTTGGGCCGCTGGCGTCCACCGAGACCGAGCTAAATACGACAACAGCGCCACTCTTCATCATTTGTCTGTACTGTGGTCACCTTGAGCTTTTAGAAAGCATGTTTTTGCGTAAAAACAAACGGAAAAGACTCTTTTTGTATGAAATTTATTGGAGCTCAGTACCAAATGATGGGCACGTGACGTTTTTAAAATCTTTAGGTTGCAGGGTTTTGCGGAACAATATTGTTTTTATACAACCATGCCTCAGCGGTGCTTTCAGGTAGCGCGTCCCGACTTAGGCGCATTTTAACTTCGGTAGTAAGTCGCGGCACGTCCGCCGGGGGTGGCACCCCTGTAACCTCTTCCGCTGTATCTGTTTCGGCTCCAAAATGGCCGATTAAAGCCAAAATAGAAGTAACGTACAGTTCCTCGAGTGGCCGCTGCGGGAGAAATGGCGGCGTTGTGCTCGTCATTAGCTCGGTCCTCGAGGACAGATCGGGGCCGTTTTTTGAGATAAGGCTCTATGGCAGTTTCCCAACTGAGTGTTTTAGTAACGTTGGTAACTACTTTTCACTCTTACGCGCTTATAAAAACCATATACCAACATATACCTATGATTAAAACTGTTTCTCACTACCACCGCTAGGGGATTCTTTTCGGCTTCTGGTTGGCCAAGAGAGCATGCCAAGGCCTCTTTCCGCGTCTGGTACATGCCCTGGCTCTGCCCGTGCCTCCCATTGACCAGACACTCTCTCTATACGCGGCTCTGTGATTTACAACTGAATGCTGCAAACATGACAGTTATCAGTAACTTTTACAGCATGCAGCAAAAAAACCTCCATCAGGCATTTATTATACTTTAAAGAAATTGCTTCCTTGTCTGGAAGGGTTTGCACTGAAATGCACATTAAAACAAATGCAGGACAATGCAGAGATGCTCTAGAAAGTTGTTCCTTTGGGAGAACCATCTGAAGATGGTGTTCTAAAAGAAAATTCCGAGGACACCTGAGCACTTTGTACGAGTTGTGAATGCGAAAGCACGAGCGTCGTTCTTCCGCGCCCTTAGTTTGTCTGCGGTGCACTGGCGTGGACGGCCACGTTTCGCTACTGCCGAGGTTATGGCTGCCGACGATATAGATGCCTCAGGTGCCACCATGTTTCTCGGCGCCGAGAGGAGCAGAAGCGGCCGCAGCCCCAGCAGCGCATCACACGAGAACGGCCGCCAAGCGCGAGCCATGGGGGACGTGTGGCACGAAGCCAATAGGAATTTATCCATCAATTCACTGCTACAGACTACAGGCTTTGCTCCATTAGACAGGAAAATTTAGGTGCCATTTGGTGTGGCTTCAAAAGCTGAGAATGCCGGTTCGTTCCATGGACAGTTAGTGCTTTCATATTCAAAGGTAGTTTGGTGTAGCAAAATCCGAGGTGAAGAAATGTTGAATCTAGAAAATATTGCCTCTTATAGACAGCGAGTGCTTTATTTCGTGGAGACTAGGCACACAAAGTGCGACACTAAACAGCCATCAGCATACTTTGTTTAGAAGTGCACATGATTAAAGCAGAGTTTGCTGGATGACAAAAAATGTGCAGAAGCCAGATGGAGATGGAACCGACTGCTTGCACATAATGAAACCTACTTAAAACAGATATTTGGCACAATAGCTCTGCAGAAGCGTTCCGATACCAAATACGCTCGCTACCTAAGGTTTTCAGGCACAAATGCTGCAACTAGAGCCAGCACCACAAACACATAGGATTCCAGCTGCGACCTTCTAACATAAGCGACAAGACTGAACCTAGAAAACGCCACCTCTAATCTCTCAACTGCACTGCTTATTTGTCCAAATGCCACCCAGACGTAAGTAGCACCTTTACAACTCTCCAACTAGAACTACCGCAAAATGGAATAAGTTGTGAGCAGAATGTCAGCTATTCTCGATCCCCCCACCCCAAGCTGGCAGCTTCAGAAGCCACCTAATCGTTTAAGATCTGTTATCGACAGTGTTGTGAGGCAGCTGGAATAACCCCTACATGAGGTTGGGCCCTCCTGCCAATTGGTTCTCCTAATGTATACTATCTATCTAGCTCCCAGAATCACTGACTGACAACCTGCTTCTCTTGTCTACTAGGCTCGTTTTCTCTATCGGCCACTGCGCCGGTGTTTGTTTTAGATATTGTGCTCTCCAGGGATGCCATGGCCTTCTTGTCTCCTTCTTTGGAGTCCTTGCGGTCGTCGTCGTCATCGTCGTCGTCCGCAGGATAAAGCGTGGGGTATTTGGACATGCACTCCTGCATGGTCCTGAAGTGCTCGAAGCATTCGCTGCCTTTGGTCTCCGACGTGCTGTGGTGGAAGCAGGAAAAGGCTTCTCGAAATTCGGGTCCACAAGGTCCGGTGGCCATGCCTCCCAGGCACGGACAGTTCCAGTTGATGTCTCCATTGGCGAGGATCAGACCTGAGAGAGACCGGGGGACCAGGTGTTGACGCGCTCCAGCTCTGAACATGCGAAGCAAAAGCTCATGCTGCAAAACCCAAGGATCCTGGGTTCAATACTCATCCCTGCCAGTTCCAATCTCAACGAAAATTGTACCGGCATGTGTTTGTGTGCCACTACTGCACGATGCAAGTTGAAAGACCCCCAGACTAACAGTAGAGCTGCACTGGCTAAGTTTCTCATCTATAGCAGAGAGAACAGACACCTACGGGGACTAACCTACTTTCCACTGTCTAAAAATACATATAAGTGAAAGAGACCAAGTTTGCACGGAACCTAAATGAGAGCCTTCATTGGGCTTCTGGGCATTGATCAGTAGGAAATGTAATCGCAAAAGATACAATAAAGACAGACATAAACGGGCATTCAGCTTATGACAACATTTAACAAGGTTTGCAGAAATATTTAATGAAAAGATTTGAGGAATTTTAGCAGGGTGGAGAATAAAAATAAATCTGACCACTTTTAATATGACCATTTAAATTAAACCTTTCCGAGAAAAATACTTCTAAAAATAGTTTTTATTTATATTTACCATTTGACCATCATTCAATGTTGTATATGTGCATTTGTTTTCTATCTAATTCAAAGAATCATCAGACAAGAAAGATTCATATAAGGCTGAACACAAGCAAAAAGTGTTCTCCTGAGCAAATCGGATCCTTTCACTTCGTTCGGACCTTCCGCTTTGTTCGTCAGTTACGTCACATCCCATCGCAATTAACTCAGATTCTGATTTGATTGCAATCAAATCAGAACTCTAAAGAAAAAGCCAATAAAGCTTTCTAACTAACTGAAAAAATAGTTATTTTTGTTTTAATATGGCAGGGATTACATAAAAAAAGTTGTCAATTACACTGTACTTTACATTTACAGTAATTCTCTCGCACTGTCATCAGTGATGAACAACTATTAATCTGCCATGTCAAGAAATACATATTGTGGTAAAGACTTGCTATTTTCTAGCTTCTGTGCTTTATATCAAATTAATCTGACTTTTAATAAACACATTTTCCTTCACTTTACCTAAAAATAAAAAAAAAAAGGAAATCATGATTTTTATTTTGGTTTTTAGTGACATGAGAACACACTTTCAGGGACCCGACCCGACCAGACTGTAATGTCACGGCTGGTAGGGTTCCACTTCGATTTGGTGTCCTGCTCATGACAATTTGGGGTAGCGGAAGACATGGCGCTGGTGTTGAGACTAAATCGTTGTGAACCTGTGTATTTGTCAATATTTTTGGGAAGTAACAAACTGACAAGTAATAATAAATAACTCGAAACTAATGTTAGTTTCAATCAGTGAAACTTCACTATTATTTAGAGAGTTGCATTGCTGAATTTGGAACTAACTAAGGTAACAAGTAATTTTTACTTAGCTCGCTTTACAGCTTTGCCAATGCTCTGCAATGCTTGTATTCACATTCCAACCACCAAAGCTTGGTTTGCCATCTGCCATCTCGGCAGAAGCAACTCGAAGATTTCTTTGTTGCTCATGCTACTAATGTCCCTCAATATAAAAAAAAAAAAAAAGTTTTGTTTTAGTTTTAACGATAATGAAAATATTTATTTTATAATGGAGCTTTGAATGCATTCATGAACATGTGGAAATGGTGATGGTACAAGCTTGACAGTTAGCACCAATATGCAATAACTAGTTTTCTCTCTTTACTTTCTCACCAAAAAAAAAAAAAGAGGAAGTCATAAAAGAATATAAAGAGTTTAAAGTGCTTATATGAATTGCCGACTTGGGCACTATAATTTAATAAACGCTAGCCTAGATTAGTGAAGGGCATAAGAGTGTTAATGTCATGCTAATGCCACTTGTGTCGTCAGCGTACATCCATGTGCCCGATTAGACAAACAAAAAAGGAACTTGAATGCTGTGGTAAATGCTGTACCGATATGTTGCTTCGGTGACGTGCGATTGTTTAAGGAAATAAAGCTTACTTACAATATTTAATAGCTTAAAAATAAACAATTTTGGGAAGTAAATGTGTGCTGGATTAAAAAATAAACAGCTTGTAACAAGTAACAGTTTTCCAGTTGGATTTGGCTTTGCAGCCCTTGCCATTTGCAATACTCACATGTCCCAGAACAAAACATGCAAACAAGGAACCCTTCTGTCAATGATTGGAGATTTAAAAAAAAACAACTGGGGTGACATTTCCTCCGGACTGTCGACCCTGTGCTCTAACCAGACTTAATACCGTCTTCCTTATTTTTTATTTTTTTTTCTTGCATTGAACTGAGTTTATAGGCCAATGCGCTGTTAACAGACAAGCCCACACGAGGTGCGGGCAAATGTGCAGTTCCGGCACAAGGTGTGGGCACTGTGCATGCGTAGGAACCAGATTTGCGACAAGTGGAGCGTCAGTGCATGTGCCTTGCCAATAGCAGCACCACCGCAGCGGCATGTTGGTGTATAGGATAAATTTGAGTCGATGAAAGTTTTACCGGCGAGCGTTTTTACATTTGTCCAAAAACATAGAATCCTCCTTATATTCTAAACTACAAAAAAAAAAAAAAAAAGTCCCCACATTTATTGGGTCACTTTTGATTTACAACAAGGACTGGTGTCGGAACCTGTTGCAGAGTATTTTCTGGATTTTGGATGTTTAAAGGTGATATTTTACTTTGTGCAGATTAACCTACAGGTGGTCACTATACAAGGATTTGTTTTTCAAGATTGTTTGTTATCACCAGACAGACCCGGTGCAATTATCAGAATCACATTGTCTATTGCTGGACAAAAGTAAGAAAAAAGGAGTTCAAATTATCAGCATGTTGCTTTCGTCCCCAATGCCCCTGCAAGATAGCTGTACTAAAAACGGACGAAGAAGATCACGCATGATCTTGATGGCCCAAACACCCACTGCTTGCCGCTGTAAAATCGTTAATACATATGAAGTGAAAGCGGAGTCTTTCAAAACCACATTCCCGATATGAATTAGGAAAATAATACAAACTTACATTTGGACTGTTTTACTCCAGTCAAATGCTATAGTAAAAAAAAAAAAAAAAACTGTGCAAGAAGCTCCTCTCTCATCTTTATAACTGCCAACTACCATTCCCTCCATGTTGCACAAATAGTCCGCTACCGAGGCACACGTCGTGCTGACAACGCTTAGTTCATCATGGCGACAGCCTTTCCTGGTGGGTATGCGGAGGGATTCAATGCCGTGGCCGATTTGTGGTGGTGTTTACTTGGTGCGTTCTTATAGTCTGCATTTCATTACAGACCATTTCAATAAACGCCTTCTGTGCACAGCCATCTTTGTCTATTGGGCTGCAGAACGTGTCTCGAGCTCGCGCAGTAGCTCGGAATATCGGACACTGCGCGTGGATCCACAGCCCAGTGGCTTGGCATTTTTCACCATGGTGGCAAGAGCACTGGAAAGGTATACAGCTGGCACAGAATGTTGTCGGGAATTGAGTAATGCACTCAGCATTTCTAGCAAGTCAAAGCATAGAGCTGACTATACACTATAGGTGTAGACAACCCACAAAATTATTATTTTTTTTAAGCTGAATTTTACTTTCTTATTTTATATACCACATGCTGACTACTGGGCAAGAGATTAAATGCCCCCCCCCCCCCCCCCCCCCCCTGTCAGTTCATTTCAGCTGTGTGTGTGTGTGTGCAGCAAACAAATAACTTGCTTTTTTTTTTATGTAGCATTTGAATGCTGCGTCAAATTGGTTGAGACCAGTGTTTAGGAATGGGCACCCCCATTCCATTCCAATTCCATTCCGGGGAATTAGAGTTTTCGATTATTCAATTCCTTTCAATTCCTAGGAATGGAGACACTGAGCCCATTCCCACTCCTGGAATGGCTAAATCGTTCTATTCCATTCCTTTAATTCCTAAACGTACAAATTGGCACTTGACAGCTACATTTTGTTGCCGGCATAAGCAGCATAAAACTGACATTATCAAATGCAGAGACAATTGCAAAAAAAAAAAAGAAAACAAAACTAAATTCCTCAAAAAAGCACTGATTTTTACTAAGCGGACCACTGGTGGCGGAAAGTGTTTATTTACAACGTACTGCAAACATCGAGAAAGCCCCTTGATATGTCAATGCTTGTTTAAGACATCGGTCTCGCGACCACGTTGCTCGCAACAAACAGCAAAACTTAAATTTACTCATTTTCTTTTCTTTTTTTAACTTTTTTTTTTTGCATTTGACTTTTAAGACATACGCGGCCAGCGTGTTTGTTTGATAAGACCATAAAAATATCCAGTTCGTGCGTGGCGCAGGAATAAGCCATATTACTGTATTCTTCAAATACAGCAACACGGCTAGTACACTGCTGGAAGCGACTCCATGCACAGCGGCAGAGCACATCCTCTGACAAAATGCAACCTCTGCGGCGCAGCACGAGAGACCGCATAGACCATGTCACAAAACCTGTTTTAAAACGCATAAGTTCACGCTTGCTTTACGAATCTCGATATTTCTTATCATATTCAATTCAATTTTTGGCTGGTGGCGGGCCCTTTTTCCACCCTCCGCATACTCATTCTCGTGTTTCCTCTTCAGACGGCGAATAAAGTTCGATGATATACGCCGACTGCACCGTGTGTAGTTTCGTTGCACAACTTTCAGCGTGCAGCTTGTTTATTTTCTTCGCGACTAATATAGAAAAATGTCTTCTACGATGCCATGACTCAATCTGTATTTATCTTGTCTTCTCGTCCGAATTGTGATGTTCCTCTTCGCGCTGATCGAGTGGCGGGTTCAGGCAGCAGACGGTACCAACCGATTCATTCTTCTACCTCGGTATCGGTTGTTCGCGTTGTGGCGACGGGTCGGGAAGTCAGCGTTGGCAAAGCTCTTCACATGAAGATACAATTAACGGGGTAAGACCGCACCGTTCGAATCGACATTCCCCGTGTTTCCTCATTAACACCGTCCAACTGACTTCTCACCGCCACAAATAGGGTCCAGGACAAGGAGCACGAATGCAGACCGGACAGCCGAGACGCGCGGAAGCCAAAACCTCAGTGGCAGCTAGCACCCAGCTCTCCTTCTCAGTTGCCCTCACAGCAACGGTCGCACCTCGTCTGGCGCGGGACGGTCTTTCTGCAGGTCTAGTCAGTTCGGTCACACCAAGCAGTTTCCCGCTCATTTTATTTCTGAGCAACTGACTCACTGACTGGCTCGGTTTAGCTAAACGTAAATACTAAAAAAAAAAAAAAAAAAAAAGAAGAACTTTGTTGATTCCATTCCATTCCGGGCAAAAGGCACCTAATTCCATTCCCATTCCATTCCCTTCAACGTTGCCGCCATTCCATTCCCATTCCATTCCGGGGTCGTGAAAATGCGGAATAATTCCGGAATCATTCCAACTCCGGAGTGGCAACTCCGCAACACTGGTTGAGACCCCTGTTCAGTTAGTGAAGCACCGATTGAACAAGTGCCCTAATTAAATGCTGACGCAGCACTTGTGTCAACCTGTGCCTTGCGCTCAATCGATGCAGACGACGTGATTTCAGTGTTTGGTGAATGCCGAGTTGTGAGGAGAAGATGCTGGATAAAAGGCTCTATACGCGTCTGCGCTGAATCTCTCTACTGTCAAATAACAAACCAACTAGACCAAAGATTTTTACAATTAAATTTCGTGGCTGTAAAGTGGGTCCAACTTTCCATAATCTCTCTTTGTGAGGGGTGGGTTCACTTTACAGGTGACCTGGCATTTCTCAAAAGCAGACCTTCGTGAAAGTAAATGGTGTGCCCGTAGGAGTTGTTCGCTTTCGAGTATAACCGGACTGACTGTGACACAACGGTGCGACATGTACCGTGTTGTTTCCAAGCGCGGCTGCCCATGCGGAAACAGGAACACACTATACGTCGTCTTCAATCGTCCTCGTCCTGTTTATCGATTAAAGGACGCGTCAGCGCAGCACTTGCAAGCTAACCAACTGTCGTGCCAAAAAAAAAAAAAAAGAGGGGTTACCGCGTGACCATTTGCCAATGCGACGCGCGATAAACGAAAGCGATTCAGCGTTACGCGAAGAACTGCTCTTGCGCCACTCTGAAAGCGGAAGAGTTTGGTTGCGCGTCACAATTATGCTCTACTGGCGCCGTTGCATCGGTCCAAACACGGAGTTTCGAGAAATGCTGGGTTTTCTGGTACAGCATGCATCGCATTTCATGAACGATGTAAAGGTGTGTTCATACCGGCGCGCTCGTCTTCGGGGTCTTCAGGTAGAGTCACCGTGCTCGGAGTTTCGTGGTCTTCTTTCGTGACGAATATCACACGGTCTTTTCCTAAAAGTCGAGAAGGAAAAATAGGAAGAACACAAACTCGGTATGAAACAAATATCCGGACAAATTGGGTGTGAAAGAAAGATGAGTTCATTCATTCCAAAGCCCCGTATCAGCACCCGGCATTGGAGTGACTTTCCCGAGAGGCTCGCCGATACGAGCAACACGAATCTTGGGACTGTGCTTACCGAAACTTTTACAGTATGACATGGCCCTTCCGTCTTTCAGTGTGCAGGAGTTTAGAAGGCTGGCAGCCAATAAATGTGGAGCTTAAATAGGCAAACTTCCTTACGCACGTGTTCCACTGAGATACTGAGCGCCAGTGCTTGGTTACGCTTGCTACGGCAGTCGGCAGGTTACGCTTTGCATTGCCATGCACAAAAAAGAAAGCAAAATGTTACCATTGTTGCTGGAGTTGGGGCTAGATTTCACTAATAACGAACGTAAAACAAATATTATACCAAGCACAAATTAGCAAAATATAGTTTTATTGAAACTTTATGATCATAATAATTTTGTCAGCGAAATAATTTCGTCTGTATTTACCATTTTCATAATGCCCACAAGAGGGCCTCACATTAATTCTCGGAAAATCCGAAGGGGCGATGTTAGTTTCTTTTTTGTACAGCTTGCGCTCGAAAAGTTGTGGTGGACAGATTTTTAGGCGGTACACGTGGACCGGAGTTTGCCAGGGAACAGGTACTGAGCTCACAGTGGTTAGCGTTGTAGATTTCGGGAAGTAACCGTACGGGTTACTGTTTACGTACGATCTTAATGCCACGGTAAACACCGGATTCAACATACTTCCAAGAACATCGCCACCTGCCACCTGTCACATTCGTCAATCGCTCGCCACGTTTGCGATGTATTCTCGTCATGCAACTTCGGATTCGTAAACAATGTTTAGCCTTAGGCTACAAGTATATCGGTTGATTAAAGTCACCGGTAATTAACTAGCTACCTGGCTGGGAATACCGTGAAGGCGATACCACCGAGAACAGCTCAGCCATGTCGCCAACTAACAAAGAAGAGATTCTCCACATAGGACCAAACACAATGATCGCGGAGCAGCTCAAAAGCGGTGAGTATCACAGATGATTGTTTTAGTGGCTTCTGGAAGTCAATATGGGTCTTTCGGCCGTCCCTAAAGACCCCGCCCACACGATGAAACCGCCAAAGGTGTCTACGGCGTGACAACAGCTAATACGAACACGGCATCTGCGCTTTTCACCTTTTCGTTTGTTTGTACGAGGTAGTGATTGACATAAAATTTTATCACCTAACTTGGTGCTCAATATAAGCACTTCATACCACACGGGTTGTTTCAGTAACAACCACTCATTAAAGAAAAAAAAAAAAAAAAAAACGAGCAAAACTGGTAAGTGTTTGTTCGTTATATTCCTAACGAGCGTGTTGGTACGATGTACTAGATAACAAGAAGTATAAAACAGAGAGGACGAAACACAGACGAGTACATTCGTGCTAACTCGCGCTGTACCTCAGAATCCTGAAAACTTGCACAAATCTAAAAAAAGCTGAAAAAGAAAAAAAAATTACTTTTAGAATAAACATTTATAGTTCTCTAATATGTGAGAAGCGGGCGTAGCTTACGCAACCCTGAGTTCTCCTGAGAAATGTATATACTACTAGATTTTTATTATCTTTGGTCTTACAGGAACTCAAAGCATGCTGAAATACGCCTCATTAGTGACGCTGACAGTCCAGAATGCAGCGCTCAACCTGACGATGCGAATGGCTCGCACACAGAAGGATCTGTTCATCTCGAGCACAGCGGTCATCATGGCAGAGGTCATCAAGCTCATCACTTGCTTGGTCATGGTCCGCTTGGACGAAGGTAGCTTCCAGAAGTGGCGGACCGCTTTGCATCGCACTGTAGTGCTGCAGCCCTTCGACACGCTCAAGGTGAAGCAGCGTCTATGTGCCACATATCGTAATAGATAACCCGCCTCTGAGCGATATTGCTCTACTGTTTTCTATTTCTGTCCTTGTGCCACCAGCCTCTGCTACGTTGCGCGAGGACAGCACAGCAGAGGTTGGTTGCACCATTTCTCCACGGGGCGCAGTACCGTCCGGACCGAGATGCGCTCCGATTGCAAACCGAAACTTAAAAACCCGTAGAATTTGAGCAGTTTTTCCGAAAGCTGTAAAATGCTTCGTGTGCCTTCTATTGTTCTGCAGTTTGTTGATTTAGTGATTTTCGATGATGCTGAGCAATTTTCTGATTGAAACCATGCCCTTAAACACAACATTAAAAAAGTTGATTACACAAAAATAGTTAACAATCTAATTATCCCGGACTTTAATAATTTTCATGAATAGGCCCCTGGCCCAGGACCAAAACGACACAAGCCTTTTTTTTTTTTCGCGACGCATAGTTTTCGCAATATTGAATTTATCCACCTTTCATGAAACACCCTGTATATAGGAGGAGGAAAGTGTACGGAAAACACGCCTCCTTCCTCATCTGTACCCTCCCCCTCATCCTTCGGTTACGGCAACACCGACGCCGCAAAACACTGGAACGAGCGCCTAAGAGCTGCGCTCTAAAAAAAAAAGCATTTAAAGTGCGTTAAAGAAGGCGAGCTATTATGAACTACCAGGTACAAGGCCTTGGAGGTCTCTGAAAATCCTAGAAGTTTTTTCCTCAAAACCTGTATGAATCCTGAAACATTCGTGGGTAGCACCGTCGTCCAACTTGCCTGTTTATGTTCATTGTGCTATCTCGTTCGTCGAGAGATCCTTCTATTCAAATCTGCTATTTAGAAAAATTTCACTGGTGTGACTTTCATGCTAAAAAATGTGCTATCTTAAAGAAATTATCCAGTCAAATTTTGTGTTTCAGAAAACAACTGAATATAATTTTTATGGCCTCGAAACGCATCATCCGTGCAATATCTGAATTTTATATGCCCCTCTGCATGAGAAATTGAATTTTAAACTGCTCCAATCACACCCTAGCATAAACGGTGCTTTCGTTGGTAACATTGAAGCTCCGACGTCACATAACGCAAAGTGAGCACTTTTGTCTCGTCGTTTGCCTTCAAATGAATTCCGCAGCATGCTTAGATTTTGTTGTTGTGCTCGACTTGTTTCATGGATAGGTGAGATTTTGTTGCACGATTGGGTGCCACAACCACCAAGCAGCACCTGCGATCTGCGAAATGTGTAGCGATGGGCATAATGGATCATCGCCATGCGTAGGGAGCAATGGTTCCCGTCAAGATCCCGCTTATGCAGCAATCATTTCACAGAAGAGAGCTATGAGCTGAGCTGGAAGTTGACAGAAGGCTCGTAAGATGTGGTGTGATGCTGTGCCAATGATATGTAACTACGTCCACCCACTCCTCACCCTAATCGGATCAATCGGTTTGATTATGCAGCGAAACCGAAGCCAGCAGCTAGGCAATTTTGAGACAGTCAAAAGTTATATTTAGAATGCGTGTTGCCTGATTCTGTGTGACACGCGTGTGAAAATGGAGCGTGGCTATGATTCACCAAGCTCGCCAGAGTCAAGTGGTGATCTAGAAATGTTACATGCATTTTGAACAATTTGCTGTTTGCCTTCAACTCGCGGGCATCGCTTCCCAGGGGATGACCCGCAGCCGTATCACCGATCCAGTGGATCCGCTGATATCTGAACAAAGATGCCGCTTCAGAGGAAAAATCTGCGTCTTTCTCTTTGCAAGCGCTCCTTGTCCGATTGGTGGCCATCGCATTTCTGTATGCACGAAACAGCATACGTTTGCTCGAAGCTAATGGCTGTTTTCGAGTAATATCCTGCTGAAAGGTGCTACTTTTTTGCACATGCTTGGAAACTGAATTACAAGAAATATTTCAGTAGGGTACAGCCTAGGAGGCGATATAATTCAAACCAAAATGCAAGACATCTATTGACCAACGCTTGTTATCCCAACCATCCGATCATCCTTTGTGTTTTGTGACGTCGCACAGCAGCTACGGACGTCAACCATTGACACTGGCGAAATTCAGGGTGTAGATTCATACACACGCTCATGAAAGGTTTAATTAAAAGTGGGACATCATATATCTAAATAAAAATGACATTTTTCTATATGGAGGCTCCTTAGACGTAACGAGCGCAACAACTTAGGTATGTACGGTTTCGACCGGACAATCCCTTTAATCATCAGGAATAATGCTTCGGAGGTATCCCGCTAAGCTGTTACTGCTTCAAGGCTTCTGGCTACAACAATTCTATTCATCAGCTCTGAAAATGTTGAGGCTATACTGTATTTGCACCTTCTTTGCTTGGCAACAAACTCGGTGGCACCACCTGTAGGATAGCTTTGGCACACTTCTGGTTCGAGCATATTTTCAAATTTTTTACGCTTCATCCTTTAATCATAAGAGTGAATTTTGTCTTACAGTGCTATAAGCGACCATTCCCCGAAGGCAGCGCACGGATTTGATCCTCCAAATGCTACAAAAATTCGCCACCTTGTTCAGAAGCGGAAGTGTTCGAGGAGAGTTTGGGTTGAAATACGGCAATATTTTGCAGGAATTGCGATTTTTGGTTTAATGGTATTTTACTATTTTTGAATTATTATATGTTATGTATAAAATAATTAGTGTCGGTTATGATCATGAAATTGATCAAATAGAAGACCTCCAGGCAACCCAGAACGACATGAATTTGAGCCATTTTTCTCTGCATGGTTCTTCAAGTTGTGATGTCGCCCGCCTTCACATTTACGTTTACAAGTACGCCTAGCCATCTCCTCCCCATCACAGTCTTCTCTAGCTTCAGTTTCTTACGGAAATTTGTGAACAAAAAAAATTATTTTCTGCACTGCGAAAGAGTATAGCTGCACAGCTCTGGTAACATTCAAACACATTTTTTTGTGTCATTTTGGGGGCATCTTCAGAGTTTGTGTGCAAGAATTTATGTTCTTCATATTTTCCTTTCACAACCAAATTTGGCATGCATGTACCTTAGAATATGTAGAATGCAACTACAATCTAGCTTTGGCTAGAATGTATATTTATTATATTTAGGAAAAATTTAAGAAACGTTTGCTAGCAAGTGTGTTGCCATGCCTCACGTGTGTACAAGAACACACCTTTTTCTGCATGTATATAGCATTGAGAACCTAAAAAATAAGCTATATTAAATCTAACACCAGACATATAAAAAGAAGATTAGGTGCCGTAAACTGGAAAAATTTCATTTCAATATCGTAAATAAAAAAAAGAAAAGGGTACTCTGGCGTTTTCCTCATAATCTCTGATTTGCCAGAAAATTTGTTAAACACACTAAATGTGCTGTTGGTATTCCGATAAACAAAAAGCTAGATGATCGACACGTGTCTATGCTAGGGTGCCGCCCCCTTTGATAGCTGGATCATCGGAAAGTGTCTATGCTAGGGCACTACTCCCTTCATCCGCACCACGCTGGGATGTCCGTCGTGCAGCTCGTCCAGGATTCTCTTCTGTAAAGAGCGCAGTACGCATTCCTCAAAATAACATCCTTGGTTCACTGACAGCTCCAGTCTTTTCGAAACAAAAGGCTTCATCCCTTCATCCGTAACGCGCTCGGGCCATTGTTCCGTAAGCAAGTGAAGTACCTGTCGTACGGTCGGGTCTCGTGAAGTTTCTCTCACGATATCCGAGCTTGTTATTGGAAAGGTTTTCCACCGAAGTGCATAACAAGAGGTTACTTTGTTGTGGTCTTTTTGTAACTCACGGGAAGTGGCAAACGCGACAAGCAGTCTGCTTCTACATGGTTGTCACCTGAACGTAAACAAGATTGTAACGGTACGCCGACAGCGTAATTGCCCACCTCTGCAAACGAGCTGCAGCAATGCTTGGTATCCCTCTCTTTGGACCGAGAATCGTCTGTAAAGGCTTGTGATCAGTTACCAATCCGAACTGTCTGCCATAAATGTAGTAATGGAACTTCGCTCCAACTGACTGTAGTTCCGTTTACTTGGTGGTAGTGTGCGCGATGCAAAGACGATCGGCCTTTTGGACCCATCTTTTTCCACTTTTGCCAAGACAGCACCCAACCCATGTGATGAAGCATCACACGCTACCTCGAGCTGGGCTTCCAGATCATAACGTGCCAACACCGGCACTTTTACAAGGAACTCTTTCACTTTCTTAAATGCCAGATCGCACTGTTCATTCCAATCCCGTGGCACATTCTTGCAGAGCAGCTGATTCAATGGGAATATTACTGTTGATAACTCCGGCAGAAATTTTCCGTAGTATATTCACCATGCCCGTTAACGTTCTCAGCTGCTTTTTATCGATTGGGACGGGAACTTCTAGCACGGCCTTCACCTTCTCAGGTGTTGCTGATAGTATTCCACGCTTACTGATCACGTGACCCAGAAACAGCGATTCCGGTTTTAAAAATTCACACTTCTCTGTCTTAATTCGCACTCCCCTTTCATGCAGCCGGGTTAGTAGCGAATCTAGGTTCTCAAGGTCTTCTCTTTCATTCTGCCCCATGACCAGAATGTCATCTAGGTAGCATATTACCCCTTCCAGTCCCTTTAACATGTTGTCCATCACCTTTTGATCGCGGGCGCTGACGCAACCCCGAATGCGAGGCGATTTACCACGAACAGTCCTTTGTTCGTATTGAGGGTGAAGTACTCGCTGGAAACCTTGTCCATTACCACTTGCTGGTATGCTCTACTCAAGTCAATCTTGGAGAACACTTGTCCTCCCGAGAAAGTCGCAAAGATTTCTTCAATCTTGGGTAAGGGATAGCTGTCAATGTTTAAGCAGGGGTTTAACAATGCTTTATAATTCCCGCTGATGCGTACGCTGCCATCTTTCTTTACCACCGGTACAATTGGTGAGGCAAAAGGACTGTTCGAAATTGGCTCAGTCACCCCCAGACCAACCTGCTTTTCCAGCTCTTTCTCCACTGTGTCTTTCAGCGCGAACGAAATGCTTCTGGTTTTAGAAAACTTTGGGTATAGTTCAGGCTAACACACATCACTGAAATAGTAACGCAAATATTGGGTCACATTAAATTTTTTTTGCGAGGTTATTGTATTTACAATTTTGGTCCTCACTATGTTTTTCAAAGGGAAAGTCTCTATTGGCAACAGTAAAAAAGTGACTTCAGGGGAAGGCAGGGGTTCACTCTTTGGACAGTAGACTTTGTTCCCAACTGATTACAGTCCATTTCGTGGTGTCAGATGAATGCTTTGGAAGGTCGCTTCAGCACCTGCGCAGCAGCACAAAGCAAAGTGCAGCAGCACGAAAAAAATGCTCAGCATAGTCCATTTTTAGAATGCCCACTAGACCTGCAGGCCTGCCTTCCCCTGAGGTAACGGCACTGAAAAGCATGGGCATATGTGAATGTTGGTTTTGGCATCAATTTCATGTGCCAATTTCACAATAACTATTGTGAATTTTGCTATACTAAGCATACTGGAAAGGGTAACGGCTGGTGATTCTGAAAATATAGTTAGTTGGGGTAGCTCAAGTAATTAATGTAGTACTCCCTTAAAGAGATATTTTCGCATGGGCGCCACCATGTTTCAATTCACGCAAGAAGGAACGAATAGGTTTAGATTTGGTAAGTATAAGAAAATGAATATCTACCTTTTCTATTTGCCAAAAAATGGGCTATTTAGTCAAAGCATTACATCTTTTTTAACTTCAACCGTTTCATATCATCTACATTATTTTAGATAAAATAGTGCTGATAGAGCGGCTCGCTCGTTGCATATCTGTGCTCCACACATCTGTCATCGTGCATAGTTTACAAGAGGCATCCTTTACCTGGATGCCTCTTGTCGCTAAATCAAAAACAGTATTAGCTTTTATTTTATGGATAACCAGCTGTTCCAATGGTCATGGAAACTTTTTTACACTGTTGAAAATCTCTCAGGTTTCCAGGTACAAAAACTCAATTACATGGAGATTGTAAAAATATCTCATTAGTTTCATTGTTGGCGAGAAGATGAGATATTTAGGACTTGGCGCTGGCAGCAGTTCTTGATAGAAGCTGCTACTTGACACAAATTACAAGGAAGCTTCAGTCTCAGTTTTTATTTTTGCGATTTTGGCTTTGTTTTTATTTTTCGTTTTATCTTGTGAAGTAGGTCATTTTCTTAGATAGTTCGGGAGCGATTCGTGTGCATCTTTTTCTACTTGGCTTGGCAGTGAATATTTTAAGTTCTAGCGTGTGGGTTTCTCTGTGATCTGTGCAGGTGGCCATACCTTCTCTTGTCTACAACATCCAGAACAACCTGCTTTATGTAGGTGCTACACACCTTGATGCTGCCACTTGCCAGGTAACATAATTAATTGACAAATAGTTAAATTATATTAATAATTTATTTCATGATTCTACGTTGGTGCCGCCATCTTGAATCGCGGACCTTCCTGTGTGCGGGAAATCGTCATTTTGCTCTCGCCACGCCTCTGGGAGAAGCTCATGTTTTAACCGCAACTGTCTATCAATTGTTTTACTTGTTAAAGGTTGTTATGGTTTGCTTTTTTTTCACCCGCATACCAGATTTATCAACTACGTGGCTGGAGACGAGAATAAACTTAAAAGGTCTATACATTAATATGTATGAAAGGCGTACACGATTGCCCCAACAATCGATCAACAGGTACTGCATCATTGAAAATTGATCAGTCATCGATGTCGGTCATCGGTTGCCCCTTGTAACATTGTCGCTGATCAAGGTCATCGCTTGACCTCGTGACGTCAGATACTCATAGTCACATGACGCCTGTGTCGGCGCAAGGTAGCGCATTCGGCACCAGGGGGGGGGGTGTTGTCGTGCTCGTGAGGCACGCTGCCGCCGGGTGTTGCATCCGGGTTGCCTGTGTCGCCTCCGACGCCAAGTGCCGCATCCGGGTTGCCGCCAAGGAGCCGGTTGGGAGCGACTGGGCTTATTTGTGATATCAGACACCATGTACCTGCAGCCTGGAAAGAAGACAACGAGGCGGCTCGACTTGCTCGTCATTACGGGCGCTAGGAATTCGCTTCGGCGCCAAAACAATTTCATTTCAAAAGTTGGAGGGTTGGCTACATTCTTGACAATAGCAAAGACCATGTTAACTGAGGTGTGGCAGTAGCAACGTGTGACGTAGAGTGTTTAATCTATGGTGAGCCTAACACCATTCTTTGGTAGAAAGTTCAACTAAAGATTGGGCTGCTGCGCCATCTGTTGCAAAAACGTTCATGTCACAGCTAGTTTTGCGCCATCTGTTGAAGATAAATGAATTTGCGGAACACTCTTGCTTCATAGATGTATTTGAAGTTTTTGGGATAGCATTGGGCAGACGATATCTGACTAGAAGAGATTGATCATTGTTACGAGGTATTCAGTGTAATTTTGACCCTGGTCTAGATCGGTCATGCAAAATGAGCGATAAATTTTACCTGAACCTTTTCTGGAATGCCTCCTATAAGATATTTCTTGATAATACTCTAATGAAATTTAAAGTAGAATTGGCCCATTATATCTAGCTAAATGAGCCTTACAAGGTGGCTCTAGAAGAATTGAATTTTCTATTTTGCATAGAGATTCTATTGAGACCATTTAATAGGGTTTATTTTTCGTAATTCCAACTGATGCTGGAAAAAAAAAATTGTGATAGATGCTGGCATTTGAAATCTAAATTTTTTTAGTGACCATCATGACGCCGCCAAACATGTGCATGAAAATGGAATATCACACTCTTTTTTTATATACATTTAGTAGTACTGGGAACTGCTTTGCATGTCAGTCATTCACCGTTTGCCTCAGACCTGCTTGCAAAACTATTTTACGACCAACCTGTAACGAGAGCAGTAAATGTAGTGGTAGGGAACGTCTAAAAGAAAAACACTCAGAAACAAGTTTATTGATATTGCTTTTCTTATTTGGCGCGCTTTAGACAGGGCTATTTCTCCCAGCAACTTGACGTCGCAGCAGCAGCAACATGGGCCGCCCGCGTACACGTGCAGCAACCAGTTGCTACAATTTGCCATATCATCATTTGATTTGATTTTCCTTGCACTATGTAGACACACAGTTACGCGTTATAAGCACGTTTTTATACTTTTAGATGGTGTTGAGATTACTAACCCATCTTTCTGAAATAGTTTATTCCCAAAGACTATCATTTTCAAACCAGAACCAAGTCTTTAGTTGTCATCATCACCGGCACGGGGTGTCACGAGAAAATATTGCATCCCTGATTGGCTGCTGCCACTTCAAAAATCTTCGAGCCGTCCGAGTTGCTCGTCCGTTTCAACCCTGACGCGATCCGAGATATTCATGTTGCTTTAGGAAAAGCTAGGGAACAACTCACCAGCAACACCGAAATTGCTGGGAAAGTTGCCCCACCTAAAGCGGGTCTTACAGGAAACCACTTGACGAGCCCTATACCTGCCTGCCCGAGTCTATGTTTGCTTATATACCGTATTTACTCGAGTGATAGCCGTACTGTTTATGAAGAAAATCTGAGGGTTTGCTTTTCTGCGGAGCACGCAGATTGCCAATCACCGCAATCGACAGCATGATTCTGGCGGTTTACAGGACAGAGATAACGTCTTTGCGTGAAAATATCATCTTTGAAGGTTGCATTTGTATGGAGAATAGTGTTCTCCATCTGGTTATTCGCTATGTTATTTATGAGCAATACAATGATTGGCTGTATATGTGCCTTTCAGAAAAGTAGACACAAGGGCCTTGTTCATAAATAGTGCGGCTATTACTCGAGTAAATACGGTAGTTCTCTGAATCGCTCGCAGACAATGTCATTATGGAATGAAGTTGGCAAGTTCTCGGGTCTCTCATGATTGTGGTCTTCATTGTAATCGTGTCTGTGCTCGCCATCAGCCTTGGTGTGATGCAGCCGAAACCGTATGGAAATTGCACTCTCGAACTAAAGCTTAACGAAGACATCAGGCTATATCTTTGCCCCAAATCAATGGTGGTGATATGGGTTTGGACAAAAACAGACTATCCTAAGAAACCTGGTGTGAACTCGAATAAAATTCAAACTCTGAACTTGAGACATTGCCTCAATGGTTCAAACGTTCGTGCATCGTGGGAGTATAATCTCAAGTGTAAAAATACAAAAATTGCCATTAACTTTTTTTTTTTATTTGCAATAGATGCCACAGCAGCCTAATCTTTAGTTGAACTTCTTGCCAAGAGATGGCATAAGGAAACCATCTACAACAGATGTCGCTACTGCCACACTTCGGTTAACACAGTCTTTGCCATTGTCAAGGATTTAGCCAGCATTTAAAATTAAACAGTTTTGGTGCCGACGCAAATTCCTAGCACCTGCAATGAGCCACACTTCAGTTAACAGGGTCTGTTATTGTCAAAAATGTAGCCAACTTTTCATATGACACAGTTTTGGCGCTGATGCGAATTCCTAGCGCTTGTAATGATCAGGAAATTGAGCCGCCCCAATAGCTCAGCGGTTAGAGCGTCCGATTAAAAAACAAACAATCGTCGATTCGATTCTGGCAAGGACAGGAACTTTTTTTTTCATGCAGCAGGCACATGATGTCTGACGTTACAGGTAAGCCTACTCACCCCTTGCCGGCTCCCCGAGCGGCAAACCCGGATGCGGCACCGGATGCGACACCTGACATCGGAGGCGACGCTGGCAACCCAGATGCACCACGTGGCGGCAACGTGCCAACACAGGCGTCAGATGATCACGCAATGTCACGGTGTGAAGCGATGACGTCGATCAGCAGTGACATCATGAGCGTGGTTCGCTGTCCGACATAAAAAATCTATCGATTGCGCGATAGCTTCTAATTGATTATTGGGATGATCGTGTACAATTTTTTTACCGCTTTTATCGTTTATTTTTTTGGTCATCAGCTGCAAAGGCTCCCGTTACGTCAAGTTGCAGATTTTTTTGTTGTTTTCTCACATTAAGTCTGAAAATATTTGAAATATTGTAATTTTTGCTAATACAAAAGCTGTCGTCTCTAGATATTGGTCGAACAAGATTTTTACTGCATATCGTGAGGCTAAAGTCCAATGAGGTGGAACCTCTACCTTTGTTTCTAAGGTTGTATCATGATGCAGTTGAAAATAAAATTCAGTCATGCTTTGTTTTAAAAGCAGTCATTTTTGTATAACTCGCGTAAGCCTTGCCGTGGGGTCTATAAATCCATCTCTTACATTTTCATTATGCAATCAAATGTTTCTGGATACTACGACACAACCAAATATTTCTAGACAAAGCCTAGTGCTTGTTGTAGCATTCTAGAGTAAACGGAAATGATTTCGAAAGTGTGTAACAGATAGTATTAAAACATTCCATTTGTGGCTGAATGAGCTATGCTACGTGGCAGTCTATATTGAGGTCAATTTTTAGGAAGGGCATCGATGCCCTAAAGTAACAGCTGGGCTTTGTATTTAGTTTTTAAAGCGTGCAGTGCTCTTTAACTCTACCTTCCCCCCCCCCCCCCACCCAATCCCAAAATTTTTTTGTCCGTCTGTCCGTGCATTTCTCGCTAAATTTAGCGGGGAAATCGACATTACGAGACGCACGAATTCAGTTTATTGGCCAAATTTAGCGGAAAAATTGATGTCACTGGACCTATACACCAATTCAATTTCCCCCCCCAAATTTGGTGGGAAAATGGCATCACCTGACGTCATATGACCCATACACCTTGGGGAAATTGATGGCACATGACCTATGCGTGAACTGTTTCCCCGCTAAATTTAGCGGGAAAATTCACGTTTTGTGGTCAAAACATCAATCCAGTTTCCCCGCTAAATTTAGCGGGAAATTGGCATCACATGACATATACACCAACTTAGTTACCCGCTAAATTTAGCGGCAAAATTTATGTCTTGTGACCTAGACACTAATCCAGTTTCCTTACTAGGTTTAGCGAGGGAAATCAGCGCTACGTGACCTAAACAACCATTTAGTTTTGCCGCTAGATTTGGCAGAAAAATATACGTCTCGTGGCATGCCAATTCTCTCACCAATTTCCTAAAATGCATTTCATACATCATAGGATTTTAAAGGTAAAGATCGCTGCCAATTTTTAGATCATGGCATTTTGTGCACGTGTGTCAAGTATCTGGCTGAGTGAGCAACAATATTATAGTATTGCAGTAGCATTTGAACTTGGGTGGGGTCTTCATCCAGGCTGTTGAGTGGGTATGATCGGCGGTTTTTCTTTGCTTTTGTTGCGTGCGTTGTGTTTGTTGCACTTTGTTTGCAACCGACGAACTTCGTCCAGCACCTCGCTCACGTTGCGCGCAACACAACAGCCACCGCCGCTGAACAAGATTCGTCACATTTTTTGCTCTATGAAGTCCAGCCTAAAGAAAGCAGTGCAACAATTCTGACTTTAAAAGGATTTGCGGCTTGTGTTTCTTTAAATTGCATATATTGGCACAAGTGAGAGAAATCGTCCCACCTTCCCCTGTAACATACTGCAATTCCGCTGTGTAGTCGCGCAGGAAAATACAGATTATTTTCCAATCTGCAGCACCGTATGGCGGTCGTGGGTGCGATGCCTGGGGAGTGCGCAAGTTCTTGCGGCGCTGTCCGACGGAAATCAACGGAAAGCCTGCCAAAAGCATTCGACAGAGTCTCCCACAATAAACTACTTTTCAAGTTAACGAAAATCTTAGGCGACGGACAAGTTGTAAATTGGATTAAGGACTACCTCTCTGGCAATCTCAATTCGTGGAAATTAACGGAAATAGCTCAGCTGATAAGACCGTCTGTTCCGGAGTACCTCAGGGTTCAGTACTTTACCTGCTTCTCTTCCTGCTCTATATTAATGACATAACTGTACATTGACATCAACATTAGACTCTTTGCTGACGATTGTATGATATATTCTGAAATAGCAAATTCTTCGGACCACTTAAAATTACAAAGCGCGTTGGACAAGATCTCGGACTGGTGTGAAGAATGGCAGATGCTTATTAACTCAGACAAAACAGTAGCCATTTCCATGAGTAGAAAGAAAAACATACTGAATCATTTTTATAACATCAACGGAAACACTATACAAAACTTGCACGAGTTCAAGTACCTGGGTGTCTTGTTCACAAGTGATCTGGACTGGGGCATGCGCATAGACGCAGTGACCAAAAAAGGGCTAACAAAATTGTGCATAAGAGGAGAGGGCGACTAAAGTACGCTTCTCGCATACTTTAGTCGCCCTCTATGTGGAGAGCTGTGTGGAGTGCTCGGCGAGCAGCAATTAGGATAAAGAGCTAAACTTACAAGATTGAAACTAATTTACCAAATAGCCAAAAACTTGACTAAAGTAAAAAAATCCAAGTACCTTATTCCCTACGATGGAAAAGAAACCCGTTCAAACCATGGGGAATTAATTATTCGGGGAGTTCAAACCTAAAAAAAATTGCTTTAAATTTTCACTTTTTTCCGCTCGGAGTCCAGGAATGGAACAGTTTGCCCTGGCACGTTCTCTGCGGTAGCTCGCTAACACAGTTCATGAATGATGTCGAAGTACTCATGATGTGAAAATACCATGTCTCATCTACTCCATTCACGTTTCATATATGTTACCCTCGGTATAACTGTTTTATCTCTACTATGGCTATACATCTTTGTTTTGTACCACCCTACGAAAATCCTCCAGTAAGGATTAGTAGTATTGATGAATAAATAAATATCAACCATTCCCTTTCCGCCACTATCCTCCCGGTTGACTCCGCGGCAAACCTTTTTTGCCACGATCGCTTACGGTGGCCCTTGCCAATGCTAAGCAGGTTCGGCGGCTAACCAAACCTTGAATAGTCTGCAGCCGCTGAGTGAAGGAACTCCGGGGGCCCTGAAGGCAGAACCCAATGGGAAAAGCGGGTGGTACTATCAGTGAGGTCATTCAAAAAACGGTGCGAGATTTGAGGGGTACCCTGACCTTCAATTTATTTTGTTTTCTAAAATTGAAATTAGGGCACACGAGAAAAAAGGGTTTTCTGTCCTTTGTTCCATAGGTGACATAGGTTAATTCCCACAATTAATTGGCCAAAGCCTGAAAATCGTTGCACTGCCCCTTTAAGGTGTGGCCAAGAGGAAACTGGCACCTCAGCATTTCAGTCAAATTGGTTTTATCAAAGGGATGCGAAAAAGTGCTGCATGAGACAATTATTTATAAAAGCGATTTATTTTGTGGTTTCTGTCAATGTCAATTATGCTTGTAATTGAAACTATGTATTAATGTGTGTAAGTGTTAAGAAGGATAATCGTGAAAAAAGTATAAAATAATTAAATGCTTAATAAGTATGAATGCTGTACATCTCTATAAATAGTTACCTTGGCAGTGATAAGTGTGACATCAAACCTTTTTTTCTTTGCAGCGCACGGGATTTGCTGTAGACTTGTAGCTCGAGTGTCATGAAACACACTGTATATTGCTCCTCCCTTCAGTAGAAATATTTTGCCTCTTGATTTCAGCTATTTATTCTTCTAATTTTATATCGGCTCAAATAGTGCTTTTTTGTTTCTATCTGGTGTTGTCGCACTTCACCTGGCTGCAAGGTGCCCGGACTGACCATCTGGGGACTTCGTTCGGCATTTTTCATTTAATCCGAAGAGCTTTTCAGAGATCCACGTTGTACGAGACAAACCCTCGACTCCATTAGACCAGACCATGACCCTTCAACTGCGCCTCTTCGCCGCCCGCAGGTGACGTACCAGCTGAAGATCCTGACCACGGCGGTCTTCTCGCTTGCCCTCCTCCAGAAGAAGATCTCCAAAACACAGTGGGCGGCGCTGTTCGTCCTCTTCGCCGGCGTCGCGCTCGTGCAGCTGGCCCAACTCGGCGCTCCCGCCCCAAACCCTTCAGGCCACGTCCAGCGCCCGATGGTCGGCTTCCTCGCTATCGTGGCCGCCTGCTGCCTTTCTGGCTTCGCGGGCGTGTACTTCGAGAAGATCCTGAAGGGCAGCGACGTGTCCGTTTGGATGCGCAACGTACAGCTCAGCACGTTTGCGGTGCCCTTCGGACTCTTGACGACGCTCGTGAGCGACTACGAGGAGGTGCACACGCGGGGTTTCTTCCACGGCTACAACGCTCTCATCTGGACGGTCATACTGCTCCAGGCCCTGGGGGGGCTGCTCGTCGCGGTGGTGGTGAAGTATGCGGACAACATCCTCAAGGGCTTTGCCACCTCGCTTGCCATCGTCCTCTCGTGCGTGGTGTCAGTGTACGCCTTTGAGTTCCAGCTCACGGGCAAATTTGTGGTCGGTGCCGGCCTGGTGATGGGGTCGATATTCCTGTACAGCAAGCCGCCATCTCCGACTGCCTCGCTCCACTCTAGGAGGGTGTAAGTTTGCATGTGTGGATCGCGCGAGGTGCCTTTTTGTGGCTGGAGTGAATGATGGGCGATGGGCGAGTTGGGAGCAGTCGCTCCGACGGAGCCAAAGAGTGTGAGGGTGGTTGTATCTGTTGAGTCGGGGTTGCTTGGGCTGCCGGTGTGCGTGTTTTTGAGGAGAGAAGTGCGTGGGTTACGAAAGGGTAATTTACGTCCGTCATGTATGTGTTGCCTACTCTTGAGGAATGTAGGTTTGTGAAGAGTTGTATTGTACACTACCGTATTTTCTGGTGTATAGTCCGCGGACTATACATGTTTAAAGGTTCATATTTTGTGCTGCGCAAACTATACACAGGTGCACACTATACACGGTTCGTTTTATTTTTTCTTCTAAAGCTTCATGTTTGATGCTGTGCGGATTATACACAACCTTTTTTTTCTAAATGTTGATATTTCGTGCCTTGCAGACTATACACCAACATGCAGCCCTGACGTCGGGCTGCTGCGGTGGCGCTGCTGTGCACGTTTGTAAGTATGGCGTCAGGGCGCCGGCCATCGTGCTCACCTGTGGTACGCTTGGGCGCGGCCATAATCCGATAATGGCCGTGCCCAAGCGCACTCCAATTAAGCAAGATGGCGGTGCCCTGAGCTTGTACTTGCAAACGTGTATTGGCAGGGCACATGTGCAGACGCTCTACTTCACACGAATCTGGTTCCCAGGCATGTGCAGTGCCCACACCTCGTGTCGGCTTGTTTGTAAACAGCGCATTGGCCCATACACGAGGTCATTGGTTCCGGGCTTTCGTTTTCTGTTTCAACAGAACAGTAAAGCAGGGTCATAGTTGCACTGTTTCCCTCGCCCTCAGCTGAAATTGGCGACTATGAACTATACACTGGGTGCAAACTATCTAAGGAATTTATTTTTTTTTCGCGGAAAGAGGTTTTTGCGGAATGGGGTTTTAATTTTCACCCAAGAAATGTGTCCTCCAAAGTTAACACGAAGTGTGTTTTTGTGTAAAAGTGGGCATTAGTAGGATGCCTGGGACATGTAGCTTTTTTTTTTTTATCAATGCAACCATCATACACTTTTTTGTGTTTTAACACGACGTGCATTGTGCCAATGCATCGGTCGTAAATATTAAACAGTGTTTTCCTACTCATGAATCCTTGAGTTTCACAGTAGTGCTTCGTGGCTTGCTAGGAATATGCTGTTGGGCCACAAATATATGTGCGAAGTATAGTGTAAGATGATGGTACATAAATTTGCAATGGATGGGTTACATTTTTGTTTCAATAGGTGGTTCTTTTTAAGTTGTTAGTGTTTGTACTGCTCCAATTCGTATTTTTCTTGTACACTAGATAGGCACTGTATGAGCTTAATCTTTATTGATCATTTATTTGGCATTGGTTTACCAAAGATCTTTGTTCAGTGTTTTTTTTTGGACAGGCATGTAGCAATATAGAGAGTAATTCTCTTTTGATTGCTTACTTAAAAATCGTTTGCTGTCAGTTAAAAAAAGAAATGTAATGCCAAATATGGTATTGTGAGATTCAGTTTGCCTCTTATTATTTTAAAGGGCTGCCTTTGCTGTTGTATAGCAGGAGTTTATGGAAGATCTCTATGGTTTATGGGTTTTTCTCCTAAACATGAACTTTGTTAAACAAAGTGACATCTGATGAATAAGTGATGTAGGATCCTAAAGTTCTAGGACTGGGTTCCAAGGCAACACTTGTGTATGCACGTCCACGGTAATCTTTTTATTTAGATTACGACATAACTCCCCTTGTACAAAGATGTGATTTTAGGTCACACAGTCACTACGGTACATCGGGTGTTGAGAGCTGCTCTGTGACTACTAAAAAATATAATTTATTGAATAGCATATTAACATTAAACTTTGCGTTTGTTTAAGGAGAAATGCATCAGAAATTTACAACATATTGAAGGAGGCTTATGACTAGGGTGTGTACTTTCCGGTGTTTATTTGTGAGAAAAATCGGCGGATGTTTTTCGGTGTTTATTTATTTTCAAAACACCGGCGTATTTCGGTGGAACGTCTCACGACGAGGCTAAAATCGGTGATTATCGGTGAAAAAAAGGCGATTGATCAGAGACAGGGAGTTCCAATTTTATTCACATAGTTCATACACTTCTTCTCTTGGAAGAAACTATTTCTCACACTTGGTTATTATGGTCGATGCAAGCATACTTTCATGCTTGCATCTACTACACGCAACGAACGTGCTGCCCTCATGGCAGCACGTTCCTTGCGGTTCGCAACCCGCAATTATGAAAACGCACGGTCCTGTACGACACGGACGTTGGCAGTGTCTTCCAGGAACCACTGCAACCTCTGAATACATGGCTTGCACCAACATCACTTGGCCAGACACAATGAGGAAAAGGCACGTGAGAGCCTACCCTCCACTGCGTCAATTTTTCCACAAAAGGGGGCCATGGGAGACACAATAGGGGAAAGGCATTGAGAGCTTAGCTTCCACTGCGTTCACTAGACGCTTTTGACCCCAGAAAGGAGGGCGGACTGACGCCACCTGCAAGCCATGTATAAACACTGGAAGAATGCAGGATCCACGAGATAACATGTTTGACGAACCTCTACGGGGAAAGGGTTTCGCTAGGTCGGAAACTAGCAACGACCGGTGTTTTTCGGTTTTAACCAGGGCGAAAATATCAAACCACTGGTGTTTTTCGGTTCTAACCGATTTTATATTTTAGTCACCGACGGATGTTTATCGGTGTTTTTCGGTTAAAACCGGAAAATGCACACCCTACTTATGACGAATACATATAGTCATTCAAAAGCCTTTAAACAGTCTTGACGGTTCAGGGACGGCAAGAAAAAGAAGATGGCGAACGTGGCGGGCTACCAGTGACGGCTCCCTCACAGGTCGTTCCTGGTTTCTTACGTCCTTGTCTGAACAAGGCGAGAACGTTAGTTGGGTGTTGGAGGGCAATATGCCCTCCAACACCCAAATTACTCACATGACCTCGCAGCCTGCGACTTCCAGCTGTTTCCAGAGCCCATGGCCTTCAGGGTCTTCTGTTTTCGAGTGCAGAAAAAGAATAGACACATCGGCTGGTTGAACTAAAGGTCATTGCAAAGATCAGTTTCCAGAAATGCTTTGACGAGTGCTTCAGTGTGTCGAGGAAGGGCACGTTCTGAAGGAGAATGTGTTTCGGTTTTGTATATCTAAGAATCCTGGACACTTGAACCCAGTCCCAGAATTTTTGCACGTTGCTTCACATTTAAGATGTAAGAGAGAATGTTTTTTTTTTTTTCTTTTTTTGGTGGATATGCACTTTGCATATTAGTACAGATACAATGTCACTCTTGTATTTATTCACTGATCTGTGCGGATTATGGTACAAATTGTAGTATTTGTTAAATGTTTATGGGCATGTGTTTTAAGGTTTTATTCAAGCGGGCAAGGTCCCAAAAGTTTGAACTGTTTCAACTGGGGCTAGCAGGTATGGATTTATTGTTCAAATACCATGTTAAAGATATGGACAAAAGAGGTACACGGACCACAGTCTGATGCGTGTTATTCTGGAAAGTTTGGATAAAATTTACCTCTAATGTTCTAACTTTTGTTTTTATTATTTTTTGTAGGAATGTGTTGGGGTAGGTTTAAGCCAGACTGGTTTGCATTATCGTAGTTTTCTCGCGCTTTGCACCAACCGCACATCTTTTGAGGAACGTGAATTTTTTGTTAAAGTTGCAGTTAGGTTTAGCAGTTATGCCAATACACCTTTTTATGATTATTGCCTTATAGGCTTGGAATGTCACATTTTCAAAGCACCATAGACGCTATGCTGCTTGGACAGTTGAGTTGCAATGTGAGTTAAGCTTTTTCTCAATGCAGTCTGCCGTCCTGTCAGTGCCAACCAGAATTTTTTTGTTTTTGTTGTTCTAGGATTTGCTGTATTTTACTTAGATTTCCTGCAGATGTTTTCTTGTTTGAGTGACTAATCTTTAGCTATGTGCCGGACGGGACTCGCAATCTCAGATGTGTTCATATTCCGGTGACCGTTTTCGGGACATTCTTAATTACTTGGATTTGCTTTGCTGATTGTTGTTAATATTCTAAGCTCGCACATTCGGCATGGTGCCATGCTACAAGCACAAGGTCATAGCTTTGACTGGTTCACTCAGTGGTCGAGGACACTTTCAGCAGTGGCACATTCAAGGCAAGGAGGACGTGATCGTAGCTTTCGCTGCACTGGCAGTTTGGAGGAGAATACAGTGTGCTATATAACGGTGTACCGTGTAAACACCTAGGCTACAGCACTCTCGCGAAACAGTAGCAAATAACATACTAACTGAGGCTCAACAAAGAGTCCTCAAAGAACTAAAAGTGTCGCTGGCTTCCACTTGTTTCCTAAACAAAACAAAAAAAAAACTAAACTTTAGCCTTATTAAGTTTTTTACATCGGGTTTTTGTGCAACAGTCTCGTTCTTTCGTTCTGTTTTCTGTGTGGTGTATTCAAATGGAGGGTTTATTTGCATTGCTGTTTCAGTTCCTATCTCATCCAAGTCTTCTTCAAGCTTGCACGCATATGTCATAGAAAGCGTCGCTTGCCGAGTGCCCATCACTACAGAGAGAGTGGTATTGAAGACGGTACTTTAATAAGCTGGAATGGAAATCTTTACGTTAATCTTCGTTAACCATGTATTGATGTTTCGGTCCATATAGAACAGTGTAAAGCGAATAAAATGGATGCACATTATGCAGTGGTGCGTTTGTTTGCATACAAATGCTCCATTAGAGCTGCTATAGTCGCTGGCAAGGTAGGAGGGTCGGGGAGGTGCCTCATATGTCCCGTCTCCAGCGCGGGCTTTTTACCCTCGACAATGCTTCGAAGTCCTGTACACCTCAAGCACGCGCGCGCAGCCAAAGCATTGCGGAAAACATTTACAATTATAAGTCCCGCCCTGGCCGTTCTGATACCAGCTTTTCCCGGTTCGTAAGACTGTTTTCCCCAAAAAAATTGCTACGCACGAGGAAATTTCTTGACGAGTCTCGCAACTGTCACGAGTCACGTGCAGTTGGCCAGTGGTACAGCCTTATATCAAATGCAATCTTGCGTGTTTTTTTTTTTTTTGTTTTTTTTTGCGTGAGGTTGTGTGCGGCATTATTCCTGAACCGTTTCAACGTTTCCTTGGAGTATCTCCAACGACTCCTACATTTCAACGATACAAAGTGGCAAATAGTATGGTGCTCTACTATTTTTCCAATATTTTTTTTCTTTTGTAAAATCCTCGATGGAAGCGTCGCGCCCAATAGACCGATCTCACCAAGCGTTCCACGCATGCGAGAACGCCGCCATAACTACCTAGTTCGTAGGAGGCAGACGCCAGTTCACGAGAGAGCTCATGCCGCGTCGTGCTCTGCTCGCGCAGACCTCCAGCAGGGTTGTCACGCGCGCAGAAAGACTACAGCTCCCACGATGCATGTCGGCAGCGGTGGCGTAAACTAGCTGGTGAGATCGGTCTATTGCGCCGTGAACGCGTCTGCTACATGTCGCACCAAAATGCCATTTTTGCTCATAATTGCGGCACACCTGCTCCAGGATGAGCTTCAATAAGGAATAATAATAATAACAATGGTCGACACTAATGTTCAACGACATGGAGACCACATGCCTCCATGTCATGATACTATGCGCGCTGCTCGCGTCAACCGCCTCGCACAGGCGCGCCTGCGTCGAGCTTCACCGGTTGGCATCGGTGTGTTAGGAGCAGTGGCTGACGCGGGGGTTAGCGCGATCGGTTCGGAAATTATGTTGCTCTAACTTTCAAAAACGTTGGCGAAAACAACAGCAACTACAAGGCCATTTAAGTCTGCTATCATGTTGGAATGCGAAAGCATTCGTATACGTAGCGTATTCCCACCATAGAGTTATTATAATGTACGCTAGAGGTTCAACTGGCGCTAGTGTCAATGCGACTTCCGTGACGCAAATTGAAGCAGACAGCAACCAGTCTCCTTTTGCGGTGCTCCTGTGCATTCCTATGGGAAAACGCGCGTGCATTTTGTCTGTTCGCCGGAAAATAACACGGAACACTTTGGTTATTTGGGTCGTACCGAATAGTATGCACCTTGATTAACATTGTAAAAGTGTAATTGTTTTAGTTAGCGCATTTTTCTTCATCAGTGAACGATGTTTAACTTCACTACATTTCAGCCCCAAACGGTGGTTATCATTTGAGCTCGTTCTCGTTTGGCCTTCTCACTTGGCTTTTCTTAAAACAACCGTTCTCAAAAAGATCGCTCTTGGACCTGTCGCATTTGGTCCTTTCCCGTTTCGTCTTTTGCATTCCAACCGGCCTCATTTGGGCCCGTCCTCGTTTCGCCATTTTCAAAACAGCCATTTTCAAAAATATCTCGCTTTGACCCGTCGCACTTGACTCTTTCTATACCAAAATCGTTTTTAAGGGTAATATTATTACATTGATATAATTTGTGTGTGTGCGTGTGTGTGTGCCACACTACGGGCATACTCTCTCTGCTAAGGATTTTAACAGTGCGTCGAGGTGGTCGTGAAAAACTACGAGCTGATAATAAAACGGACCAACTATTTATCGCAGCCAGATCATATTCCGAAATGTCACGTTGTTTGAGGTGTCTCGACTTGGGACCATGCCACCTCTTCTATATAATGCAATGGTTCTCAATAGGGGTCTGCGAAGACAACCTAAGGGTCCGCGAAGCCCTGTCTCATCAGTCCGGCACGGCAATATTAGTTGTCTTTCTTCACGTTGAGAACAAACGTTCCAATTTTCGGGAGAGTAGTCTCATGTGTATGTCATTGAGATAAGTGTACTTCGCACTAGGAAGTAGTTATATTCATTTATTAAATCATTAGAATGATTAACCTATACCTTTCTATTCCCCTCACTCCGAACGGGGTCCTCCATCATCTCCGCCTTTCTACAAGGCGTCCGCGAAACATCAGTGGTTGAGAAGCACTGCTATATTATGTGT